GCCTGCACCCAACGATGCATCATCGAGGTTCGCGATTTCATGAAGCCACACCTGCCATTGTGAACACTGTAACAATACGGCGGAAGCTACTCCCGATGCGAGTCTGTGCCTGAATAGGAGTGCGGAAGAAGATACCAAAATAGGCATCGGCATCGCTAGCGTTCATCGATAGCTTTCTTTGCGACTCGTAGGCCGACCTCATTTCTTCGCTACAGACGCTCAGACTCTCAAGTGAGCCAGTCCGAACTTCGCTGAGCTATACAAAGCTAATTGGTCTGGACGTGAACGTGCAGCCTGCATCTCTGTCGACGAGTGATGCTTTCGACGACAGTGGCTTCTGCGTTCGGACCTCGCAAGGATTCTGTTGCGCGAGGCGAGGGCAGACGCGGCTCGATAAGAAAAGGAAATCACCGCTATGACAGATGCTGTACAGCCGTCTTCTCCGCCTGCTTTATCTGGAGTCGAAGACCAAGCTCTCATTGCTCTCACTGAAGAGAAACTGGCGACCTTTCAAGATCCATTTTGGCTGGAGCTCCCAGAATCTTACAAAGCCTGAAAGATGAGCTCTCCTGTCATCGAAGGTGTCACGCACGGGACGCGGCTTTTGATCGATGGGCAGTGGCCACGGTCCAGATCTACCGCTCTGCCCATCGACAAGCCGATCTGGCTCCAGCGACGACTGACCGAAGACGCTCCGCATTGCGAAGACCCGATTTTTCGCTCATAAGGTTTGACGTGGCTTGCACGCGTACGTGGGAACGAGGACTGAATTCCGTCGGCTTTTTTGTGGATGGCGCGGCGATCTGGCTCAAGCCACAGACAGCCGAGGCCCTTCTTACGGCGACTCGTCTGTGAGGTTTCCACCCGTCATTGACGTCGCAAGACGTTAGGACGGCATCGCTTCCATCTGGCGAGCTTATCCGAACCTACGATCGTCGATACAGGTTCCAATGATCGAGGTCTTCCCGTGCTAGGTGCGACGATGCGATCATGACCCGAAACAGGCTCGTGAGCCTGTCTTGTGAATAGCTGGTTGGGCTTGTGAGTTCCAGCTTCGCCTTTTTGACCCGCACAGTTGCAAGCGCCTCATTGACTCGCATCGTGAAGTTATTCGTGGTGTCATTGTTGCATGTCGAAGCCTGTCTTTCATCAGGGCTTCATCGAACGGCCGAGGTCGACCAGGAAAGACATGGACGATGTTCGGAGGAGAGGTGTTGCAAGGTCCGTGCCGGCCAAGAACCCTGTGCTGGTCCTCTCGACAAGATTTCAATGGTCCTCTCACAATCGCCATGAGAGAATCCGCGGCATTCTAGGCGTGCCAAGGGAAGGCATAAGGTTCTCGAAGCAATATCGATCAAAGAAAAGTGAATTTGCACCGTCGCGCAAGTGTGTTTGAGTTTAGCCGCGATTGCTGTCAACGAGTGTTGGTCTCGCCTAAAGCTTAAGGCTTGACGCGAAGTCTCGCGCTGCTGCTTGCGGCCTCCTTTGGGCCAGAATCCCACTCCCCTCTCCTCAATCTTCACTGTCGCCTGACGCCGTACATCATGGTTTGGGGGCTCTCGAGAGTCGCACGCCAAGGTCTATGACGATGGTCGCTGTGCGAAGCGGGCTTCCATTGCGGGGGCAGGGTCGCGAACCTCGGAACGAACACGGCACAGGCAGCCTGACTCGCCTGGCGGGGACTCAACAGTTGAAGGCCGACGCCACGGGACACGCTCCGATCCAGTTGGAATGAATCGTCTTTTTCGAACGCGAATCTGCCTCCCCGGTGCTCTGTCCTGACAGCTGAGAGTGCCATTCGACTGGTGCCGCGTTGTCATGGCGATCGGCGTCCTCACTCTTGGTACCGGACCCACCTGGCTTCCTTCCCACCCACACTTGTGGCTCAGAGCCGGAATTCTACTCAGATGTCGTCCCCTTTACCGCCCCCGAAAAATGAGGCGCGCTGTGACTAGTTGGCCGGCGAGCTCTGCACTTGTCTAGGATAGAAGCGAGGGGTAAGCGACATGGATGCTCGCTTAGGCTGCCGTGAGCCTTTGAACGCTTTCAGCGGCAACGATGTCGCGAAATGGGAACCTGATCTGGCGACAGCTGAGCCCGATCTGTCGCTCGAAGGCGCGGGGACTATGACTGCAGCTAACAGTGCATCGAATGGTTGCCAGCGAAACAAAAGTGCATGGCCGGCAATCTATGTCCGGTCAAGTAAGGCAGCATGCATCGACAAGCCAACTCCGTACCTCCCATGCTTGCCGGTCGGATGCTGAAGTTAGCTCTTCTGTGCCGTATCGAGCCGATTGGACAATGGATTGCCTTGCAGAAAGGGTGAAGAAACTCCGGTCCTCTCAGTGGTATCGGCAACGGATGTCAAATTTGAACGTGATGGAGGCGTTCTGTGGCTTACAGGCCAGGACTGTGCGGCCCGAAATTATTTGGACGAAAAAGGGCTGATTTTTCAATGAATTCTCGTTAATTGATCTGATCGATCCTCGAAGGTCATTCAGCAGACGGCAATGGCGCCTACCTTGGCCATCTAAAGTGACCGGAATGATTTTCATATTGAATTGAACGCCTGCTTGGTCAAGCGAACAATGCTCGTCTCAGCAAGACTGCCAACTGGCCGACGCAAGCTCTCCTTGCCATGTGCGCTCGCCCTGTGTCATACAGAATTGCCTTTGCTGCTCCTTCTGAGAGACCAAGCGCCCACAGCTGTCGTCGATATAGCTGATAAGCACGTCTAAAACAAGAAGGGAGAGGACAGGTGCACGGGGTCAAGGGGCATGAAATCTTCCTGAGACAGACACGAGGGCGGACTTTGATTGGCAAGCCTCTTTGGCTCATTCGGTACAATGCGCGTGCGCACAGACGTGACAGTCACACACAGCCGATGCCGTGTCACCAAGCTCGTGCTAGGCTATCAGCTTTGCCTCTCTTTCCGAATACCCAGCGAAACGAAGAGGTCGTCTGGTGATACACTGTGCAAGACGTGCTGCGTTTCCGATTGCCAAAAGGTTTCGGGAAGCAAAGGTCGATGCTCGCGATTGAAAACCCGCAGCCTTCCTGCGCGAGAATCGCGAAGCCCCACTCTGAGCGTTGCTGCCAACCAAAGATTGTGATCTCCGGCCGTCCTTCCGCAAGTCCGCAAGGACAGTGCTGCAGCATGCGCGACAAATGTGCGTCTCGATGAGACGCTTCGGCATTGCTGTCACCTACCCTGACTCACAAAGACTCAGACCGATCATGTCTTTGGCTTATCAGACTGACTATCGTGTCGCCTTTCGACCTTTCTCAAGCTGCCCTTCACCTTTTCGCACGGCCAGGTGTCACTCTTTCGCGCAGTCTCCTTACCTGCTGGTAAGCGCGAGTACTGATCCTCTCCCTCGGCTGCGTTTGCAGAAGCCCCTCAATTCAGCAGCACCTACGTCAGTCAATGCTCGCAAAGTGGGGCTCTTTGTCTTCCCGTTGCCCCGAAGTCTCCTTGTTCTGAAGGACAAGGTTAGCGAACGATGGAGCTGGGTCCGACGGGAGCCTTCTGGTGTTGGATCCTGAATTGCGGACCATTGGCCGCCGACGCGATGAATTGATTCATGGATTTACGACCATGCGTTTTTACTAAATGAAAAATGCATCCAGGGCTGCGAGAGGACACAGACGAGTCGTTCGTCCGCGTGCTTTTTGTCTGCCTTTTTCGGAGTTAGAAGCAGCTCGGCAATGAAGCCTGTCCACTCGAAAGGCTGACCTGGTGGCGACTTTGGCCACTCGAGCACTGATGTCCTTGACTCGCTTCACGCCTGTCGTCCACTGCGGACCTCGCTTCCTGTGGGTTCACGCCTGGTCTGACCTTTGACGTGGTTCCGTACCAGCGCCTGTCACTCCCCGCAGCCCTACCACGAAAGTAACACACGCGCTCGTTTCTGGATTTTCGCCTATTTTCCCACAATTTTTTCTGGACCTGGAGAACAATTCCAAAATGAAAATTCGATTTCATTTCTCGATCCACAACGGCATTCTTGGCCAGCAGCCAGCTCATTTGCCGGATCTCCATTTTTGCCGTCGATTCATTCATCGCGTTGGCGGGAAAAAGTGCCTTGCACAGACTTTTACCACTCACCCTGGCCTTGCACCTGGATCCACCTCATCGCCATCACCCAAGTGTTGCTCCGCCAAATCTTGTCCGCTTGGACGATAGCGTGTGGCTCCGCGCTGCTGGCGTCTTGGCCCTCCGGCGACTCCCTCTGTCTAGTTCGCCCTGCTCCTGGGACCATGACCTCGCTCGCTCATCACCGCTTCTGCACCTCGCTTATGCGCCCTGCACTGGTGCCTAGTCGTTTTCCACCTCCGACGGCTCCTGTAGCCGCTGCATTCCCTCTCTATTGTCACATTGCACTGCTCTATTGCTCCAGTCAGTCAGTCACACGTTGACTGGCTCGTCCTGTCAGAATCCTCCAAGAACCTGTCAAGAAAAGGAGGGACGAGACTACACTGATGGCGTGCTGTTCAACTGTGCAGAGCCCACTGCCGTCCAAGGTTCTGAAGCGCTTCCTTTCCTCGGCTCCCCCTCCTGTCACTTTCTGCCTATGTGCACCTTTTTGACACTGAGACAGACACCCTTTGGGTGAGCCCTCCTTTTGCCGGTCCGCCTCAAGCACCTCGGACGTGTCTCCGCGCGACGAGCCTGCTCCATCACCGAGAGGTCGCCATTCCTTTATAACCTCCCCCCTCGGATCGCTCGGTGATGGTCCGCATCCTCTATCCTCGCCCTCATCTCTTACGCTTGCTCCCTCCTCCACTCTGCACTCTACTCCCATCATCTCTCGTTGGACGCCAATCAGCATCATCATCAACATCGACTCGTTGCTCGCATCTGCTTTCGCATTCGTTGATTCCTTCTGTCCCTGCTCGTCGCCCCATCTGCACCTCGGACTAGAGTGTGCCTTCTGCTTGCAGCCTTCTCCACGCCTCGTACCTCTTACATTTCCCGTAGTGCCATTCCCTCCAGCATCATGTTGACCCCCATCAGCACCAACATCTCGTCCCCGGTCCGCCCGGCCCTTGAGAGCCCCACCCACAAGGTCTGCCGTTCGGTCGAGGGTAAGAAGCTCGATGTCGAGCTCGCTGCTAAGGCCAAGTCCTTGAAGGACGGCGCCAAGGCAAGGAAAGAGTCCAAGGGCCCTATCCTCAAGCGCAAGATGGCTTGTGCCACCTGCCGTCGTCGTAAGGTAAGTAAACTCCTTCTTGTCGCGTTTCTAGATTCGACAACGTCTAAAGACCCTGAGTCCTAACCAACAATCTCCTTTCTCTCTCATCGCTATCCGTCACCAGCTTCGTTGCGATGCTGCTCGCCCGCGTTGCTCCACTTGCGCACGATCACAGGCATCGGCTGAGGCTGCTGGTCACCCTTCGGCCGTGCCTCCTGGTCCATGCAGCTACGACTGCGACTCGCACGACGAGCCTGTCCCCAACCGTTTCTTCAACAACGGTTCATTCCACTCGCTCACCTTCCACAACCACCCCCGCATGCCATTGACACCAGGCTACGGCATGCCCAACCCATACGAAGCCATGGTCGGTCCTCCTATGGTCGACAGCCTCAGCTTCTTGCCGCCCACCAGCCCTCACGGTGTCTGGGCTTACGGTGACTTCCCCATGACTCCCTCGCGCGTCTCGGGTCCCGGCTGCAATTCGTCGTCGTGCCACACCACTCCCCTGGTCACCACGCCTACCCGCCCCACCTTCCTCACCTCGACACCGATGCGCAGGATCATCAGCCCCAGCCTCGCCATCAACTCGACACCGATCCAGGAGCACGACGTCTTCTACTCGCCGCCAGCTCACGAGCAGTGGACGCCGGCGTCGTCGTCCATGGGCACCGAGTCAATCTACTACAGCCCCATGGTCGCATCCCTGTCTGAGGGCCTTGCCTCGGTGTCTGGTCTCTCCTCGGCCGCTTCGACGCCATCGCTCGCCTCGACACGAGCCATCCGCTCTCCCTTCCCCATGAGCCAGGACCTCGGCACCCCGCTCAGCATGCCTCCCACCACGCCCATCTCGGAGAACTTTGACGTCAACTGCCTTGGTCCTCCCATGGTGCCTCGCGCGTCGCTGTCACCCAACGAGCACCAGATGAAGTGCACCAACTTCCTTCAGTCGCTCGAGCCCATGCCATACCATCTCATCGACTTCACCGGTGCTGGCGCCGTTCACCCCGAAGCCATGTCGATGATGTCCACTCCCATGATGGCATGCGACTCGATCGAGATCATGGCTGGCAACGACCTCGGCCTGATCAACGGCCCGGCGCTCGATGGCAAGCTTCAGGACCCCTTCACCACCTTCTCGGGTCTCGAGATGCCCGACGCTAGCTTGCTCGCCAGCGCCGGTGCTGCCGACATGTCGAGCTTGACGCTCACGTCGGCCATGCCTTCGGACATGTTTGTCAGCGCGGCCACCACGCCTGTTGCCCCCGAGTGGGTTGCATAGGCATCTCCCTCTCTTCTCTCCCTCTCTCTCTCGCATTGTCATTCTCTTGCATTGTCGTCACCGTTCACAAGCTGCATTTTCCCTTGCTCTCCACTCCCCTTTCCTCGAGTTCGGCTGGCCGGAGTCCCCCACTGTGTGGCACCCCCTTCGGCACACCACTCGTCTCTCTCCCAATACGGTCTCTACTTAATGATCTCCCCCCTCGCTCGGCATCACCATGCCTGCCCCCACGCTCGTTACCCTCGTCATGGCTCTCCTCTGTATTACTACTGTCTCTACTCGCTAGCGTCGCTCCGCGCTTGTATTTTTACTTCTCGTCATTCAAAAGCGACAAAGTTCGTTGTCAGCATCTTCTCTCTTCTTGCGAGTGTCTTTGAGTGCTTGATGAGTTCTCACCTGTGACTGTAAAGGTCTTCATTTCGGCCCATCACACTCGCACGGACTTGGAGACAATATCGAGATCACGTTTCTGGCGTATGCTCTTCATCGTCGGTATTGTGTCGAGGTGCTGGCTTGAACAGCAAACGCCTTATGCTGGACAATGGACTGCCGTGATCCATGCAGGCACATGGACTCCGAGCTCATGCACAGCATCGGGACTGCTGAGCCTGCATCGTACAAGGAGGGTTTGCGAGTCGATCATCTCCAGGGTCTCGAGTGAACCATGAGTCTAGCGGCCGAAGCGTGTTGCGCCATTGTAGACAACGGCAGCACCTCTCAGCCAGGTACCGTCTGCAATAGAATCAAGGCAATGTGCTTTGCATCACGACCAAAGTGATACGTGCCTTGTCGGAGCGAATCCGGAAGCAGAGGAGTCGCTGGTTGCTCGGACGAAAAGCATGGTTCTACCGTACTCAGACAGCTGAACACCTTCTTGTGGCTTGATGTCGATTCCATCGAATTGTGGCCTAGCATCAAGCAAAGCCACCGACGGTGACGATCCTCCAACACGGAGCAATGTCCTGACGGTCGCTCTGCTTCTTCGGGCAGGGGTCATGGCCCCACTAGATTTCCCTCGACCCCACATGATCTGTGACGTGACGTCTGGAACCTCATTGTGGCCAGCGCCTCTTGCGTGGGTGTGCACTGTCTCATTGCGGAACCCGGCGGTCGATCTGCATGGTCCTTGGCTTTCACAGCCACGCAACGCACGCCTGAGTGAGCTCCTTGTGTGTGGAGGAGTAAGCTTATATTTTTTTAAGCTTTTTAGTTGCCCGGCTCGCCTGACCCTGGCGCCGAAACGAGAGAGTTCCAAACTTTCGGGCCGTCCGCGGTTGACGATCCTTCCCGGCGTCTCTGTTGACGAACCCGCAGGTTGCCGCGAAGCACCATTCTTCTCAACGATCATCATCGCATCTCTACATCGGATCAGCATGTCGCATCACGGAGCATCACACGATGACGAGGAGGAGCGAGCGCGTATGCAAGCGTTGTGGAAGCCAGAGCAAGCGCGCGCAGGCGGCCTCAAAGCCCATCGACACATCCACATCGACTGGCCGGTCGCATCGATCAAGAAGACGATCGCCATCGGCGCCTCTGCACCGGACGCTTCGCCGCCCGTCTACGACCGTCCACGAGCGGAGAACGAGGCGAACAACGCATCCTCCTGCGTACTCGTCACCAAGTCCAGTCCGATCAATGCCACCATTCACATCCTGAGCGAGTCCAAGAGTCGGCCTGCATCCGCGGATTCGTCTACAAAGAAGCTCGCGGAGAAACCCGTGCTCGTCAGCGCCCAGACGGCCTCCCTTGGGTCCATCACGCTGGCCATCCCGGCGTACTCCGGCGCGAGACCACTCAATATCCGCGCAAAGTCCCACAGCGGCAACATCACCGTCTACCTGCCCAGCTCGTTTTCAGGTCTGCTCAATTGGTCGTCGGAAACAGGCACGTTGAAGGTGTCCAAGGCAATGCAGCAGCGGTTTAAGGCGCTAGATTCACCTCCGCACAAGCACAGGGGAACGGCAAAGATCGTGCCCAGCACAGCGTCGGGTTTGAGAGGCGACGTGTGTACCATTGCAAATAGCCATGGGAGCATCACCGTCAAGGACTTTGATGATGATGTGGCAGGGGAAGAGAAGTCGTGCGTGGTGCAATAGGAACATCATCGCAATAGCAATGGACACTTTCATGGTTCACATCGGCGAACCCTGTTCGGGATCGCAAGTCGAGCTCGCTCCGGAGAAGTGCGTGTTTCGTGAGTAATGTCATTGCACAAAAGTACAGTCACCGATGTCTCAGTGAAGCTTGGCATTGGTCGGAGTACCCTTTCCGACCCTCTTGCCCGTCTCGGATCGTCCTTCGCGGCGCAGCTGCTCCACCTGCGGGTGTCGGGCCACCTGCGAAGGCATCACCCCGGGCGTCGATGCAGGTCGGGTGATGCCGACGGGATCCGACACCGCAATTTCGGGGGTGCCGAGTCCGAGATCGATGAGCGTGTGACCCGAGCTTGATGCCGCTCCATCGGGAGCGAAATAGCGTCCTTTTCCTGACTGTGAGGCCAGGTCCTCGAGCGCAATACCTGATGTAGTACTCGTATGCACGCTCGGGCCTGTTGGCGTCACCGCGCCGCTACCCCTATCCGAATCTGGCAAATCGAACGAGACCAGGCTCGAGCCCCACCTTGGCGTCGAGACCGCCGTCATCTCGCCATCGCCTTCTTCCTCTGAGATGACGCCAATGTCGCGAGACGTGGTGCCGACGAACGCATCCCGGCACAGCTCCTTGAGCGAGCGTGTTCGCGACCGGAGCCCATCTGTACCGCTGACCGCTGTCGTACCCGCGATTGGCAATGCGCCCGATGAGAGCGCCATGCTCGAGCTGCCCCGACTGCGCGAGCGCTTCGCTGCTATCCTTGATATCCGCATCCTTGCTTCACGCCCATCTGCAATGTTGGCGTAGGAGTATCCGATGCCGATCCCAAATGGAAGCGAGAAGTAGCGTAGGTCATTCGACGCCTTGCGCTCCACCTCTTCGTCGTCCGAGTCGGATCGACTCTCGGTGTGCGGAGAGGGCGTGAGGGGGGATGCTGCTGCGCTGCTGGTGCGACGGGACAAGGACGGCGGAGTCTTGATGCGCTCTTCTTCCTCCTCCAGTGACGGTACTGCAATACCGTTGGTGTGCTGCGATCCGTAGCCGCCATCGTTACGATAGAGTACCCTTGCAGAGCGACCGTCGCCAGACCGTCTCCTTCGCGGTGAGCGCGGCTGTACTGCTGCTTGCAAGCGCTTCCACATCTCTTGCGCCGCGAGCGTAAGAAGACCGACGGCGATGATGCAGACAATCACGAGCCCGATAAGCAGTCTCGAGTTCGAGTTGGGCACCAATGGCGGGCGGCTGACCGGCGAGTCGCGCCGTGAGAAGAGCGTAAACAATGCTGCACCCGCATCCGAGATCGTCAAGTCTGAGTTTGCGTGTTTGCTGAAGACGTAGCCATTGCCGGTTTGCTTGCCAACCAGGTCTTGGTTGTAAGTGCTGGCACGACCAGCACCTTTCTTGGGCTCGTGTTGTCGGGAGTCTGCCACTGGGAAAAGCTCGGAGTCGGGCATGGATGATAGCACAGGATCCGCATCCGCATCTGCAGCAGGCGCATCCGTGTAGCGAAGGGCGGCGGGGATTTTCGGACGCGTGAGCTTGGAATCACGAAGATTGCTTCCGGATGCTTCTAGACCCACCGCCGCTTGTAGCTGATCAAGGTTCTGGAATGTGACGTGTTTGCGACGGTTGAGAGAGTCTGCTGCGTCCTGTTTTGCATCGACCGATCGCCGTTCGATTGAATCGCCTGCCGATGCCTCTTGACCCGATGTGTCCGGGTCTCGAGCTGCTAACGGCTCGGTGTCTGCGAGGTCGGAGGTGCGGGACAGAAGCCGCGAAGGTGTCGTTTCCGCTGTCGCGCAGTACGCGCTGAGTGTGACCGCTACGACTACTGATGCTGCAATGCGGAATGATGAGGGTAGTCTGTTGCGCCGCCGCAGACGATTCGTAGGCGGCATGATCACGAATTGGAAGCAGGCCCAGGCTCTGCCTTGCTTTTGAGATAAGTATTGTCGTTACTGCCGATGACTGGTGCTAGAGAAACGCGGAGAGTCACCGCTGGGCGTCGCTGTTTGCGACTTGCTTCTATGTACGTGATGCAATCATAGCAGCGATCGATACGCTCTGATGTTGCGAGTTGATGCTATGACGTTCAATAGGATAGAGATACCAGTGAGGAATGCCGCGTCTCGGGTGTGTTGGAAGGTCAGACGTTGGCCCAATGCAGATGTGTCAAGTCAGACTGATGCTGAAGATGCTTTTGTGGATGCAGATGAGGTGAGATGCAGCCTGTACGCGATGCAATGACAGATGCGGTGGTGGGTCGGGACGATGATCCGCAGCGACTGATACGGAGCGACCGACAGAGTCAGCGCAGGATGCTGATGTGTTGATGACTCGGCGAGATGCAGGGCTTCGGATGCAACCGAGCGTGACGAGGCGACGTCGGAAGTGAAGAGGATAAAGTGACGGAGCGAGCCGATCGAGGGAGAGGCGAGCGGTGCTGTGGTGAAGGTAAGAGGAGACGAATCTCCGTCAGCAGCCAATCTTCGATTGTGTCCAGGATGGAATTCTGTGTGTGGATCGCGACGCACTGCCCAAGTCACACTCGACTGCGTGAGAAGTGCGGAGAGAGCCTCGCCGTGCTCGCCTGCTGCTGCTGAGTGTGGAGTTGCAAGCTGTTTCTGGCCGAGATTTCGAAGCCAGCCCAGCCCGGCCACGGAAAAGCGTGGTCAGGGTCAGTCACGGCGTAGCCACGGTCCTCGTCACGCACAGACTCACATGCAGGCCACAAAAACACAGGGGCTCGCTCGCAGCTGCCTTTGTCCGAAATTCCTTACCCTCTGTTAGTTACGCGACCTGACCTCCTCCCACCAACTTCTCGCTTTACACTTCCTTCTGGACACCCTTTCCTCACACCTTTTCATACACTTTCGCGTATCAAACCGGCGCGTATCAAACCGGCAAAAAAGAAGTGCAGCTGGGAGGAATCGAACATCCGTCTGCTCGGTTCGAGAATTGCCCAATCGGGCGGCATCCACAACGAGCCGTGCTAACCACTATACTACAGCTGCAGGAATTGATGCCGTGTTCAGGAGCTTGATGCGTATATGTTCTGCAGCATCTTCATTACTGTTCTCGGTCCTGACCCTAGCCCTAACCCTTCTTAAGCGAAGGCAGAAACCGTACAAGAGAGCGGTGAGCGCTTCATACAACATTCTTCGAACGAATACGAGAGGCTGATGCTGCAGTGTAGAGGTCAAGGGCAACAAGCTATTCTTGAACTGCAGGCAGTCATGCTGTCTTTCAGGCTAGCGTGATGGGTGACGCTTGCATTGCTAAATCATCGAGGTTTGACACTGGTCAGAGATGGCCGTGATACATGCGAGGTGTAGAGAGACAAAGGTCGGAAGCCTCTCACTTCCGATCCCCCCGCCTTATCTCTGCGATACAAAGAAGCGAGCGAGGGAAGATGGGAGTCGTGCTTCGGCAAACCGAGATTCACAATGGACGGCAGACGCTGTCGTGAGAGGTAGCTGACGCTGTTAGGCGGCAGAGCACCTGGCCTTTCGAGCGCGAAGGGAGGGGGTGACGTGACCTCGTCCGAAGCTGCAGAGGAGACGTCTGAATCTTCCTCCCGACAGCACGAGTGGCGAGTCCTGCAGAGTGTGTTGCAGGTGGCTGTGCTAGTGATGGACGCACAAGGGAAAGACGCCGGGCAGAGCTTTCGCGGAGATGTGTGAGCGTGGTGCTCGTCTCTACCAGCATCTTCGCAGACGGTACCTGCTAGAGAAGGCGATAGAGAGCACTCGCGCTGACACTGGTCGTCGGGAGCGTCTGCATGACACACGTGACGGCAGATGCCGTGGTGTGCAGAAGCTTCACGGACCTCGTCACTGCCCCAGTGTAATCTTCGCTTGGCCGGCCTGTCTGCATCGTCTCCTGCTAATGCATCGTGATCCGAGGAAGAGGAGACCGTAGAGACGCTGAGGCGATGCATTTTGCCACGTGCCTCATTGCTGCCCGGCAGAGGGCTGTCCGAGCTTTCGTGCCTATGGGCGTTGCGATAGTGCTCAGCCAGGCCAGACTCCACGTCGACAGGCAACTCTTGCTCCGCTCTGCAATCGCACAGCGCTCGCAATGCCTTGTTCTCCTCTTGCAACTTGACGACAAAGTCGAGCGTATGACTGATGATACAGAGCTTCTCGAGCACCATGCTCGTGCTGATCTTGTCGCTCATATCCTTCTTTGCCTTGTCCACCTTCTCCTCTTCGCGTTTGCGCTTGGCGTTTTGCCTCGGAGCAGAGACGGTGTCGCCTGCATCGTTGGCACGGGCCGGTGTCGTGAATTTGCGCTCGATGAGGTCTTGACACTCCTTACGGCAGGCAGGAACAAGGTTCTGCAGGGCGACGAGCTTCTCGTTGATCTTCTCCCGTCTTCGTCGCTCGATGATCGAGTGGTCGGTCTTACGGCGCAGCACGCGTGACTTTCGGCGAGTGCCGTCTTTGTTGAGCAGCTGCTCGCCAGTCTCTGTGGAAGAGCAGCTGCCAGAAGCGATCTTTGTGCTCGACGAGGCCATTTTGCTGGGAGACCGATTGCGAACGTCACAAGGCTGGAATGATGGTCGAAGAGATGATGAACATGTCTTGAAGAGAGGGAGGATGGCTCAAATGATGCCAGCCAACTCGATGCACATCCGTGACGCCCCCGCATGGGCTCGAAGGACCGGCGGAGTGTGTCCCAGCATCAGGGCAAGGGGGGACCGCTCCAGTCAGGTAGACATGATCTGTGGAGCCTTCACACACGACATCGCCTTGGACTGCTGAGCGAGCACGAGCTTGGCAGCGCCGGTCAAGCGATGGACAGCAGAGCACGCTATCGTGTCGTAACCTGCGCGGTTGTTCCTCTGACAGGTCTTGTACCATTGATTGCAGTCCAGTTCGTTATCGCTTAGAGATGACGAGAACCCTTCCGGTCATGGCATCATAAATGAGCCGTCTTTTTTTGAGCGAAGATGTTAAGCTTCGGCTAGGATGGCTCGGGTGACGGGTGTCAATCAGGGTCCGACTTCAAAAAAGTGTTTCTTCTTGACGAGAAGAAGTTCTCGAGGAGCTAGCAGACCTTCAATCCTTGTCCATTTCTGCCCACTCAAGACTTGTAGAGCAGTCGTACTGATGAGCACCATCAGTATGCGATCTTGCCGGAGCTTGACAGGAACGTCGCTTGTCAGCGTTGCTCGGAGCTCAGAGCGAAGGTTACACGCTGTTGCCGGTCCTTCGAATTATCTGCAAGGCCAGAGTGGGAAGCAAGGCCCCGTCGGATCGTCAAGAATAGCATTGTTACCCGCAGCTTCGAGTTCGCGAATATGGCGCACGATATCACCCTCAATGCGATGGACAGCTCGCTCGTACGCAGCCAAGGCAGGCCAAGCATCCCAGCCCAAGGAACCCTCCCTCGACATCGACCGAGACCCAACAGTGCGGCTCGCGCAGCTGCGTATGGCGAAGCGCGAGCGTCTACTTGCATCAGCCGACACCGCCGACAGCGCTGAAGTCGGCAAGCAGCTCAAGGAGCTCGATCCTTTGCGGCAAGCATGGGAAGCATTCTCCGTCAAACGCAAGCAGCTCATCAGCACGATATCGATGAGCCAGAATGATCCGGACGAGGACATGCGTGCGCTCGCATTCGAAGAGGTGCCTCTGCTGGAGGAAGAGCTCTCGGACTTGCGGTCGGATATGGAGAAGATCGTTCTGGAATCTGTCACCGATGCGATCGAGGCGCAGGCAGTGGGGGCGGTGGTGGAAGTGCGTCCGGGTGTGGGCGGTCAAGAATCGACCCTGTTCACTGCAGAAGTGACTCGCATGTACGAGCGCTTCTGCGAACAGAAACCAGTGGAAGAGGATGGCTCCGGCGAGTGGCAGGTCGAGATGCTGTCAAGTACCAGCGTCGACGTCTCGACGTCCTCATCAGGATCTGGCTCCGGTCTGAAGGAAGCCATCATCGAAGTCAAGGGCAAAGGCGCGTTCCAGAAGCTCAAGTTCGAGGCAGGCGTACATCGTGTACAGCGCATCCCAGCAACGCAGAGTCTCGGCAAGCTCCAAACCTCGACAATCGCGGTGATGGTGCTTCCCATCTCGGAAGGGTCCGAGAACAAGGCGGACGATCTCGTCGACCCCAAGGATGTCAAGGTCGAGGTGATGCGATCGAGAGGCGCAGGAGGTCAGCACGTCAACAAGACCGAATCGGCGATTCGATTGACGCACGAGCCGACGGGCATCTCCGTGTCGATGCAGGACAGCCGTTCGCAGCATCAGAACCGCACCAAGGCATGGGCGGTGTTGCGTGCGAGATTGCTGGATCGTAGGCTGAAGCAAGAGGTCGAAGGCAACCGAGAGCGTAGGCTTGCTCAGGTCGCAAGTATGGATCGAAGCGATCGCGTTCGCACGTACAACTTCCCGCAAGATCGCGTTACGGATCATCGCATCAACCTCAGCTTGAACGGCATTGACGCCATCATGGAGGGCGAGCATGATGCTGGTACTGGTCTGGACTACATCATGGACAGTCTGCGCGTCGAGAGCGAATCGAGAAAGATCAAGGCGCTGCTGGAGAACGAGGAGGCCGAAGCTGCGGAAGCCACGTCGTCGCAGCCTGGCAAAGGCCGCAAATGAAGTTCCCATCTCGTTCTGGCAATTGGAACTCAATCCTAGCAGCGTGCCGACAACCGGAAGCGCTTTGCTGGCCCGCTGGTGGGGTCACCTGCATGCAGACTTGCGCACGTAAGGGCCACTTTCCGTGCCGACCCGGTTGCGCTCTGATCCCTGCCACGCTGTGTGCTGATGGGAGCGCGATCACTGACCCACTTGCATTCACACGCACACGCGTGCTGCGCGCTGCAAGCTGCATGCATGGCGCATCCATTGTGATTGTGCAGCGGTTCCGACGGGGAGTCAGCGGCTCAGAGTAGAGCACATCGAAACATTGTCAGCGTAAGGTTTCTTGCGCACAGATTGAGCCGACGCTGCAAAGGTACCTTTGTTCTTTCATCTGGCTCGACCTTGTCTATAGCAAACGCCACATCGCTGTTGCACCCTTGCAACCTCGTCAAACTCTCCAAGTCAGATCGCCGGACGTCTCGCCTCCTCATCGACACATCCCAGCAGCAATGGAAGAAGCATTCAACCGTATGTCCGTCTCAACAAGCGAGAGCTCGTCATCAGCCCTCGGCTTGGAGCTCGAATCGCGTACACTACGACGCCGGCGGTCAGCGGCGTCAGCAGCGCTTCTCTCGCGGCCTTCGATGCTATCCTTGGGCGACCTGACACCTTCGTTCGAAACGTGTGTGCTGGTCTACCTCTCCTCGGACTCCCACGCCCACACCAGCGGGGTTGCCGCCCTTCGACTGATCTACGCCCTGTTCGAGCCGTCCTTCCTGGTCGATGGGACCTCGCAAACCGTTCGTAAATTGGATCGCCCATCATGGGAGCGACTCCGGTCTCACGTCGAGGATCTTCGCATCGTTGCGCTCTCCTCTCGCTACGATGAAGGTCTCACAGAGCCTCCTACTCCCACGACGCCGTGCGCTGCGCCACTGCGCAAGCCCGACTGCGTGTTCGATCTCTCGATGCCAACTGATGACCCGACGCAGCGAATTGTGTCGCAGATATATTTGCAACCGGCGTCGTACGCGTCGGTGCCGGCGAGATGCAAGGACGAGCTGTTGGAGATCGAGATCCATGCGCCGTCTCAGGCGGAAGAGCAGAGAAGAGTGTGTCTGCCCGCCCAGGTGAGGGCCGTGCTGCACGACGCGGAGCTGCTCATGAAGGAAGGCGTTGCGCCGTTGACCCCGCTGTCCGCTCCGAGCATGGGGAAGGCCAGCACCACAGGTGGAACGGGAGAAGCAGCGTTTGCGGAGACGCGCGATCGCATCCTCCGCCTTGTTCAGGATCCAGCTCCGGAAGCATAGTCTCATCAGACCCGCATAGTAACGAAAGCGTATCGAATCGAACAGGCTGCCATCCAGGGCAAAGGTTTGAGGAGAAGCCAAAGCAGGAATAGACAAAGCGATAAGTGAACAATCTAAGGGGTATGTGACCTGTACTGGGAACGAGATGAGAGCGAACGATGACGACGTTGCGGTGTGGTTCCCGTTGCACCGTCATGTTGCGCTTCCGCTTGATGATGAGTGAAGACGTGATGTGTGACGAGGGGCTCGGAGGAGCCTGCGTCGTCCTGCACTGCTCTTGGCTGGTGATGTGATGCTGCAGGGTGTGACGGCGCTTGCTCATTACCGGAATGAGAAGCGTCTTTGTGGTGATGCTGCTTGTGACTCGATTTGCCGCCGTGTGATGCATGTTTGTGCTGATGATGAGCATGCGAGGCGTGCTTGTTGCTGCCTGACGAATGCTTCTGCTGCGGGAGTGCTGCTTGAGCTTTGGGCTGAGGCAAAGGAGTCTTGCTCTGCGGAATGTTTTGCTGCTGCTGCTGCTGCTGCTGCTGCTGCTGGAGCCACATCTGCCTCGCGTGCTCCCTGGCTGCTCTGACGTCGGTAGAATTGATGCTGCTGTCCGCAGGCGGACGGATGCTGCCCGCACTGACGCAAAGCATCAAGCCGCTGTAGACGATGTTGCAGTCGAGGCTTGGGTTGTTGTTCTGCAGGAGCTGCGTGGAGATGCCGTAGGCGTTGGCGATGCTCTCGCACGTGTCTTGGTCGGTAGCCTGGTGCACGAACTGGCAGTCATTGCCGTAGCGACCGAGACAGAGACGAGTGCCGATCTCGAGGGTGTAGCAGTCAGCTCCGGCGTCGAGCAGGTTGAAGGCAAGGATCTGGTAGGTGGATGTGAGCGTCTTTTGGCCGATCTTGTCACACGTGTCGCCTGACTGGACTGTATAGTGGCGCGTGCAGGCTGTGTTGTTGGAGTGAAACGCGGCTCGCGCGAGGAGCGGTAATAGCGCCGCTGAGAGCAGCAGTGAGAACACGCGCATTGTGATGCGATGGTCGAAGCCTGAGACGTAGTTAAAAAGCTGCAAGTGTTGTTGGAAGGGATCGCGAATGCGGATGCGATGACGGGCTGAGAACGAAGTTGATCACTGACGTGATGATGCGATTCGCTGTGTGCGCGAGAAAACGTAAAGGCGGAAACACGTGGACGAGAGTTTCGGTACGAGGCGCGATGAGACAAAAGAGTGTGAGATGCTGAAGAGCTGTGTGTGCAAGCGGTACGGGAGAGGGTGGAGCAAGAGGTGGAGCGAGTGAAGTGGGGTTAGGGGGGAGATTCGGTGATGGAAGTGGATGGTGAAGAGGTAAAAGCAGCGAATCCATGCGTCCAGCGCTCATTACTTCGGCGAAGCCCACCCGCCTGCTCGTCTGTATTATTTGCAGGTCAATGGCATTATAAACAGGGGTTCTGCGTGTGTTTCTGTTGCGCTCAGCCCGCATGCATGTTGCCTCCAACGGCATGGTCTTGAGGGACCTACAATCTGTCCCGACCGAGCCACTTTGGCTTCACGCACACCTTAAAGAAGTCGCTTTGTCGTGAACACCAGACACCCGATCGACGGTGCCATATCTTTGAGATGAAGCCTGGATTGAAACGTAACTCGCTCGGTAAAGGCATGCGCTGTCGATCCTCGTTTTTTGTGTGTCTCGGGTGGGATTTTCGCAAACAGAGCCAGAGAACAACACAAAGCTGAGAGGCGCGGCGCGTTGTCATACTCATTCGGCCGGAAGACATGTCTCAGACGAGTCTTGGCCCCGATCCTCACCACCAGAACCTCGAGTCGCGAGCGCGCGGCCTTTTAATCTTTTGGTGTGTTTGGCGGAGCTGCAGTGCATGAGGAGCAACAACACTTTGTCCGCCTGTCACAAAGCCCATCGAGACTGTCGCTCTCGACCTCATCCATCATCTCGTCCACTTCTCTCTTCGGTCATCTTGAAAGGCTCACGAAGGGATTGTCGCATCTCGTCCGAATCCTCGACGACCATCAGCGCCCGCACTTCGGACTGCTGACGCATTCACACCTTTCGACCTTGCATTGGCGAAGCAACGACAGACTACCAACAGTGTCATTACGGATCGCAGCCGCTAGTACCACAACCATGCTTGATGACTGATCTCACTCAGACCCCACATACCCTCCGACATCAGCGACGGAGCTAGCGATCGGAGAATGCCGCTCGCAGCATCGGCGGTAAAGTCGCGATTGACGGCCACCAAATCACGTCAGCCAATCGCTTCTTCTGCTTCCACCTCTTCGGCACATCCGACGTCGGCCTCCGTCCGATCCAAGTCAGCCACAATAGCTCAGACAACTTCGGCACCTCCACCGCCTTTGCTGCTCCAATTACCACCGCCTCTGCCCAGCATCTCACAGCTTCAATTAGAACACGACATTCGACCATCACCGCAGCTCATCGCTCGACGTCTTATCTCGCTAGCACGTTCTTTCATCGCGCTCTCTCCCGACGCTGCCTCTGCCGACCCTTTGGACTGGGAGCTGGACTTGTGCTCAGCCACTTTCTTCTCGATCTACGCAGTATGCCTCGACCCTTCTTCCATCATCTCTCGCAGGACCCTGGCTAGATGTGCCCGCCTTGGCGGATTCAACATCGTTCTTCCCTTCAGTCCATCCGGAAGTTCCGCTTCAGCTACAGTCTCTGCTTCCAAGCTCAGCTCGCAGGATCCTCACGATCTTGCCGGTGCCAATGCCTGCATCCACATTCTTCAGCAAGGATTAGCCGCTACGTTCCAAGATGCTGGCAGTGCGAGGGAGTATCGAGACGCTTGTCGTACTCTAGGCAGATCATCCGACGCCGTCGAAGTAACTCATGTTCTGCAAGACAAGGTGCTTGGCAAGAGAAAGGCGGTGGAGGCCGCTGCGGAGGACCCATCGATACCCCAACCCATCTCGGCGCAGTCACGATACCAGTCCCAGTTGGAGACTGACGAGGCTTACAATGCAGCCAGTCGTGGGCGTCTTCAACAAGCGCAAACTACCTTCACCAAGGCTCTCGAGCTCGATCCTTTCAACTGGCGAGCGTGGGCTGGTCTCTGTGACACGGGCTACGGAGACGCGACGGCTGGCAGGCATCTCAGCGCATCCACTCTCGATCGCCTATACTCTGATCTCATCTCTCAGGCGCAAGCGCAGTATGCATTCCACGAATCGTCGCTCCGATCCAGCCCGCTCTTCACCCACGAACAGCTCCAAGCTCCGACAATGATCCGCAAAGTTTCAGAAGATGGCGCCAACAAGAAGCTCAAGGTCTCGTCAGAGATCCCTCCCGTGCCACCTTTACCTCAGAATGTCGCACGCAACGGTGTGGCGTCACGGCCTATCGGAAATGTGACACCGCCTATGCCAACTACGTCCGCTAGCGCTGTCACCGCTACACGCCTGCATCCAGCCTCCCGTGCGCTTTCGGCCGCTCAGACCAACACGCATCATCTCGACCAAGCATCGACGAACCAAGATGATGTCAAAGCCGCCAAGACCATAGGCAATGTCACCAGACCCATACGTACGGCTGGCGTGCGCACTGCAACGGTGCCTCCCACCTCCGCAGCCAACGGCCGACAACTGCGATCTACTCGTGGCAATCCAGGCGGCCCGACGGCGACGACCGCCTCGGTTGCGGCGCGTGCTCCTTCCGTGCCGAACAGAACAGGTGCCACGAGCCAGGCAGGGAGCGTTTCGTCGACTTCGTCGGGCTCGTCCGCTTCGTCCATGTCGTCCCGCGCGACCGTTTCGACGGCCAGAACGGCTGTATCTGCACGCAGAGTCGCCTCAGCAGCCTCAAGTCAGCCAGCTTCGAGACCCACGGCCGCCAGGCCAACCGCTGCGTCTTCTGCCCGCGCCGTCTCAGCAACCAACGGAATTGCATCGGCACCAAAGAAACCAGCCGCTCCTACCTCGGGTCGTCTCCTGACCACTGGTAACGTCAGCCGTCCTGGCAGCGCCATGTCCAAAGCTAGTTCCAGCTCCATCGGCGGACCCAATACCACGGCGCGTACCAATGGCACGCTCGCGTCCAGTCGCACCGCTGCCGAGGCCATGCGTCACAAGGAGGAGCAGGATGCCAAAGTCAAACTCGACCGTCTTGTCACCCTCCGTCAATCGACCATGCAAACGCTCACCACCCTTGCGCATCAGCACGCTGCCGACAGATATGTTCTTGCTCTACTTGCACACGTCGGTGAGGCGTATCGATTGCTGCGTCTTTGCGAAGGCGAGAAAGCTGCTGCCGTGCTTCAGGGCCCTGTTCTGGACGAGCCAAGCGGCGTGAAGGCGGAACTCATCAACGGCGCTCCGAGCTCGGATGGCGCAGTTGCGGATGGCTCATCCACAAGCGCCCCTGCCACCCTCAGCGAGGGCCTTCGCTTCCTCGACCTGCACGTCAAAGACAGCCTGGTGCATCATCTGCTTCTGGGCCGAAGCTACGCCGAGTGCTCACAGTACGCATCGTCCGAGACCCACTTCAACGCTGTCCGCAAGCTCAACCCCTACATCGCAAGCCACATGGACGTCTACTCGCTCGTCCTCTTCCATCTCTCTCGCGAGGTCAAGCTCTCCACCCTTGCTCAGCACCTCGCCATGGTCGCGCCAGGCACAGCATCGACGCACATTGTCGTCGGCAACGCCTTTTCGCTGCAGAAGGAGCACCAGACGGCCCTCGTCTGCTTCCAGCGCGCCGCAGCCGCCGCGCCCGACTATGCCTACGCCTACACGCTGGCCGGCCACGAGGCTCACGATCTCGGCCTGCACGACGAGGCGATCGCCTACTTCCGCAATGCCATCCGGTGCGATCGACGGCACTGGAATGCCTGGGCTGGGCTGGGACGCGTCTATCTGGGCATTGGCGAACACGAGCATGCTGCATGCAAGAGTCTGCAGCAGGCGATCTCTCTCAATTCCAGCAACCATATCCTGTGGGATCTGGTCGGATGGACGTTCTCGCTGATCAACGCGCCGGCCAAGGCGTTGGAATGCTATGACCGCGCGATCGAGCTGGCGCCGAATGCATCAGTGTTGACGTATCTCAGGAGAGCCGAGTTGCTATTGCATCACGGAGATCCCGAGTCGAGCCACCGCGATCTGGTGCGGGCGCACGACCTCGCCCCGGAAGAAGCGAGCATCCACATGCTCCTCGCTCAGTCGTACATGCGTCTTGGTGGTGGTGCATTCTGTCATCTCGAAGGCGGCGCGAACGCTCAGGGAGCGGGTGGGAAGACGAGCACCGCAGTGCTCCGCGCAAGCGGCGTGATGGTGCCTCCCTCGACATACCAGGCCGAGATCATGCACCATCTGAGCGTGGTCATCGACCTGGACCCGTCGCTGCTGCGGCTGGTCAAGAGCATCTGCGAGGGCTACAAGACGCTGCCGGGTAGCAAACTCAGTATCCATCCGCACGATTTCACGTCAAATTCGTACACCCAGTCGCACCTGTCGATGATGGAGGGTGCGAGCGGCTTCGCGCCGTCCATCGACGGAGAGGGGCACAGTCAGATGCAAGCCGCGGGGATGAGCGGATATGCTCAGAGCCCCAGCTATAGCAGGCAGTATCAGGACATGAGCGGCTTTGCCAATTCGACCCCGCACCACCACCAGCATCAGAGGACAATGTTGGTCCCTGCTGACTTTGCATCGACGCACCCGGACGCGAGCAGCTTCCTCAGCATCCACCCGGACGGAAGCGCCAGTGCCGACGTCGTGCTCGAGGACGCCGATGTGTCGGTCTGATGTTATTCTCACTCACTGTGGAATCGTATCCCATTTTCACACATATCGCATCTGAACGGTTTGAAATGAGATTGTTTTGATTTGAGTCGCTGAACAAGCAGCAGCGGCAATGTCACCATCTTTCTGTCTCCGCTCTCCTTCTTTGCGAGTCAGAGCGACCTGGCTCTTGGCGGGATGCGCTCACTTGGTGGGTTGGGGTTGGGGCTTGTTAGCGAAGATGGCGTTGATGCTCTGCCAGACGACCTTGGGGCTCTGGCTTGCGTCGACAGGAGCCCAAATGCCTTGCTTCCTGTAGTAGTCGGTCACGGCGGCGGTTTGGGCGTGATACGTTGCGAGACGCTTCTTCAAAGTCTCGGCGTTGTCGTCGGAGCGCTGAACCAGAGGTTCGCCGGTGATGTCGTCGGTCATGGGCTTCTTGGGGGGGCTGAACTCCTTGTGGTAGCTACGACCGGAGGCGGGGTGGACGAGACGACCGGTGATGCGCGAAATCAAAAGGTTGTCGTTCACCTTGAGCTCGACGGCGTGGTCGAGCTTCTGGTTCTTCTCGCGCAGCATGCCGTCGAGCTTCTCGGCCTGAGGCGTGGTGCGGGGGAAACCGTCGAGGATGAAACCGCCCTTGCACGCCGGGTTGGTCTCGAGCTGGTCCTTGATCATTCCCACCATGATCTCGTCGGATACGAGGCCGCCCTGGTCCATGATCTTCTTGGCCATCACACCGAGCTCGGTCTTCTTGGACACCTGCTCGCGCAGCATGTCGCCCGTCGCCAGGTGACACACGCAGTTGTTGAACTTCTCCAGGATCTTGGGCGCTTGCGTACCCTTGCCCGCACCAGGAGGACCGATCAGGATCATACGAACACCAGAGGGAGTCGAGCCAGTGATGGAAGAGACAGCCGCCGAAGCCTTGCCCTCAAGCTGGTGGATCTTCTCGTTGAGCTGCGAGACGAGCGACTTGAGGTACGAGAGCTCGGTGGAAGAGCCGCCAGAGATCGTGTCGCCCTTCATGCCGAGCTCCTTCTTCACCTCGGATTCCGAAGCTGCAGTTGCAAAAGGAGTAACGTCAGCTGAGAGCCTCAACGAACTTTGTGTGAGCGAGATACGTACGAGGAGGGTAAGGGCTATCCCTAGAACCGCGCGTGGTAGTAGTAGCCATCTTTGTACGATACGTGAGTGGTGGTGGGTGAGCGCAAGGGTGGGTTGAGAAGAAGTTGAGTCGGTGTGGAGTAAATTCGCGCTCGCTCGGCGTGGATCTGCGCCACGAGCAAACATCGCAACTTCGGCACTGGCCTTTCATTTCAGGCCCATGGGTGGACTCGTCAGTCACACCTCTCTCTGCTGCTTTCCCGATCTCGAACGGATCTCACACGCTTACGCTCGCTCTCAGCGTGCTGGACCCCCAGTGTCATATGCAGTTCAAAGATCAAATAGAGCATACAGAGCAAGCGAAAGCGCACCATCAAGTCGAGAAGAATGGCACTCAACGCATAAAGCCGGCTCTGGCCCAAGATCCCGCCCGCTGCTCCGATCCCTTCCATTTCCAACCCTTGGCGGCATTCCGCGATCGCCAATTTTCACCCTCCGCCTTGAGGCTCCCACCGCGTTAATATCGTACGAGAGAACCACCCCCCCGCAACACCTTACTCACACAGTCAGCCAGAGTCAAGAGTTCAGTCAGTGTACGGGAAGAAGCTGCGTATTGCTGCCGGACCATGACATCTAGTGACAAGAGAGCGCGCGAGAGAGAGAGAGAAGACACGAGACTCGACAAGTGATTCTGAAAGGTGACATCTGAGTGAAAGAGGGAAGCAAAGGGGGCCCATGACCGCAAAAGAGATTGAGAAAAGGGGCGGGAAGAAGGAAAAGCAAAGAGGAAGGCAGAAAGCAGCAGGAAAGAAAAGTTGGGGGAGGGGACCGTTGCGATACGAGGATCTGGGTGACAAGGGACTGGAATTCTAGGGACTCTCACACCGTGCTTCAGGGGCAAGGGTGCGAAGATCCGGGAGTGTTGATCGAGGACAATGCAGAGATGTGCGATGATGAGACCAGGAGACGACGGGAAAAGGGACTGTCCTACGACGAAACTCTAGTGGCGGAAGGAAGAGACAAAGGATGAGCCGATGGCTCAACCTTGCTGGTGTGGGTTGGTCTGGTCGCTCTGTAGGCCGAGAGACATGCCAGCCTGGCCGAGCGCGTCAAAGCCGACATTCAAGGCAGGCGAAAGCATGGGATCGCCCTTGATGGCGCTGGGTGGCATGCCGCTGGCCAGCGATTCGTTCGGGGGCAGCGAGCTCAAGGCTGGCAGATGCGCCGCCATATCCGTCGGCATCGACGACATGGGCGTCGTCTGCCCGGACACGGGGCGCGCGGCTTCGGCAGCGATAGCAGCCTTGCGCGATGGGATCGAGAGCATAAAGTTGGCGGCCTGGGCCTGTTGCTTCCTCTCGATCATGCTGCGCACCTGGTGCACCTGGACTTCCTCGCTCGAGGCCTTGACGCCGTTGTTCAGCTGCTGTCCTTCGGGCTGCGAAGCCACCATGGGCGCGGATTGCGGCGGCATGGCCACGTTCGCCTGCGTCTGCTGTTGCAGTGCCTGCGAGGAGGCGGGCGCCTGCATAGACTGCGGCGCTCCCATCTGATGGGCGGAAGCGAACGGACTGTGCATCATCTGAGGCGGCATCGGCGAAGGCATGGCCGAATTGAGTTGCGAAGTCGATCGCATCGCGTCAGGCACCGTGTTGGCGATCTCGGAGAGCTGCGGCGTCAGCATGGCTGCTTCGTTGGACAGCGACTGGAAGTACTGCGGGCGCGCATCGGCGTGGGTGGGCGGCGTAAAGGGGAAGGAGATGGCGTTAAGCACGGCAGGCACCTTGGATGGCTCCACAATCCTGTGGTTGATCGACTCGCTCGGGAAGTTGGCGGGCGGTTGACCGTTGATGAAGGCCACGCCGGGAGCGAGCAAGCCCGCCTGCAGTTCGTGGGGCAGCATTTCAGGCACCACGGGGGCGCCCGTCATAACAGCAGGAGCGACAGGGGCGCCTGCACCGTTTGTCGAGGCGAGCTGGGCCGCTAGCGCTGTGGAGCCAGCCGAGGGGCCGGCGTCGTGGGCCTGCAGCTCGTCCGCGGCGATCGAGGCGACCTGGAGGTAGAACGAGTGCTGGAGTTGATGCAGCTGACCGGCGTGTACGTAGTGAGCAGTGACGCTCACCTCTCCACTCTCGCTGCCTGCCGTGGGCGTACCAGAGAGGACACGGTTGTTCTCCTCCCACTGAAGCCAAGAGGGCACCTTGTTGCACGAGAACACGGCCTTGATGCTGGTCGACGACGCCTGTGGGTCCCACACCTTGAGCGGCCAAGTCCACTTGAGGCCAACGTACGCAATCTTCTCAGGCGCGCCGGCGATTTTGCGGCTGAACTCGCGGAACTCCCAGCCGCCTTCCGGGATCTTCTTGGCCTCGACGATCCAGATGTGATTGCCCTTGGACTTGGCCTTCTTGCCGTCCTCGTTGAAGCGCGAGATGTAAGGCTGCGTCCAGAGGAACTGCTTGATCTTCTTGATCGAGCACTCGGCTTCGGTGATGCCGTTGCGGTATACTTCGGCTTGGAAGGCGTTGGTGAAGGCCTGGATGCGAAATTTGAACGGACGGAAGTCAGGCGACTCGTCCAGCCTCGCCATCTTCTTGGGCATGAGCGTCTGATGCAACAGCTCGCCGCGGTCATCGGTAATCTCGAGATCGGAGCAGACGGCGGTGAGGAAGCTGTGGAAGATGGTCTCGAGTTTGTTGCGAAGCTCGGGAGACAGGGCAGCGCTGGGCCCATTCTTGTCGGCACTCGCCATGGAGGCGTCTCCTGCGCCACCGTCGTCTGCGCCACCAAAGTCGAACGAAGCCCCGCTCGAGAGGAAGCCGCTGCCTCTGTGTCGACGGTGCTTGGTGAAGTGGGCTTCACTCGCGTCGCCAGCCTGAACATCCTCGTCTCCGCTATCTTCGTTGCTGAAGGACTCTTCTTCGGGCGAGGAGGCGCCCGAGTCCAAGGCCGACTGATTTGCCGAGGTGTTAGAGCTCGAGATGGCCGACATCTGCAGAGCGCTGCGTGCAATCTTGGACTGACCTCGATCGGCGCTGTTCGAATACTCCATGGCGCTCATCTGCTTCTGTCCGTGCTGCGGCGTCATGGTCATAGCGTCGTGCAACGAGCCACCGCGCATGTGGCCATCTTGACGGATCGCTGGGCTCGATGGCATGGACTGCGTCATGGCATCGCCGTTCGAGAAGATGGCCAGACCATGACCTTGCGGAAATTCGAAAGGGGTTTGAGGCGTGCTCGGAGATGCGTTGAGAGACTGCACTCCGTTGGGCAGCGCAGCGGTGGCCTGGGCGAGCAGCGTCTGCGGCTGACCAAAATTGACACCGTTGGCCGTCTCGCTGGGTGGAGCACTTTGAGAAGGCATCGGGGCTTGCAAGTGAGACAAGCCCGTCGCGATGCTGCTCAAGGCTGCCGGCGGCGCCGACGGAGGGGGCTGAGGGGGATTGAGAGGCGTTGCCGTCTCTGATCGCAGCGATTTGAAGGGTTGTTCGAGCAAGTCGCTGTCGGACTGCACGGGTCGCTTGCGAGCGATGGGGCTGACCTGGCCGCTCTGGAACATTTCGCTATCTGCGCCCTTCATCTGGCTGAGCGTGAGGTTGGGCAGGGGCTGCGTCTCGTGTTGTACTTGAGCCTGCTGTTGTTGCGAGGGTGCTCTCTGCTCCAGAGACAAGGCCGGGGCCAGACCTTGCGGCTGGGTGGCTGACTGCGTGGGCGGCGCGGTCATGGCTACCGGTGGCGCCGACGCTGCCGCTGCGAACTTCTGATGCGAAAGATGTTGGATGTGTTGCAGATCCTTCTGCAGATCGCCAAGGCAGCGGTTGCTGCTCATGCCGTCACCGTTGTGGAATGACTCTCGCGCTGATTTGGCTTGCAGGACAACGTCGTCAAGCAGCTTGGCGATCTGGTTCATCAGTTCATTATGCTCCGAGGCGGGTTGCTGCGTCGAAGCGGAGGCCACTCGGATCGCCGCTGCTTGAGCGTCTGCTTGCGCTTGCTGTGCTTGTGCTTGCATTTGGGCTTGCGCCTGAAGCTGAGCCTGCACCTGGACTTGAGCCTGGGCGCGCGCCTGGGCTTGCACCTGTGCCTGCAGCTGAGCGTGCGCTTGCAATTGCGCCTGGGCTTGGGCGTGCACCTGCGCCTGAGTGGAAAGTTGGCCCTGAGATTGAGATTGGGCCTGGGCGTTGCTTTGAGCCTGTGCGTGTGTCATATCGAAGGGCGACAAAGGAACAGTTTGCATGTTCATGCCCAGTGCCTGCATGCCCAGACCTGGGTTGTGGGCCATGCTGTGCGAAGCGGCTCGGTGATGGCTCGAGGGGAAGCGTTCGGTGGCTTGCGCCGGCGCGGCCGACATCAAGAGCTCGTTTTGCGAAGGTGCAGAGGGCCATCCGAACGACTGCAGACTTTCGGCAGAGGCAGGGATCGAATGCTGCGGCATGGAGTGTTGGGACATCTGATGCATGTGCACGCCCAAGGACAGAGATCGTTGATGAAGTGACATGGACGGCCTCTGGGCGTATACGCCGTTGTCCGCGGAGACATCTGTCATGGCGGAGGTCGCCATCGTTGTTGCAGCTTGAGGCATGGATGAGGCATGTTCTTGATGGGCGGGCTGGGACGCATGCATGGCCAATATTTGAGCTTGCGAAGGTGCTTGTTGGGCATTCTGCTGCTGCTGCTGTTGCTGCTGCTGAACCTGTTGCTCGGCCTGTTGCTGGGCTAGCGATTGAGCATGCTGCATTGCCTGCATAGATTGTTGCACATTGCCTTGTGGCTGCGAGGGCGAGGGCAAGGTCGAGTAAGATTGCTGCGCAAGGTTCTGCTGCATGGACGTGGATTGGCCCATGGGTCTTGCTGACACAGGCGAAGCCAAGACAGAGTGTGATTGCTGCTGCGCATCTTGCGGCTGAGCCTGCGATGGTTGCTGATGTTGAAAGTGCTGCTGTTGCATGTCTGTGGTAATGCTGAGGGGCATTCCGAAGCCCTGCTGTGGATGCGACGGAGCGGTGTCCATATCGGAAGCGAAAGTCAACGGGGCAGGCGAGCGAGGTCGCCGTGCCGCGTCGTCGTTATGAGGTGTTGCGAGACCCGGTTGAGAAAAGGCTTGGAAGTAGGATTGAGCAGCCGTTTGCGGAGCATGCACAGCGCCGAAACTGAGGCGGGGCGGCGAGACTTTGACGATGTGGCCTCCGTCTGGGTTGGTGAAGCGGCGCCGAGCGTTGGCTTGTGCGAAGCCTTCGCTAGTAAGGAATGGGGACACGGTGGTGGAATGAGGATCAAAACCGTGACTGGAGAAGGTGGCCGAAGAGGGAGCCGACTCGATGTTGTCTGGGTCTTCAAATACGGAGGGGAGCTGACCAGTACTCCAGGTGGTGAGCTGAGGGCGATGAGACGATGAATCGAGCTTAGGCTCGGATGCGTCTGCAAGCGCCGCTGGCCAGTGTGGTTGCTGCGAAGTAATCGTCTTGGGCAGCGACGAATGCGTGAGGAACCTATGAACAGGATCCTACGCAGCGATGCGGGGATAGAATGAAGCCGGTTGATGAGAAGCGGCCGCGGAAATCTCTTGGTGCGTTGCGGAAATCTCGAAGGAAAAGGAGGTGATTCATACGCAGCGTATGGGATGGTACGGATCGTTGAGTGCAGAGCTAGGGGATGTCAACCCGAACGAGCAACCGAATGCAGTAGTCGAAGACCAGCTTCGAGAGGACGTAATTACACCGTGAGTGACCTCTCTGTATGCGCGTAAGGCCGATGGATAGCAGCGGCGATTGAGGCGCGAATGTTAGCGTTGACGTTGGAAGCAGACAACGGTGGCTTCAGATGTGTATATGAAGAGGTGCACAGCGGGATTGCAGGTGTTGGTGGGAGGCGATAGACAACAATGATGATCAAGTGGGCAAGGAAGGTGATGACTCCACGGGAAGCTGAAATCAATCAAGCCGCAGTGTGAGAGGTTCGGTGATGCCGAGTGGTAGAGGATCGAGCAGGCAAGCGGCGAGGCTGAGTCGTGCGGCCAATCCGATGGACGAATGCGATCTGGTGCGGTGGGAGAACTGCGCAGAGCCAGTGATTGTAGAGAGGACGCGGGCGAGACTGCAGAATCGTTGAAGCAAGCTGAGAAGCGGCGTGGATCTGCGTCGTGTGGAATGAAGTTGCAAAGTCGGAAGAATCTAGCTGGTCGGCAAACGGTCGAGGCTGCACTGTCTATGAAATGGTTGCGTCGGATACCGCGAGATGAAGATGCAGACAGTCAATGTATGTGGGGGTGGGGAAGGCGGAAGCAAGGTGACAGGCGAAAGTGGGGATGAAAGTGAAAAGCAACGTTGGTGACGAGGGGGATGATGCAGAACGATGAGAAGCTCGATAGTGAGCAACCGCAACAGCAGCAGCAAACCACAGCTTAATCTGATTTGAGCGTGGCTGGCTCGCCCACACTCACCAAGCCTGGATGGACGCAAACAATTGTGCGGTGTGCAACGGCGATATTTTCCAAGTGGACCTTCGCAATCTTCTCAACTGCTCCCATCTCGAGCACCGCCGCCCATCACACTCGCTCTGCCGTTGCCTTTGGCGCAGTCACAACGTCGTATAGAGAGAGAAAGAGCAAGCCTGTGTGTCACGATACTCGCTTGCGCCAGGCCACCCACTGCTTCGTCTTCTCAGCCAGATCAAACGCACCCTCAGTCATCGACAGCCGCTTGAGCCCCAACGTGAGCATGTTCGTATCGGCTGGATCCCATTGTCCATTCAACGCTCCGTTGGATGGGATGGCACAGCCGACCTAGCTACACATCCGCTCGAGACGATGCTCTGCCATGTTCTGCGATGCGCTGCACTGCAAATGCACAGCTTTCGAAGCAGCGAAGGAGGCAGTACTCGCTGGGCTTGGTCGGCCGTTCCGTTTCCCCCCAGGGCAGAAGGCAATCACGCTTTGTTTGCGGGCGCACTTCTTCCTGCGGCTCGTCAACCGGGATCCTCAGGGCTCATGCCAATCGGCAAAAATTTCAAGAAGAACAGCGGCGAAAAGAGAGTGTGTGCAAAGGGACCTCGCTTGTGCCAAAATTTCCAAAGGGCAGAAAAAGAGAACCGCCTTTCAGCACAACCGGTCTCTCTGCCGTAGCTAGACACCGCACGCACCTCTAGGAAGGCGGCCTACTCTGCCACCATCTACTGGACATTGACCTGCCCTTTGTCCTCAAAGCGCACGGCAAGACACACAATTCGTGACTGAGCAGCAGCAGAACAATGCGGAAGCATTCTTCTTGACGGTCAATCTGGCCTGCTTGCTGCGGTGCATGCAGGCACAGATTGAATCCATTTGAATTCGAGCTTGGAAAGTGACCCTGAAATGAATTCACGACCAGGCAAATTGGTTGTCTTCGATTTGAATTCAAAGATGCTTTTGAGCATCACAGGGCACGCAAGGCAGCAGCAGGCATTGTGCGCAGGGTTGTGAGAATGCCACGAGTCTATCAGCCTTGGGGCTCGCTTGTTCGGTCGCGGGTTAAGCCGCTGCCCGCCGCTGCTTGCTGCCTCGAGGCGAGCAAGAACCAAGCCGCAGTGGACGGGCAGCGACGGCGATCGCTCTCTGCTCACAGGCCTATGCCCTGTCCCTACCCAGGCAGCTTGAAGTTGTGTAGGCCATCTCGAGGTTGGGCTCCGCCAGGCCCAGCTCGCCAATTGACCTCTGGAGCGAGCGAGCTTCCATATGGAGATGGATCTGCGTTCCTCGAGCATCGCGAAGTGCGGCAATGAATCGCGTGCGCAAGCGAGGCTCCTCTCCTCATTCTTCTTGCCAATCTGTGGGAACTTATTGCATCGGCAAAGGCACGCTCACTCACAAGCGTGTATAGCACTGGTGGCTTCCTGAATCGAAGCATCCACCCTGAATCGTCTGTGGCTTCAAGTTCTGTATGACACTCAAGACAGTCAGCTTTCCCACACTTTCGTGCTGATGGATGGCTCACTTATCTGGCAAAGATTGCCGCAGACTCGGCCCACGGACACTCCGAAGGTTCACTTGCCTCGACGACGCAGTGTCGGGGCCCATTCCAACGCAAACATCACCTTGTCACATTGTCGGCATCGGGTGCGCCGAATGTCATGAGGCTGAGGCCGTACGGAGGAACCGACTCTGGGCTCGCAGTCGAAGCGGGCGCATTGGCTGCCTTTTGACAAGAGCCTCTCACCATGACTGCGCCACTCAGATGCCTCGCTGGCACTGCTTGAGGCTGGAAGCTGCGTTGCGCCGAACGGTTCGCCGCTGCAGCCTCCTTGTTCCGATGCCTTCGCCATCGACTATATGATGGACTATGGTGTGTCCTGGCGTCAAGCTCATCGCCAGAGCACAGTGGGACCATACGGTCAAGATGGAGAGGTTGACCGGTGGGCAGTGCCGCTTCCCTATTTTGTTCTTCTGGTCGGTTGCATCTTGTCGAGTTGCATGCATGATACCATCCTCTTTCTGCCCGTCTATTGTCTAATCCATTTCGCCAGAGAGTGAAGAGGAAGGAGACAAGACGGCCGCATGGCGCCCCTGCCAATCGCGGAGTCCGGTTCATATTATACAACACGTCTCGGCTTCGTCCACCTAACGGAAGCTCAGGCTCCGTTGCAACGTCGAATGCAGCAGCCTCGGCTGGCTCGCCGTGGGTCTCGCGCATCGATGGCAAGCTCACGATCGGTTCTTCTGAACGGCGTTTCGTGCTGCTGCTGCTGCTGCCTAAAGGCGAGGAGAGTTTGGGGGGCATCCACAGCTTCGGCGTCTAACCACCCCGCTTTTTCCCTCCTTTTTCCTTGTCTGATCGCCGCTCGCTTCTGCCTTGCCCTTCGATCTTGGCATCACCCTGCTTCTCGAAGTTTGGACTTCTACTTCGACTCGAACGTGGCGAGGTAAGGCTACATGCATCCGAAGTGCTGTACCCACTGCGTCCACGGACATAGACGCTCCGTCTCCAAGAAGGCGGATCGGCTTGGCTTCTACGTTTGCACCGAATTGATGCTGCTCAAGCACGGCAACTCAAGAGAAACCCACTGGGAGCCACCTGGACAGAGAGCCGCTCCTGTCGGAGTACGAATTCTCACCACGAGGAAAATTTGCTTATGGGTCGCAAAGAAAGTCGCCGCGACCCAACCCTGGACTTAGTCTCGTCGCCGGCCAGCCAATCGTTGAGCTAGCACAGCCTGCTTTGCATCAAAGAAAGTCTCGACACGGCCACCGCAGATCGTCTCGATGACAACGCAGCAGTTCAACATCTAGCTTGAGCTTGTCCTCAGTGTCTCACTCGGACGACGAGGCCTGCTTACGCGCGCGCAGAATAACGTGAGGAAGAAGCAACGATACTCGTTGGACAGGAACCAGGAGCCGTTCTCTTGCTGTGTTTCAGAAGGGGTAACGTCTGTCCAAGCTCGCAATCCAATGGCCGTCCTGCAACAAGCAGTCGCAAGCAAAGCTTCGTGCAAAGCCGTCGGAAGACAAGGCTGGTTTTGCTTTCGTGCGAATGTTCGACACCCACGTGTTGGCTCGGTGCCAACACTTGCCGCCTCTTTCCCCTCTCTCGAGATGACGAGTCCACATGCCAGCTCAACACGACGTCGAAGAAATGCATTATCGGGCGGTCACGACGAACAGGTTCGATAGCAGCCGATTGCGGTACACGTTGCATACTGTATTACCGATAGATAGCGCTGAAAGCGAGTGAGGGCAAGGGCAGGCCATCTGTCAGTCGTGTCACAGGGTCCTGCCGGGTGACTACCTCAAATTACGCAGCACAGGAGCATTGAAGATACCGCTTGCTGTCTGCTTCATATACTCTGGCACCGTCACAGCCGAGCTCACCACCGAGATGGCGTCCTCAGATTTGGTCATCGAGAGGCAGCTGCTCTTTCGGCCCAACTTGGATGGCGTGCTGCTACTGGCTCTTTCCGCCCTTGCCGCGAGGTGGGAGACTGTGCCTATCGACACCGGACTCCTTATCGGACTTGCCGCTGGACTGCTGCCGTTGCTAGCGGTATGACCGGCAAACTCGCGCAGTGCAGCGCTGCGGCCTTCGAGCATGGCGATCTTGTTGCGCACCGAGGGGACCACAATCGAGGTTCCACGCAGATTGCGACTTGAATGCGAGCGCGAGAGCAGGCCGCACACTTCGCAGGCGGACGCAGTGGAGACGCTGATTAGCGATGAAGCGCTGTCTGAGTGACGCAACCCAGATGCACCGGTTTTGGTCGGCGTGACGATGGCTTGTGGGATGTATGGTCGCAACAGACTGGCCGCGGGTGACATTGGATGGCGTGGGGTGTGGAGCAGCTTGCCGGGCGTCGAAGACTCGTAAGCTTTGCTCTCCCGCGTTGGAGTCCTCGACGGCGGTGCAGATCGACCGACCACAGGCACGTCGCTCGCAAGAGTGTCTGGTGTTTTGGGCCCAACCTCGATATCCTCGTCTTGCTCTTTGCCAACGGCAGCGGTGTCAGGCGTGCGGGAGCCTGTCGACGATCCTAGCCTATCCTTTTTGCCATCACTCGTGGCCCTGGACCGGAGGATGAGAGGTTTCAGGCCTGTGACAGAGTGTGTCGACCGGTGTCGGCTCTGCACCGCAGTCTGTTGCTGCAGCTGCAGCTGTTGACGATGCGATAAATTGTCCGAATGACGCTTGAGGTTGACCGCGCTCAACTCTCGCTGTACACGAGCGCCGACACGAGAGGCGATGGGGATGATCGCCATGGAGCTCCTTTTGGCGATCCGATCCGTCGATGCGTTGGGTTGGATGACTTGCTCATGCGGAAGGCCAGCGGAACTACTGGTGGCACCCTTGGCGACGGTCAGAGGTCGATTGAAGTTGCTGACGACGGCCAGATCGGTGTGGTAGGGGCGCATATCGCCACATGTAGGATCTGATCGCGGATCGATGGAAGAACGAGCAGCGGAATGTGTGCCGGCCGTGGGCCCAGAAAGCGGCACTTCCGCAACTTCATCCGCCTCCCTCCTTTCTTCTTCGTCGGCTGAGGTGTGACGTCGAAGCGCCCGGCTCCCGCTCTCTTCGGCGACTTGTTCAAGAACCAGCATGTGCTCGTCCGCGTGGAACCAGACATCACCGACATGCATACTGTCATCGTATCGACAGAACTCTTGATAGTCCAAACGAGCAGAACCGATCACCATGTTCATTTCGGCCATCGACTCGTCGTTCAAGGCCAGAGCGTGGTCCGCTTGCTCTTGACCATCATCCCGGTCGTCGTAGTCATCCCAAATCTCGTCGAGCGACAAAACTTTGGCGTTGTTGATCTGCAGGATTGGCAGCGGCGTATACGGTCCTGGATCCTTCTTTTGACGGCAAGACGGGCTGTTGATCGGCAGCTGGTACGTCTTCTGAGGATGCAAATAGGTAGGAAGGTGCAGATGCACAGGAAGGTGCGAGTATGTTCCCCCCAAATGAGCCTGGTGTGCTCTGCCATGCTGCTGCTCGTATGGCTGGCGATCAGATGGAAACATTGTCGTTGCTCCGCTGTAGTGGGTGGACGCCATCGGAGTGTCCAGGTCGTCATCGTACTCTGGGCCTCCTCCTGTGGAAGTTCCAGCAGTGCTACTGCTGGTGCTCAGCCCAGGACTGCAGCTGCTGACGCTGCCCGAGCCAGATCTCCTTGCAGGCATCAATAGCCCGATCCCCAGACCGGTCGGACTCGGTGCGAACCGAGACGAGCTGCTCATAGGCGTCACGTCAACACCGCGACGAGCGGCGGCGCTGCGAACGGCAAGGTGGATGAAGTCGAGCGACTTTTGGTGCTGTAACCTCCGAGTTTGCTCAGAAGCAGCAATGCGGGGCGACAACGTGCGATCAGCCTGCAGGTGTTGGTCGTGATTGTGCAAGGAGATCCCAGTCTTGCCCGGGGATCGCATCGCTTCGACCGACTTGACTCGCGCGATCTTCTGATCTGCATCGATTCCTGCCATTCTCTCGCTCGTCGCTTTGAGGGATGTTGCGCCACTGGGAGAGATATGATTCGCAGCCCAACCTCGCGGTGCATCCGCGGCGAAGCCCGCACCTCCAGCCTTCTTCAGCGGAGGTGGGTCAAGCGAGACGAAGTTGACGACGCGTACCGGCAACTCGACCGAGACATCTGACGACAGCGAGCTGCCGATCGACACCTTGATGCTGTACACCACTTCTACGAGTCGACCTCGCGAGATCGACATTGCATCCGCGGGGATGAGCATGTGATGAGACGACTCGACGCGCTGGCCCGGCTCGACGCCGACCCACCACCCGCGAGCGGTTACGGCGCCTTTGCTGCCCTTCTGCCCCATCTCGAGCTGCTCCTCTGCAATCTTCTTGCGGTTCGTCGAGGTCTGACATGCATCAGGGTCGATGTCTTTGCGGGCTCTGTGTCCGTCCAGTTCGAGCTCCGGTCTTGGCTTGTACAGCGTCACCGTGCGCATGAGCGACAGAGACATGCCGTTGATCTTCTTGCTCGTGTCATTTTGTATGGCGATGTTCACGTAAAGTCGCTGGCCCGCGACCCACGTGCTGCGGTGAAGGCTCGCCATGAGATGCACCTTGCCAGACCCGCCCAGGAATAGACCCTTGGAGCTGCTCGCTTGGATCGGCTGCACCGCTTTCGACAGGATGACTGCTGGGTTGAAGTACGGATACACGTCGATGTGCCGATAAAAGTGCGCGATGGACCGGTCTGCTCCCGAAGTCGACTTGAGCTTGACCGAGCCAATGACGATGTAGCGCACGACGGCGTGCTTACAGCGATAGCTGCCTTTGGCCCCCTTTGCAATAGGTAGATCGAGGGAAAAGGGGATCGAGTGAATCCCGATTTTGCCTACGGCGTACCCTTCTGCATCGGGTGCACCTGCATAGCAAGGCAGCGCTGGGAAGGCAGCAGTCTCGGGAGAGGCAAATGTCGGAGAGCCATGCCGATGAACATTATCGCGGGAGCTGTCGCCATCGATGAGCGAAGCATGATGGTAGAAAATGTGACGTGTATCGTCCGTAAGCAGCTCTTCGAACCCGACAATGCGGACCTTGGGCTGAGCCAGAAGCACAGCTCCCTCCTTGACGGAGCCTTTGCGGATTCGAATCTGCATACGACCTTGCAGCGTGCCTCCTTCGACGACGAGATCGGACTCGAGGACTAGATCGACCTCGACACGTGCCTTGCTCGCTTTGCCCTGCTCGAGCGCGGGTGGCGGGAGGGGACCGGTGGCCGCAACAGCATTTGAGCGTTTCAGAACGCCCTTTGTGTGTCCTTCGCTGATCACCTGTCTAGCGGCGGAGGATGGGAGCTTGCGGTCCGAATTGCCGAGGAGACGGTCCAGATCCTTGCTTCGGCGCAAAGGATTGGCTGTGGCGCTAAACAGCGTACTTTGACGTCCCAGGAGAGCGCCTGTGATGTTTGCCTCCGATAGGCTTTTCTGCAGACGGTTTCGGGCCTTGCCGCCTGTCCTCTCTGTCGCATTGTCGCTCCCAGTATCCATCTTCGAGTCAAAAGCACTGAGGTCGTTCGCTCCCAGGTCATGCTCTTGGTCCAGAGCCACGATCTCATGCGGGACCACCGACAGACCAGCGTCATACGTCATGCGGTATCTATCAAGGCTCACTAGCGCCTGTCCACGCTCTGCCTGGTCCAGACCCTGTAGACTACGCTTGCTGCGCAAAGCAACATCGACAAGAGACATCCGTGACAATCGATGCTGCTGCGCCGCGGCAACCTTTGGCGATTCTTCAACGCAGTCAAATGTCTCGTTCTGACGTGTAAGGAAGTGCGCCTGCTCGATGGGGCTTCGCATCAGCTTTGCTTTCGGGCCGCTGGAAGAGGTGCGAGAGCATGACAGAAAGACAGAAGAGTGTGTTGAGGCTGTGGCGCTACTTGCGCCGATCTTGCTATCAATGCCTCCTTTCTCGAAGCCATCGTGGCCGTACAAGCTGCCCACTCGCAAGGTTGGTCTGCTTACTCCGTCTTCTGGTTGGGAGCGCTCGCTTGCCGTTGCGACTTCCTGGAGCCGGGGGATAGCAACAGAACCGAGATTTCCCCGAAGAAGCTGAGACCTGGGCAGCTTGGTGCGCGTGTAGCCGCCGAAGCCATCGGGGATCATGACTTCAGTCTCGCCATCAGAGACATCTTCAGGCGCGTGAATTTGACCTGCCTTCTCTTGCTTAGAAGTTCTGCCTACATTTGGCTGAAGAGACCCGACCCGGGGTCCCAGACGCGAACGCAAGCTCCCTTTGCGGCGAGTGGCACCTCGGACGCTGATGCGACGGTGACTCGCAGTGGCACGCGCTCTTGAGGCGTTAATCACATCGTTGCTGGGCTTTTTTGGCAAGGAAGCATGCATGTGCGGCTTCATGTTCGTTACGCAGCTCGAAGATGCCGGGGTTGTGAGGGATGACTCGGTAAGCGTGGGGCTCGGATCGCATTCCGTGTCCGTGGGCGTAGCCGTGTCAGTGCTATGGCCATGCATGGCAGCTACTGCTGTGTTGAGACTATGCAGCTTATGTGGCTCCAAGACGATCTCCTCTGCTATTGTGAGAGGAGCTAGGGGGTCGTCATCCGTCCACGCCCGGTGGCCCAAGTTGCCGGGTTCCCCGGAGACGACTGGGACTCGAAGAGCCTGTTCGCTGGCTATCTGAGGTCGAGTGTAGCGGAGATGGCTCTTGAAGGGCTTCTTGGGAGGTATGTGTACTGTTTGGCTGTTGAAGCTGGATCCATGACCGTAGATGTGTGGGTTGGTGTCAAAGCCTTCGGACTCGTTGCCAAAGTGGATGCCTAGGCCGGACATTGTATGGGAACGCCGTGCTGCGGATGTGTCGACAGGATTCATACGAGGATCTGGGAGCCGATGCGGTGTCCTCAAGGCTCAGGTTATAACAGAAGACGAGGAGAGAGAAGAGGTCGGTGTTGGACAACCATGCTCAGCGATTGATGCAGACAAAACAAGCACATCGACCTCGTTCCGACCTGCCAACGACCAACAACATCTACAAGGTCAAGCGCGCCCATAGCAGTGTGCTCTCGAGTGGCAATCTTGACTCAAAGGTCTCCCTCTGCGACGTCGGTCATGGAGAAGATATGGAATGATGCTTGATCTCGTCCGTTGAGCCATATCATTTTCTTGCGCCTCGCCGCCAAGCTGTGGCTGATGCGTGATGTCCATCTCGGCTTGACTCAGCCATTGGCTCCACGAAGGCCCAGTAGATCTCTACAGGACTGGGGCAGAGCTCATCGTGCCTTACATCGAGCAGAGTCCTCTATCGACGCCGGTCTCGATGCTCGTGATCCTCGATGCTTGTCAGCGGAAGCGCTGAGTGACAGCTTTGCTTGGTCAGTGATACACGACCATTTTTTCGACGCAAGAATCGTGACGAACCTTCAGTCTAACAAGGTTGAATTTCGCGCCTCGAGCCTCATTCCGGCTGTTGTGTGACGCACGAGGCACTATCCACCCGCACGCTCAAGTCACAGAGTTGGACCCTCGTTGGACTCATCATCATCGTCACTTTGTTCTCGCTTTTCATATCGTCACAACACACAATCCCCATTCATCTGCAGCTTCGATCTGCGCTAGGCTCGGGTGGGTTAAGCACGCAAGACCCCGCTGGATGGGCTCAGCTTGCCATCCACTCTCGTGTCAGCTAGCTGCCTCCATGTACAACGTCCCAAGCCCACGCATCTAGCTGCTTCGAGCTTCGCAGTCGCACTCGGATACGCCAACATAAGTGATGTCTGCCAATCGCGGTCGGAGTGACGACGCGGCGTCGAGTCCCAGCGCTGTACAACGCCATCCTTTCACACGGACACCCTCGACCGAGCCACCACGCTTCCACCTTCCTCGCGAATCCACTTCCGCTCTGCAGCAGAGACAGGATCTCGACGACACATTGGCGGTTGATCTCGGCTCTGGATCGTCTGGTGACCAGGGATACGTCTCGGTCAATGCATCTGCGTCTCGTCCATCCGCTGCTGGGCCTTCATCGTCGAAGTACTGGCCAGAACCTTCCAGCGCACATTCCAGTGCAGCCTCTTATGCCGGCAACAACACCTCAGAGCAGGACAGCTATCATCTCGACAGTCGATCTGGTCCCCAAGTCAGAACCGCAAGACTGCACAGCAAGTCGAACGGCTACTCCTCTTCCACCGACGGCGACGTCGCGCCCTTGGCATCCACCTCACGCACAGGTGCCGCAGCGGCCACAAATGGTGCTCGCATACCTCCACCCCTCGTCGGGGTCAATCTCACCGACCAGCAGATCGCCGACATGACCGAATCTGACCACTCAGAATACGACGACAATGCCAAGCTGCGGCGCGCCAGACGAGGTAGCGGTGCAGATCCCAGCGCTTCGTCCATGTTCAGCTCCATCACCAGAGGCCTTCGCGGCGAGCCGTTCTGGACCAAGTCGAGCTCATCTTACGCGCCGCTCCCTGCAACCCGCTCACGCAGCCTCAAAAAGTCCAAGTGGAATCGCAACGCAGTCAAGACGGACAAGGCGTTGTACACCAACACCTCCAAGGATCGCAACCGTGGTCGAAGGGCCGCCTCAATATGGACCAAGCCGTTGACCATGATTGCAGCCTTCTTCAGCAAAGTCTTCCGGACCACCTTTGGACCCATCCATCCGATCACCATGCTCTTGGCGTTGATATTCATAGCAAGCTTCGTCACCACCGTCACAAAGCTCATCATTTACATCCTCAATCCAGACAAGGAGCCCAAGATGTGGCGCATCTACTGTCAGGAGCAGCCGAACTTCCCGCACGCGTATGCCGATGCGCTCGCTCCCGTCGACGTCTTTGTCGGTATCTTCAGCATCGATAGCGCCTACGAGCGTCGTCACGTCATTCGAAGCACATGGGCAACGCACACGCTCCCCGTCGATCCGCATACCGGCATGCCCACCAGCAACGTGCAAGTCAAATTCATCATCGGCAAGCCGCGCCAAGCGCATGCGAGGCGGGTTGCGCTCGAGATGGAGACGTTCAACGACCTCGTGGTGCTGGACATGAACGAGAACATGAACAGGGGAAAGACGCATGCCTACTTCCAGTGGGCCGCAGAGAACGCCACGGTGCCTTTCCTGCGCGCCGTCGAGCATGAGCAGCAACAGCAGCAGCCATCCGTCGGAGACGTGCTGCTCGGTGAACGTGGATTGCATGGCAACGGTCATGGGCAGACACGCGAGGTGCTCGGAGGCGTCGCTGACGAGGCGCAACGCTACCAGGTGCTGTGGAAGAAGGCCGACTACGTGGTCAAGGTCGACGACGATGCCTACGTCGTGCTGGAGGAACTGGAGCGCCATCTTCGAGTCGCCCCTCGCCAGCTGACCTACTGGGGCTATTTGGTTCGAAATTGGTTCATGGCAGGCGAGGCCTATGCGCTGTCGAGCGACTTGGTGCAGTACGTCGCGCATTCGGAGAACGTGCTGCATTACATCAAGGGCAAGGAGGACAAAAAGGTGGCGCAGTGGATCAACCTGCATCCGAACCGATCCAACATTCACTGGGTCTCGGAGCGCTGCTGGATCTACGATCATCCCAAGGCAGGCACCGCCTATTCGCACGGCTTCCTGTTCCCGGACTACGTCGAAAAGATCAAGCTGGAGGGACGACGCGGGCTTACGGATCAGGAGATTGCGCGGCGTGGCGGCGAACATCGCGCCAAATCGTACTCGACGGTCTCGCGGTGGCACTTGCCGTACGTCGAGCCACGCAATGACCTGACCATCGAGGAGGAGGTGGAAGCTCTGGTGGAGGGTGGAGGTCGATGGGCTGGTACCTGGGTCCGAGGCGAGGAGGGAAACGATACGCAGATCTGGGTGCCATGGGAGCAGATAGTGTTTGAAGCCGACGACGAGCGGCTCAAATCACCCATGGTCAACGATCTTGGAACTCACCCTGCCCTGGCCGAGCAGATTGGCATCGATCCTGCCTCCGGCCTGACGGTGCGACACATCAACAGCCTCACCCCGAAACCGCTCGAAACTCTGATCAAGGCGGACGGCGACCATCAGCAGCAGCCACCGTGGCGAAAGCGGGATCTCCCTTTTCTTGCGCATCTGCCATCCGTGCCCGGCTTCGACTTTGGCGCTGGTGGCGTGTCGCGTAGTGCCGCCGAGGAACGAAAGCGGTCGTTCGCCAACGCAGCGACTCAGCCTCGCATGATACCCCTGCCAACGCACAAGGATGGCAACGGCGAAGCAGAAGAACTGCGAAATCGCCGCTACCTCGGGCGACGATTCGGTGGAACCGTGGTGGTGCACTACCTGAAGAAGAGCGAGTGGTTCTACGAAACGGCATTGGCGCTTTCAGGACGCGGCCGGTTTTGGCCGGATGGTGCGGGTGGGCTAGGCAGCGAGTGGAGGATGTATGGCAGTCCACTCGTGCGTCACGAGGACGGCTACATCAGCGGAGGCCGCAGTCAGCCCCGTCCGGATATGGAGGTGGCCTATTTGCAGCAGGCTAGAAGGCAAGCCCAGGCGAATGCAGCGCAGGCGGCCCAGGCGCAGGGTGGCCGGATGGGCAGCTTTACCAAGTCCAAGCCAGCAGGACCTCCAGCAGCGCCAGCACAGCCGCCGCCTCCACCGGCAGAGCAGCAGCAGCAGTCGCAGCACAGCTGATGCGATGTACTTTACCAATCAAATCTCTCATACCACACCAGTGCAGCCACTGATCATCATTTGCTGACCATGCCAAGGCAAAGATCGCTTTTCGTTTGGTGAGAAGGTGTGTGTGACTGAGCTTCCAGGCGACGCGTGACTCTACGCGACCCGCGAGGCGAAAAAGTGTCACTTTCTTAGCCGACTCAGCCAGAAAATTCCGAAATTGGATGCCGAGAAGTGGGACCGCGCTCTGCTGCCGGGTTTCTATTCGACCGGCGTGGAGATGAGCGTGCGTGGGGCTGAAACTCAGCCTCCGCCTCGACTGTTACTCTCGAGTGGCAACCTGCTCAGCTTCCATCTGTCTTCCTTCCACCAGATCATCGTCACCATCGTCCATATACAGCTATCCGACATCGCCTTCGGACAGGCCATCGTATCTGCGACGGCGCTATCCCGGTCGCTTCTCACCGTTTACCGTCCAGCGCCTACTGCCTTCAAGAACGCGCCAAGATCGTTCGACAGAGTCGGGACTCCATTTTGACATCGCGACCAGCTCGACGTGGTGTAGCTCTCACAAGGTCCTCTCTTCCGGCGCACATCCAACGACATGCGTCGGAGCGTCATTCTTGCTGCGCTCGGGAACTCGCCCTCACCCACACCGGGCGACGGCAAAGATGCGACGACGCCACTGAAGGGCAAGAGCTCCCCCTACTCGCGACCATCACCACTGGCAGACGTCTCGCGAAACGCCAATGCTGCAGGCTTTGGTCCGCTGCTAGGGAGGAAACCATTCAAAACACCCTCATTTGCGAACCAACGTGAGAAAGACAATCCCGATGGCGGCAGGAAGCGCAAGAAGGTCGACTACCGGGGGATGGACTCGGGCGGTGGTGGTGACGACGGCGACGCAGGTGCAGCCTCAGGCTCAGACGACGACAGCAACTCCAAAGGCGGTAAAGCAGGCACGAAGAAGAAGAGCAAAGCGGGCGCGATGAAGACGTTGGAGGGTGTCTACAAGGGCATCGACGCCTCTGGTGTCTCGCTCAACGTGGACCGACGCAAATGGAACGTATTCGAGATCAAGCCCAATGCCATCAAGAAGGGCTTTTCGGTTCCGGTCATGACCAACAAGCAAGGACAAGTGGTCGAGACCAGGCTATCGTACGCAGCGCTGGGAACGCGGAGACAGATCGACATTCCGCCACGCCCGCTTCACGACCCCATGGGCGAACACGCTATCGTTCTGTTCGACCCTACGGTCGACGACCGCGAAGCCGAGCGTCGAAAGGCTGAGATACAGCAAGAGCAGGCAGCAGAGGAAGCACGCATCGAGGCCGGTGCAGCAGCGCAGACGCCTCACAAGAGCCTAGCTGATATTCTCGGTCTCAACAAAGCCAAGTCCAAGGAGATCGAAAAGGTGCCTGTCGTCATCGACCCGCGACTCAGCAAGGTGCTCCGTCCACACCAGGTCGAAGGCGTCAAATTCTTGTATCGGTGCACCACCGGCCTCGTCGTCGAGAATGCATACGGCTGCATCATGGCCGACGAGATGGGTCTCGGTAAGACGCTCCAGTGCATCGCGCTCATGTGGACGTTGCTCAAGCAGTCGCCAACTGCCAACAAGTCGACCATCGACAAGTGTATCATCGTCTGCCCTTCGTCGCTCGTCAGGAATTGGGCCAATGAGCTGGTCAAGTGGCTTGGTGCTGCGGCGCCTGGCAATCTGGCGCTGGACGGCAAGCTGAGCAAGGACGAGATGATTGAAGCGACGCGTCGTTGGTGCAACGCAAAGGGTCGAGGCATCACGCAGCCGGTCATGATTGTCTCCTACGAGACGCTGCGAAACTTGCAGGAGGAGCTGGGCAACACCGAGGTGGGCCTGTTGCTTTGCGACGAAGGTCACCGTCTGAAGAACGCCGACTCGCTCACGTTCCAGGCTCTCACGCAAATCAAGGTCCGTCGTCGCGTCATTCTGTCTGGCACACCCATCCAGAACGATCTCTCCGAGTACTTTGCGCTGCTCAACTTTGCCAATCCGGAACTGCTCGGCAGCCGCGTCGAGTTCCGCAAGAACTTCGAGATTGCCATTCTCAAGGGCCGAGACGCCGAAGCGACCGACAAGCAGCAGCAAGAGGCGAACGAGAAGCTCAGCCAGCTCTCTGCGTTGGTGAGCCGCTTCATCATTCGAAGGACAAATGATCTGCTCTCCAAGTATCTGCCGGTCAAATACGAGCATGTGGTGTTCTGTAAGATGTCTACATTCCAGCTCAACCTCTACCGCTTGTTCATCCGGTCGCCCGAGATCAAGAAGCTGCTTCGCGGTACAGGCAGTCAGCCGCTGAAAGCGATTGGCATCCTTAAGAAGCTCTGCAACCATCCGGACCTGCTCGACTTGCCGGGCGACCTTGAAGGCAGCGAAGAATTCTTCCCCGAAGGCTACACGCCACGCGATCGACGCCATGTCCAGCCGGAACTGTCAGGCAAGATGATGGTACTGCAACGTTTCCTCGAGACGATTCGCGCCACGACCAACGACAAGATCGTGCTCATCTCGAACTACACGCAGACGCTCGATGTATTCGAGCGCATGTGCCGCGCCAATCGATGGGGCATGTTCCGTCTGGACGGTACGATGACGATCAACAAACGTCAGAAGCTGGTCGACAAGTTCAACGATCCCGAGGGCAAAGAGTTCATCTTCTTGCTTTCGTCCAAGGCGGGAGGGTGCGGCCTCAACCTGATCGGCGCCAACCGTCTGGTGCTCTTTGATCCCGACTGGAACCCGGCTTCAGACCAGCAAGCACTGGCGCGAGTGTGGCGAGACGGACAGAAAAAGTCATGCTTCGTCTACCGCTTCATTGCGACGGGATCGATCGAGGAAAAGATCCTGCAGCGACAGTCGCACAAGCAGTCGCTCTCGTCCTGTGTCGTGGATGAAGCACAGGATGCAGCACGCCATTTTTCAGGCGAGGACCTGCGTGCGCTGTTCACGTTCAAAGAGGAGACGGCGTGCGATACGCACGACACGTACAAGTGCAAACGATGCAAGACCGGCAAGCAGTTCATCAAGGCGCCGGCGTTGCTGTATGGCGACACGAGCACGTGGAACCACTACGGCAAGGACGAGATGCACAATCTGCACGACGACCTGCTGCGGGCGGAGCAAGCGTACGACGATGTGAGCTTTGTCTTCCAGTATTGCAGTCATTAGGCGTTTGCCGTTCCTTGTCCGCTTCCCGGTTTCTGTTATATCGCATCCCTTCTATACCCTTTGTCAATGCATGCAGTCATTCGTTACATCTGGAGTCGAGTATGATTGATGCCTGTGCGTTTCGGCGTGAGCTAGTGTACAGTGCTTGAGAGCGAGGAGAAGAATGCTGATGTAATCGTGTGTTTGAGTTCGGTGAGCGGCCTAGTAACCGACGGGGTTCTCCCTGATGGTCAACCTGGTCCACTTGGGCACCTTGTGGACGCTCTTCCTGAAACCTCTATCGTGCTTGCTAAAGGTGGTGTACTTGTCCTTGGCGAGCATGTGTTCTTCCCTTGGCAATGCGAGAGCGCGTTGCAAGGCGTGGCATTCGACGTTGGACTTTGTAAGTGTGGCGATGACGTCGTCGACAGCGCGCAAGCGGGTACGAACGCGCGACTTGCGTGTTGCGGAAAGCCGCCATGGGTTCTTCCACAACAATCCGCCGAGGGATGGAAGGGAGGGCTTGAATGCTCCACCGAACATTGTGTGAGTTGCCGACAGAGAGCTGGAATCTGGTGCGCAGAGAGACGGTGTTGATGGACAGAAATGCAAATTACGGACGGTACGAGTGCCTGTGCAGCGGATCGTCGATGAATTGTGGCGCAGAGAAGGTCGAGGGTGCCGACGATGAGGAGATGGTTGGTTGCGAGAGCGAAGATGAGATGATGAGAAGGATGTCCAAAATTTACCCACTCTTCCGAAGGGCTCGAGATGCATTTTTTGAGAGCGATTCAGTGTTAGACCGTCGATATCTTCGCGTTTAATCAGCGCGATTTGCCGTGCGACATCGGCCATTTTCTTGACTGCCGGCAGGTTAGGAAATTTGAGATTTCTTCGCGATTCTTCCAGCGACAAGGTCAACGTGTTCATCATGTCGGGAGGGGTGTCACGGTCCTGTCTCACGGCTTGCTCGGTCCTCTCCCCCATCAGATGAGCTGAGAAGAGTTGTGTCGCGATTGGAGCACGCCAAATGTCACAGTCCAGCATCGACCGACAGAAACAAGCTTCAAGATGGCAGGCTGCAGGGCACGAAGAGGATGGACAAGGCATGCTGTCGGACAAGACGGCCAAAAGTGACACGTCGTCATTTTCCAAGACTCGGCACAGCAAGAAGAACTGCACCTAAAAATATGAAATCAAGACCGTGCACCCTCAGTTGAGCTTCTGCACGCTGAGTTTGTGTGTGTGTCTCTCTCTCTCTTTCCACGACCACCATCCATCCTCGCCTAGCATCCGTAGAAGTAGGCAAGCAGCTAACGGCAACGTAGACTGCTCCCAAACATATACAGCATGGACGCAGCTTGGACAAAGAGCGTCCACGAGGCGCTCACCCTTCTCCGGGTCGACCCCTCCAAGGGTCTCTCCGACGATGAGGTAGAACAGCGACGCGAAAAGTACGGCTCCAACACGCTGCCCGAACAGCCTCCAACGCCGCTTTGGCAGCTCATCCTCGACCAGTTCAAGGACCAGCTCGTGCTCATCCTCCTCGCATCGGCCGTTATTTCCTTCGTACTCGCTCTTCTCGAGGAAGACACCACCCTCGGCGCGGCTCTCATCGAACCAGGCGTCATCTTCCTCATCCTTGTCGCCAACGCCACCGTCGGTGTCGTCCAGGAGCGCAATGCCGACAAGGCCATCGATGCGCTCAAGGAGTACAGCCCGGATACCGCCAACGTCATTCGTGAGGGCACCACCGAAAAGGTGCGCTCCGAAGACCTCGTCCCTGGTGATGTTCTCATCCTCACAGTCGGTGACAAGATCCCTGCCGACTGCCGAATCATCGCTATCAATTCGTCTTCTTTCCGTGTAGACCAGGCTATCCTCACCGGAGAGTCTCTCTCGGTCAACAAGTCGCTCGAACCCGTCAAGGACACCAACGCCGTCAAGCAGGACCAGACCAACATCCTCTTCTCGGGCACCACCGTCGCCAATGGCACTGCCATCGCTGTTGTGGCTCAGACCGGTACACGCACTGCCATCGGTGACATCCACGCCGAGATCTCCAAGGACGACGATGACAAGACACCGCTTAAGCAGAAGCTCGATGACTTTGGTGAGCTCCTCGCCAAGGTCATCACCGTCATTTGCATCCTCGTCTGGATCGTCAACTTCCGTCACTTCAACGACCCTTCGCATCACGGCTGGGTCCGAGGTGCCATGTACTACTTCAAGATTGCCGTCGCTCTCGCTGTCGCTGCCATTCCTGAAGGTCTCGCTGCCGTCATCACCGCCTGTCTCGCCCTGGGCACCAAGAAGATGGCTAAGAAGAACGCCATCGTCCGTCACCTCCCCTCCGTAGAGACCCTCGGTTCTACCAACGTCATCTGCTCCGACAAGACCGGCACCCTGACCACCAACCAGATGAGCGTTACACACTTCTCTGTCTTTGACGCTCAAGGATCTATCGCCGATTACTCGGTCTCTGGTAGCACCTTTGCGCCCATCGGTGAGATCACCGATTCGCAAGGCAAGAAGGTCTCCCAACTCAACCAGCCTCGCACCGCCTTCCACGCGCTCGCCGAGGCTTGCTCCGTCTGTAACGATTCGCACGTCCACCTCGATGACCACAACAACTACACCATCGTCGGCCAACCCACCGAGGCTGCGCTCAAGGTGCTCGTCGAGAAGCTCGGCCACCACGATGCTGCTGTCAACCAGACCGTTTCCCAGCTCGATGCTGCCGAGCGCGCCAGTGCCATCAGCAACGAGTACGGCAAGGCGCACCCCAGGCTGTTGACCTTCGAGTTCAGTCGCGACCGCAAGAGCATGTCGACTTTGATTCAACGTTCCTCGGCTACCGGTTGCCTGCTCGTCAAGGGTGCCCCTGAGACCGTCGTCGAGCGCTGCGATACCGTGCTTCAGGGCAAGAAGTCGGTCGCGCTCGACTCGGCTCTTCGCGCTCAGATTGGGGACAGGGTGCTCGAGTACGGTCGTCTCGGTCTGCGTACGCTCGCCATCGCCGTCAAGGAGGATGTGCCGCTCGACGTCGAGTCGTACCGCAGCAGCAGTCCTAGCGAGTATGAGAAGTTCGAGCAGCGCATGACGCTCATCGGTCTGGTCGGCATGCTGGATCCCCCTCGCCCGGAGGTTCGACACGCCATCGAGCGATGCAGGCAGGCCGGCATCCGTGTCATCGTCATCACGGGCGACAACAAGAACACCGCCGAGACCATCTGCCGCCAGATCGGCGTCTTTGGCGCCAACGAGGATCTCCAAGGCAAGTCGTTCACCGGCCGCGAGTTCGATGCGCTCACGACGAGGCAGCAGAAGCTGGACGCCGTCAGCGTTGCTTCGTTGTTCTCGCGCGTCGAGCCGTCGCACAAGTCGCAGTTGGTGGATCTGCTCCAGAGCCAAGGATTGGTGGTTGCCATGACGGGCGACGGTGTCAATGATGCACCTGCGCTCAAGAAGGCGGATATCGGCATTGCCATGGGTTCCGGCACGGACGTCGCCAAGCTCGCCGCCGACATGGTTTTGGCGGACGACAACTTTGCCACCATCGAAGCCGCCGTTCAGGAAGGCAGGTCGATCTTTAACAACATGCAGAGCTTCATCCGCTACCTCATTTCGTCGAACATTGGCGAGGTCGTTTCGATCTTCCTCACGGTGCTGTTGGGTTTGCCGGAGGCGTTGATCCCTGTGCAGCTGTTGTGGGTCAACTTGGTCACTGATGGTCTACCGGCAACTGCGCTGGGCTTCAACCCGCCGAGCACGACGATCATGCGCGAGAAGCCACGCAGTCGCAACGACCCGCTCATTTCGGGCTGGATCTTCACTCGCTATCTGCTGGTCGGCGCCTTCGTGGGTGCTGCTACGATCTTTGGCTATGCGTGGTGGTTCCTCTTTGCCAGCACAGGTCCGCAGATCAGCTATGCGCAGTTGTCGCACTTTCACCAATGCCCATTGCCGTCGGCACAGGCTCCCGGGGGACTTTTTGCCGGTGTCGACTGCTCCATCTTCACCTCGTACCGTCAGCCGTCGACGATCGCCCTGTCGGTGCTGGTGGTGGTGGAGATGTTCAACGCGCTCAATGCGATCTCCGAAACGGACAGCCTATTGACCTTTGGACCCTGGAAGAACCCTCTGTTGATCGGCGCGATCGCGCTTAGTCTTGGACTTCATTATGCGATCTGCACCGTCGACTTCCTGCAGGACTGGTTCCAGGTGACCCGTTTGACCAGGGAGGAGGTCGAGGCGGTGATCTGGATCAGTGCGCCCGTGGTGTTGATCGAGGAGGTGTGCAAGTTGGTTACTCGGGTGTTCTTCTTGAACAAGGCGCCTAAGGCGGTCGAGGCGAATGGGAAGAAGGATCTGTAGACGCTCACGTGAAAAGCTGGAATGACGAGATGTTAGACACACGCACAATCAAAAAGCAACGTCCCAAAATGAATGTCCATGAAGAGCTCTCCCGTCTGATTGAGGGAGTGGGTATGACAAGTCTGTTGGCTGGATACTAGCACCCTTGGACCTTCCAAGCGACCAACTCCTTGGGATTCGTCAGTCTCTTTTCGAGTTCATGGCATCCTTGGCAGAACTTGCCGTGGTCTCCGGTGCACATGTGAATCTGACGACCCTTGATCTGACTGATGGTCTCGGCGAGGTTGCAGGTCAAGCCCTCGAGTGGGGGGAAGGGGGTTCGGGAGAGCCAGCAGGCGGCGTTGGCGCCTCCGACGCCGTCGCTGTGAAAGTACTGATATGGTTCGTGGGCGAGGGATTTTGGGTCCACACCAAAGTTGGCGGCCGAGCGAGATGGGGATAGGGCCAAGAGGGCGAGGAGGGCGAGGAGGAGCGTGTGTGGTGCGAGTTGCGGCCTCATTCTCGAGGATGTGATGCTCCGGGATCGAGCGGCAGAGGAGGGTTCGAGACGTCAGTCAGAGCGCGAAGAGGTAACAAGCGAGTTACTCCGTGGGTGTGCTATGATCGGACGACGTTGGAGGGTAAGGTCGCGATGCGAATGATGTCCTTGCGCCACTGTCTCGTCGTCGGTCCTTTCGCGGTGGGGTCTGGTCGACAGGTTCGTGCTTTCCCCAAGTGGCCGGTGTTTCGTTACCAGTAGGATCCGTATGCTGCGTGTGATTGTTCGTGTGCGGTCGTAGCGTTCCCCTGAGCAGCAGCAGCTGAGTCCTTGGGCGGATTCGATGTGTCGATGGCAACGGGCGAGATTGGAATGATGGTGGATATTGACCGAGCGGTGAAATTTGGATCTGGGCCCTTGCAGGTCCACATTTCATCGGGATGTTACACCGATAGAGTTGCAGCGCTCAAAAAGTCCAAGGTTGGGAGGCGTGGGCGGATGAGTGAGCACCAACGTCACCACACGCTCTCTCCTGGCTGTCAAGCAGGGCGATCCTCAGCCGGTCAGGGTCCAGCTGAGGGTGGTCATGCTCACACATGCTGCCTGTCTCACTGCGAGCGGCTTCTTGTGGCCGCGAATGAGCCACTCCATGTGTTGAGAGTCATATATAAGGCTGGGTCTCGCAACCTTCAGCCCCGACTCTGAGCCAGCATTCAAGGAAACACGTTAAGCATGTCGTTCATTCCACTCTTCCGCACCGTTGCCAGCCGCCGCGCCGTCTCAACCGGCCTGCGATCTTTCTCCACCACCTCGGCGGCTCGGTCGGCGGTCAAGCCGGGTAGCGAGAGCGAAGCTACCACGCCTGGATCCGGTCCTGTAAGTCTTCCCCTTTCCCTTTCCCTTTCCCTTTCCCTTTCCCTTTCCCTTTCCCTTTCCCTCCCTTTCTCCTCATACCCTTCCGCTAACCTTCCACACTTTTCTTACGCGGGCAACACAGACGGAGGACATCGCCAACAGCGACGGCGCGTACGACGGCTCGCGCACCAACCCGCACGCCTCCACCAGCAAGATTGAGAGCGAAACCGACGCGGACTTTGATCAGAGCAGCGCGAATCAAAAGACCTCCGAGTTGGCCAGCAAGCAGCAGCACCAGAGCAATCGTCGACCGAGCAAGCAGCAGCAGAGCCAACCGGACAGGGACGATTTCGGTGCGAGTGAGGCTCGCAAGCAGGGCGGTCGTGGCGGCTCACAGGCCTAGTCATCTCAGGATGCTCGTCACTTCAAAGTCTAGGAGCCAAGGTAAAGGGACGAGTTTGTTTTGGGAAACACAACAGATGCGAAGTACAACCACGTGTGAAGGGAAAGCATGATGCAAAAACGGACTAAGGGCGCCTGCCCGACGTTGGATTTTGGATGATGACCCCTAGGGCCGGTGAAAACAAACGAGTCCTTCTTTAAAAAACCCGACCTAGGAAAGTGAATGATGAAGAGAGGGATCCGACGTGTCCGAGTGCATCTTGGGAAATGGGAGACCGAACGGTCTCTTTTGTTGATGTGCGAGGAGCTTGAGAGACGACCTGGTCTCTGGTCAAGGGACCGGAGTTGGTGGCCGACTAGTTCATGCGGTGCTCTCGACGAGACGCTTACTGGCGGGGAGCGCCACGGCCGACACCGGCGAAGCGAGGGCGGTACTCGCCCGAGGGGGCGCCGTCCTTCTTCTCACCACCGGCAGCGGCGTCGCGGCGGCGGTACTCGCCACGGTCAGCACCACCCTCGCGGTCGCCACGGGGAGCACGGTAGGCACCATCGCGACCACCGACGGGGGCACGGGCAGGGCGAGCAGGGCGCTTGTGCGTAGCAGGCACAATCTCGGCGGGCAGGTGCAGGAACTCGCGCAGGTACTCAACACCCTCGTCGGTGAGGGTGTAGAAGTACCACTGCCACGAGAACTGCGTGTGGACGTAACCGCGCGAGGTGAGCGACTGGAGAGCCTTGACAACCTCGAGGTTGGGGATCTCGAGCTCGGGGTGCTGCACCTGGAAGTTCTTGGGAGCGACCATGACGCCCTCCTTGAAGAGAGAGGCGTAGATCGTCTTGCGGTTCTCCTTGCTGATGATCATTTTGAGAGACTGTAGAGGATGGAAGGGGTGGAGATTGGGTCAGTTTGGGGTGTTGATGAGGAGGGTGGGTGAAATGCGATGTGAGGATTTCGAGGACTGGGAGCGCGCGAAAATTGGACCGGCAGCGGTGAATCTCCTGTTTTGCAATGCCGGCAGCCATCCTGATGTAGCCTTAGCACGGTTGTGATGCACAGCAATTGCCCTCCGGCAGGATCGCCTTTGCCCAGCATCCAGCAGTCGTCATCCTGATGCTTGCAAGCTGGACCCTGCGAATGCCACGCCAGCGACATCACTGAGCTGCACAAGTTACAAGACCTGCTCGTTCGACCTCCACGACCGCAGTCCCCGCTTGATGCTGCATACTGGCTGTCCGCGCGATGCTGCTTGTCTGCCAGCCACGTCCTGCCCGCCTGCTTCTGATCCTGCTGCTGAACATCGTTGCCAGTGTGGTAGCTGCTGCTGTTGGCGGTGATGCTGCGAGATTATGTTGGTGTGCGCGTGCTCCCAGTCGACGATGCCCTCACATGGGTGTTGGATTGCGATGCTGACACTTACGTTCTTGATGTGTGAGATAAGTCCTGAGGGGAAGAGAAGGAGGATGACGATGACGACCTCGACACTTTGCTCGAATCGCGAACCACGAGAGCGAGTCGGTTGCTTTCTTCCCACCTTGATGCCCGATCGGGCTGCTGTGGCCTATGATTTTGACAAGGCAGCAGAGCGCGACGTTGGCTCCTTGTCAACGATCTGTGTCACGTGTAGATCAAAATGTAAAAGTTCCCACGTTGTGCCAAATTTGCAAATGTCGCAGGCAGTACGTACGCTCCAGGTCCAGCGCAAAATTGCAATTAATCATAACCGGCCATCCTGCAAATGGCGGAATTCAAAGTTGAATTTATGTTTCCCAGACTTCAATCTTTGTATTCGCGCTCTTCACGTCGCCAGCTGCTGCCTCAAATTTAGCGAAGAAGCGCGCAAGATTCCGACAGCAGAGCAGCTGCGATCGTAAGAGACTGGCCTGCAACCGCAATTTGATCTCGCAAATTTCGGTACAGCAGACAGGCACATCTCCGGCGTTGCATTTGTGAGGCACCAGAGTCACAGTCTGTGTGGTGGTCAGCTCAGCCAAAGTTTGGTGAGCCCTGAGTGGCTGAGGTTCGTCGACGCTATCCAAAGCAGCCTGGTCGCCATCTCATCTTTCTGCCCTCCATATCGTCAAGGTTACTCATACACGTAAGCATCTACACCATTCGCATCGGCAGTACGTGCATCAGCAGAGGGAAGCATATGCAGCGCATTGGTCTGTTCGACGTTCCGGCGAAGCAGCGACACTACAGAAGCATCGACAGCATGTCTAAACCATTTCCATCATCGACAAGGGACAGCAAAACCATCGCATCCCTCGTGGCACTCAGCACCCGTTCATCTTGATACGATCGGACGCCTAGCAGCGCGCCCATCGCCATTCTGTCGTACTCGTGGATCATCACTGTCCAGCAGTCAGATGCACAACAAGCACATTCGACTCTCACATGTTGCAGACTTCGACCATGTCACGACACCATCGCTTCGTCCACAATCATTTCACTCGGCAGCAGCGGCCATGTCTCGCGTCATCAACGTGGTGTTGGGCGTTGGCACATCCAGCAGCAGCGACTGGATTCGACACGCAAGGGGTGCTAGGCTCAGCCTTGGACCGATCAATCTGTTCCCTGGGCCTTGAACTCGGCCGCGCGCCAGCCATCAATTGCAAATTTTCCAGCAATGCTTCGCTCTTCGACAGACCAATCACGCTGCGCTTTTTCCCTCACTGCACCCATCACCACTGTCAGGACCAGGACCATCTCATCTGACCGTTCCTCTCATCCCTCATTGTTCGCTCTTGTAGCCCCTCGATAACACACATAATCCATCATGGGTAAGGTTCACGGATCCCTCGCGCGTGCCGGTAAGGTCAAGTCGCAGACCCCCAAGGTCGAGAAGCAAGAGAAGGCCAAGCAGCCCAAGGGCCGTGCCAAGAAGCGCCTGTTGTACACCCGACGGTAAGTTTCATTTCAACGAATCGGACAAAACGACATCGAGATGGACACGATCAATGGAGCCTCACAATCCGCGACACCCTATGCAGAGATTGATGGGAAGCAAGCTAGGATGCCGCACGTGGTACTGCTGAAACAGCAACACTTCGCACGGATATCAGATGAAAGGTTGTTGGGGCGGGAGCGGCGATGCATACGCAGTGCGACACATGGCACCCAAGTCGGATCAGCTGTGAAACCCCGTCCGCTCAACCCCTTCGCTGTCGTTGCAAGTCCGGTGGCAGCTCTCTCACGCCGATACCAGTGGACACACTCGCAGTGACACAAGATGCGGTGTGACTCACCGTGCAGAGCAAAGGCATTGCAGCCACCGCTGTCTGCATCAGGCCAAAAAGGACACAGCAGAGTCGCGGGATGCAAACAGCTTGGCTGTCAGGAGATGGGTCTTGCTAGTCTTAGCGCGCACTCTCGATGTCGTTTTGTCACGCGCGATTTCGCTCTGCCCACTACCGATGACACGTTCTCACACGTCGCTCCGTCTCTTTACGCTTTTTCGCATTCTCAGATTCGTCAACGCTGTCGTCGGCCCCGGTGGCAAGCGCCGCATGAACCCCAACGGCGAGAACAAGTAAACTCCTTCAACATCCTTCGGCTCTTCTACTCGCAACATTACCTATCTTAGGACTCCTCTCGCACACCACACACACATTCGGCATTCGTTGTCTCCATATGCTTCACGCAAGCCAATCCAAAAAAGGGCAACACGCCTGACGTTTTGCATCCCTGCTTCAATACATTGGTTGGCGTCTGTCGCGGCATTTTGAGCGAGATCGTGGTTCGGATTGGAGGGTTGCCGAGTCTATTCGGTGATGGCTTCTTTCGACAATGAGGGTTCCTTCGCATGTGTCTGTGATGCTGTCTCGCCTGGTGTCGAGATGGGACCTTGCGCAACTCTCAATCGCTCAAACCGCGCCTTGAGCTCCTCCTCCTGCTTCTTGTCTTCCGCCTCCTTGCTCTCCTGCACCTTCTTCGCCTCCTCCCGCTCCCGCTCCCTCTTCTCTCTCTCCTCTCCCTCCCTCCTCTCCGTCTTCTCCCCCTCCTCTCGCCGCTTCTCCGCCTCCAACACCCGCAACTCCTCCTCCATCTCCTCCTCATCCACATGCACCCTCGCCCCGTCCCGAATCACACCATCCACCTCGTCCTGCACACCCACCAGCTCCTGCAACCCGTCCATGACACTTTCCACATTCTCCACCTGCAACTCCTTCCTGCCCAACACGCCGCGCAACACGCCTTCGCTCGCCTTGAGAGCGCGCATGACCTCGACGTCGCCCTTGGCCTGTTCGATATTTGCTAGCACGCCCGATAGCGTCTCTCTCACGCCACGACGTTTCTGCAGAGCTTCCTCGAGAGCTTTGCGGCTGCGCAGGTGGGTTTTGGCCAAGCTTGGGTTGTTAGCCCGAAGAGCGGTCTTGATGCTCTCGTTACGGGTGGTGATCTGGGTTTCGAGCGAAGAGATCTGCGTATCGAGCCGAAGCAGGGTGGAGTGAACAGCGAGGATGTCACGATCTTCAGAGGTGATTGGTTCGACAGGGTCGTATTCGGTTGGTGCGAACTTGATCAGCCCGTCCTGCACCACCGCTGCTGGACCCTCGCGTCGATCCCGAGAAAGGTACTTGAGCACCAGCAACGCATCCCGCTCGGACGGCTCAAATCCACACTGCGCCGCTAGCTTGGTGTGAAACTCCGACGTCGTCATGAGCAGCGATAGTGGCGACAAGGAGGCCTCGTTGGCGTAGAAGTGCATCAAAAAGGAGGTGGAGAGACGCTCGACCAGGGGGAAGAAGACCCATTCACCGCGCTTGAGTCGGAACAGACGCTCGTCTTCGCTGTACTCTGCATCGTCTTCCTTGGAGCCGAGGGCGAGGGTGTATAGGGAAGAAGCGGCCCATTTTGCTGGTGTGAGGAGCAGAGCTGATGCTACGCCGCGTGTTGTTGGGATGTAGGATCGCAGACCTGAGGAGGGGGAGGGGCCGGAAAGGGGTGTCGGAGACTTGAGGTATGAGGAGAGCGGGATGACGGTGCGTTCGCGCTCGAGGTCCGCGATGACGGTGCCGAGGCCTAGAGGGCGGCCGACACCGGGGATTGTCCATCGCGCTTTGGTGGACTCGTCCAGGCGAAAAGTCGTTCGGTCTACTACTTCGCCCATCCCTGAGGCTGAGATTGATGTGGAAGATGGTGGATCACGGTCGAACTGAACACCGGCAAAGGTGACATCCAGCAGAATGCCCTTCCACCACTCGACGCTAGCACGGTAGCCGGCAGGATTGGATTTGCGCTGCCGCGAAAGATCGGAGTAGAGTGCGGGAAGGGGAGAAGAGGACGAGCGCGGGTCTTGGAAGGACGTGTGCGTGGAGAGGTATTTGGCGAGGCCGGTGTTGCTCGACGTCATGGTGGGTGCGCGGGTATATGCTGTGACGATGGTGCGCGTGTGCGGAGGCGTCGAGGGTATATTTGAGCGGTTGAAGCTGAGCTCTGATGATGACGTTTGACCGTGAGAGCAGATCGATGTGTAGTGGGCGGTGTGTGTTGAGACAATCGTGTGGTGGGTTGAGGACAGGGTCGACGTGATGATGGTGATGAAGCGTGAGAGTGTTTTGCAGAGTGTGGAGGTGTTGGACTTTTTTTTTTGTGGTCCAAGCGAAGACCCTGTCCAGCTGTGCGACCTTACCATCACACCCTCACCAGCATCATCGTCGCTATATCTCACCCTTTGCTCGGCCGCATCAGCCGGCCTGGTCCAGCCCACCATGTCGGCCTCATCATCGAAACCGACATTCTGGAAACCAGGCACCTCTCAACCGGGCAGCTCGCTCGATCGCTCCACCTCATCCGCCCCACTCCTCCCTCCTCCCAGCACCTCCCCATCCACCCTGCCGATCCACTCCTCCCGCCTATCGATCCTGCACGCACTCGAAATCTCCCAGATCCTCATCCTGATCGGCTCCACTGGCAGCGGCAAGACCACCCAGCTTCCCATCATCCTTCACACCTCCGGCTGGTCCTCCCGCGGCACCATCGCATGCACGCAACCCCGTCGGATCACCGCAACCACCGTCGCAGCCCACGTCGCCTCCTCCCTCGCCGTCCCCCTAGGCGAGGAAGTGGGCTACACCGTTCGCTTCGAAGATGACTCCTCGCCTCGCACGAAGATACGATACATGACGCACGGCGCGCTGCTCCGCGAGTGTCTCCGCGACCCCCTGCTCACCAGGTACTCTGTGGTGATGGTGGACGAGGTGCATGAGCGCGGGTTGGATAGCGATCTGCTACTGGGGATCCTCAAAAAGATCTGTCGCAGAAGACCTGAGCTGAGGGTGGTGGTGGCGAGTGCGACGGTGGATGTGGTGGGAATGAAGGAGCTCCTCGATGGGCCGGGGGGAGTAAGTGTAGTGCAAGTGGATGGGCGGAGTTTTCCGGTGGAGGCGGCGTTCCTCAGCCAACCCTGTCAGGACTACGTACAGGAGACAGTGGAGACGATATGGCGCATCCATCTGGCTGAACCTAAGGGGGACATACTAGCATTTCTCACTGATCGCTCGGAGATCGATTCTGCTCTACAAGCTCTCTCTGATCGCCAATCGTCCCTCCCTGCCTCAGCGGCGAGGATGCACCTCCTCCCGCTTCACTCTGGCCTATCGTCATCTGAGCAGACCGAACTGTTCTCTCTAGCCCCGACAGGAACACGCAAGGTCGTCGTGGCAACCAATGTCGCCGAGACGGGCATCACCCTCGACGGCATCGTCTACGTGGTCGATTGCGGCCTCGCTAAACTCCGCACCTCTTCGTCCCTACACTCGACGCTGTCGGTTGCGCCCATCAGCCAGGCATCTGCGCTTCAACGCGCGGGTCGAGCCGGTCGAACGCGCCCGGGAAAGTGCTTTCGCCTGTACAGCGAGGCGACCTTTCACGCGATGGCGCGCACTACAGCGCCAGAGCTCACGCGCGTAGGGCTCGAAGGGGTGGTGTTGCAACTCAAGTGTCTTGGTGTCGACAACCTTCTCTCGTTCCCGTGGCTTCCACCTGCGCCGCCGGTGGCCGCGCTGGCCAGTGCGCTGGGTCGACTCGTCCGTCTAGGTGCGATAGATTCCCATTCCCGGCTAACCGAGCAGGGCGGGATGATGGGTGAGCTTCCCCTTCCCCCGCACCTCTCTCGTGCGCTGCTCGAATCGACACGCCGCGGATGCGCATCCGAAACGCTCTCCCTCCTCGCCATGATGTCCGTCACATCGCCCTTCTTTGCGGTGGAGAGCACCGAGACGCAGCTCTCCATGCGCGCGTTCCAAGCCAAAGAAGGCGACATGATGACGCTGCTCAATGTCTACCTTGCCTTTGATGGCGTCGGGCGGCGCGGGAGGAAGTGGTGCACCCGACACCGGTTGAATTTCGCCGCGCTGAGTAGGGCGGTGAATATTCGTTCTCAACTCGAGCGATACCTGCAACGCTTCGCCTCGACAGTCAAGCTCGATCCGACCTCGAGCATCCTAGGACGGCAAGATGCGGTGGAACGCCTAACGCGCTGCCTCTGCACAGGACTCTACGCCAATTTGGCACGCTACGACGCATCCACCATGACGTATCGCACCGCCGTGGGTGGGGACGAGGTGTGGGTGCATCCCAGCAGTGTGTTGTTCAACCGGGCGCCGGAGACGGGCAAGCTGTGGGTGGTCTACGGCGAGGCGAGCCAGGGGGATGACGGGAGGATTTTCATACGCGACATTGCCGTGCTGGACGATCTAACGTGGGTCACTGACGCCGTGCCTGGGTTCTACGATGTCAAGACTCATTGGGGCAGTAGTGCGCGGGGGACGCTTCAGACGAGCGCCGGCGACGAATCGTATTCAAATCTTTGAGAGGGAAACAACAACGATGATACCCATTTCTCAGCATGACGAGTGTGATGTGTGCAGGGCTAGAGAGGGACCACGTCGACCTTGGCCGCAGTGTACAGATCCACCGTGAAGTCCGCCTGCGTTCCTGGCTGGTAGGTCGATGCGATCAACCGATACGTCCCTGCTGGCAGCCTGGTATCTACGCTTGCGCCGCACGTGAGGTCCGTATAGCTGCCGCTGCTGGCGACCTCCTTGAAACCCCCACTTTCGGCGAACAGGGCCAGGTTGACGTACGGTCTCACCGCCTCTGTCCTTGGTGCCTCGACTCGAATCCGGGCGACAAGACCGGTGAGTCCCGGGCGATCGAGGGTGAAGCGCCAGCCCGGATTGTCAAAGTAGGCCCTGTTGGTAGGCGATCCACACGCGTTGACACCGCGCGTCCAGCGGGACGTGAGTCGGCGATGGAACATTCCCGCTCCTTCCTGCGGGATGGGTCGCAGCTGCACGGGGCGGGTCGACTCGATTCGCAACGAAAAGTCGCCCAGGATACCGGCGTCGAAGGTCGAGGCGATCAGCGTATAGGTTCCGGGTCGCAGGGCGGGACCGGAATTGCCGGGTTGGGAGGTGGAGCACAGCGCCATACCGTGATGGTACATCCCGCTGCTCAACACGACGTCGCCCTCGGTCAGATGCGTCACGCGGCCAGTCCCGGTGCCAGGATAGGTGAGAAGCACTTGAACCGGGATGCGTCGGTCGGCGGACTCGAGCGTGAGCTGCAGCTGCACTTCGCCCTGGTTGGCGGGGATTACCAACGTGTACTGCGGGTTGGACAGGAAGGATGCCAGCGTCGCGTTCCCTCCTGCAGTGCGGGTTGTCCAAGAGCCGCTGATCGTTTCGCAGTACGGCAATCGAGTCCGGAGCTCGGAGAGCTCCATCGGATACCGTGAAAAGACGGACAAGGTGTAGTTGGTGTCCTTGACTGTATTCTGCTGCGGCGTTCCGGTTGACGATGTGGGCTCGCTGCGGCGCGGCACGACAATGGTGAAGCTGCATTGCTGGGGCCCTCGCTCGGGGCTGGCGGCGTGTTTGGACTGTGTTGGGGTTCTTTCGCGCAGAGCAGAAGGCTTGAGGCGCACGAGGACATGCGTTCCATCTACAAACGCACCCTTGTGCTTGGCCTGACGCAGAGCAGGAGCAGCGCTCGTAGTGGAGCTTTCGCTGTCGGAGGAATGATGGTCATCCTCGAAGGCATGGATCGCAATGTATTCTGTGGGTGCCTCTGCGGTGTCCGTGACTGCCCCCTGAGTTGGCCTGGTGGTGGTGATGTGTCGTGTCAGGAGGACCCAGACTTCAGCAGAGGGATCGCTGGCGGCCGCCTCGGCGCTGCTGCTCTGGCCGGGAGGAAGAGCGATAGATAGCCTGAAATGGGGGTCAAACTGCTTCGAGCCTGATGTTGGAGCTCCTGGCGACTGAGAAGAGGGGTCGCCTCGCCAGCATGAGTGCACCGTGACGCTCTTGTCGAACATCTCGGGATCCCAATTGAGAAACAGCGAGTCGAAGTGACTGCAGAAATCGTCCCACGAGACCGTGAAGGTCAATGGAACCTCAGCCTCTTTCTCTTCCGCGTCCAGCTCGACACCTCCCAACTTTTCCTTCAGCGATGAGCTGGCGTAAACACGCTGCTCTTCTTCCTCCGAGATGGCGAATGCGGGTCTGATGCCAGCGGCAGTGCGCCATGGATTCATCAGCTTGACGTAGCGGCGATTCCCACTCGTGCGCACATCCAAGATTGCATAGTTGTGGCTGGAGATCAGGCCCGAGTCGAGCGTGATGTTGTCGATATTGTCGTCAATCTGGCTACCAGCCTCTTCCTTTTTGCGACAAGGCTTCTTGCCGGTCCCTGCGGTGGCCATGCATAGACCAGCATTCCACGCATCGTGAATTCTCTGCCACGACTTCTCGCGTTGGAAACCGGCATGGCGAAGGAAGATGTGTTCCGGCAGCCAGCCAGTCAATGCATAGAGGTCGATGCTGCTATTGGAACCGGCAAAGTCATAGCCGCCCATGACTTTGAGGTATGCTTTCTCGAGCAGAGCCGGCCAGATGGCTTTTCCGGAGCGTGAAGTCGCGCACATCAAGCGGTATGGGTGGACAGCCGAATTCGATGCTGTAGGCGAAGATGATGAGGCCTCGGAAGGATAGTAAGGGAGATGGTCGTCGATGGACACCTGACGTGGTGTGCCGTTGATGTGAAGCTTGGCGTGATATTGACCGTCAGAGCTCGGCTCTATGCGGCCGGACGAATCTTTTGGGTATAGTGCCGAAGTTGCTAGCTTCCCACCAAAGATGCGATCGTGCTCAGCGGCAACTTCCAGGGCGGCGACGAAGGAGCAGTCAGTGACGATGTCCTGGACGATGTCGCTGCCTTTGAGACTCGTCGACCAGCTCTGATCATCGTTTGCATTGATCTGCGAGGCTCTCTGGTAGACTGTACGCTTGCGAAGCTGAATCGGTGATAGTGATGGTTGCTCCTTGTCGATGATCGTTGAGCGAGTGGCAATTTGAATGGGAGATGGGGCGCCATTCCATATTGGGTACCGGTGGCCGTTGATCAGAGACGAGCTGACAAGAATGGTAGACTGCTCTTCTTGACTCAGAGCATCGCGATCGACAGGCCGCAAGTCCTTGTGTAGTGATTTGATCTTTTCAGCTCGAGCCATGACCTTGGTCGCCATTTGCTTGAGACGCTCGCGAGTTGAGCCGTCACCTGCGCCGAAGGAACCACCATCAACAATTGGGCTGGTCGAGGTGGAGTCAGCTCCTGCTCTCGATGGGCTGGAGCCGAAGCCGTCTATCTGTCTAGGTGCTGTCAAAGAGGCATTGTTGCTGGTGTTTGGAAAGTTGGACAGCAGCCAAAGGAAGAGCTGGCCCGACCGGACATAGAGCTCGAAGGCTTCCGAGAAGTTGCGGGCCAGCTCGGCCTTGGTGGCCCGTTGCGCCTGGTCCTGTGCGTGCTTGAGCTTTGCATTCCATTCGTTGCGAGTGATGGGCGCGCTCATATCCCTAGCCAGAGATTGCGTCAGAGCAGCCTTGTTGCGGGTATGTTTGAAGTTGCGACGCTTGCTACCGCCGCTTTTGCTGATAATGTTACCGATGCTCGACGGGCTGAGAGAAGCTGTTCGGCATGGTAAGAGCGCCTCTCGAAGGATTGAGGAGCGGGATATGCAGCGACGATGCCAAGACGAGTGGAGGATGCACAGCCAAGAGTAGGCTGAGCAGAGCCGGTGATGGAAGAGAGTCGAGAACGATGTCTCAAAGGAAGCCTTTGCCAAGACAAAGCGGCGTGACGAAACCGAATTCTGGAGTGACCTGTGCCTGGATTTTGGCAAAGTGGATTTGGCCGGTGTGCTTTGCTCGTGTGTGCCTCGACCGCGTGCATTCAGGGTCCAGCACATTCACCGACGTCGGCGCATAGAAGCGCCGCCTCGTAAGTCCGTCGATCATACGTTCAGCGGTCGGATCAGCTCGTCCGCTCTCTCGGATTGGAGCCAAACGATGCCGATTGATGGCGTGATGTGTCAATTGAAATGTCATTGTAACGCTGGTATGGTATCTAGCCGGATCTCGAAACATGCGCTAGGAAGGGATGCTCGAGCGCATCTTTCAGCTTGATGCGTCTGGCAGGGTCCAGCTCTAGGCATCGTTCCAAGAGGTCTACGAAATGATTCATCATCTTGAGCTCGTCCGCCTTGAGCTGCTTAGCTGCATCCGTCGGCAGCAATCGTGCTCGCAGATCCATCACGGGCTTCTGCACCATCACCCTCCGCACCACACTCTGACCCGTGCTCTTGTCGGGTTCCATCGACAGGAACGCATTGGCGTCGTCGAAGTGCTGCTCGCCATACTGACTCTTGCGGATCTGCTTGGTGGTGAAACGGCCTCGCAGCTCCTGCATCAAGAGGAGCATATGATTGTTGGTCCTGCCGGGGAAGAGGATTTTGCCGGTGGCGAGCTCGTACAGTGTGCAGCCCGTGGACCAGACATCGACCGAGCAGTCGTACGCCTGTCCGAGGATGACCTCCGGTGCTCGGTAGAAGCGAGAGACCAGATACGGCGTAATCTCCATCTCGTGGACGAACGATGCTGAGCCCAGGTCGCAAAGTTTGAGCAAGGTCTTGGTGTCGTTGACAAGCACGTTGTCAGGCTTGATGTCGGCGTGGATGACCGAGTTCTTGGCGAGATGAGAAAGCGCGAGAAGCAGCTGATGCGCATAAGCTCGGACCGCTTGCAGGTTGAGACCCACATCGCGACCGTACCTACGAACGACCTCGCGCAGGTTCATCGCCAGCGACTCGAACACCATGCAGAGGTGACCTTTATAGTCAAAGTGTCTTTCGAGTTGTACGACGTGCTTGCGATCGTCCGGATCCGACTGGTTCAGCCTTCGCAAGATGCCGACTTCCTTGATCCCGGCCTTGTACATGCTCTCCTGCACCCTGATGATCTTGATCGCCACTTCGGTGCCATTGTCGTGCAGGTCGCGCGCTCGCACCACCGAGGCGAACATGCCTTTGCCCAGCACTGCAAAGATCTGATAGCGTTCATCGAGTGTTTCGCCCAGAATGGTGCGCAGATAGCCCTCGCTGTCGTCCCAATTGCTTGCCAGGTTCGCGGTGCTGCTCGAAGCTGCATCCGACACCGGCAGCCCTTTCGTGGTGTTGACGAGATTGGCTTTTGTGTCCTTGCGCTTGGGCACGCCAATGATCTTGGTCTTCTTCTTCTTGGCCGCTCCTTCGTCGTCAGACAGAGCAAACATGTCGAGCTCGGCATCTTCTTCCTCGTCGGTCACCTCGACCTCTTCGAACTCTTCCTCGTGCTTCTTTGAGCTCAGCTCTTTCGTCGCTTGCTGGAGTTGTGATTGTCGACGCTGTTCGAGTCGAGAGAGCTCTTGAGCGCGGTCAGCATCCGGATCGAGCTCTGCAGCCGAAACACGTTCCGCATCAGCATCGACAGCGCTGATGCCTCGAGATGCATTCTTTACCAGCGAGAATGCCGCCTGACCGTCCTTGGGGTCAAATCCGCTGTTTGTCTTGGCGGTTGGAGCTTGATGCGCATGGAGGGATGATACGCTCGAAGCGGACTTCAAGGAGCTGACATGTGGAGGCACAGGTGGAGTCGAAGTCTGTGAGCTGCTGTGCTTTTGCAGAATAGCCTGTCGCCGTTTGCGACTCTCCTCCAGCGTCCTGCGCCTTTGCTCTTCCTCGTCGATGCCAGCATCCAATTGGTCGAGCAATCTGTCAAGATGCGGGGTCACAACTTGGTCGTCTTCGAGACTGAGGCGGTCGTGTCGCCTGTTCTGAGTTGCTGAAGAGACTGAGGTTGATTGTGAGGCTCCTCGGGCTGAAGCTGACTTCACGTCATCATTTCGAGGTCGTTTCTGCAGTGGCTCTCGAGAAGACGAGGCTGCAGAGGAGGGTGGTGAGCGACGGTCGCCGGAGCGGGCTGGACGATGCCCATTGTGCGAACGATCGGATCCAGACGCCTGATGATGGTATGACATGGTGTGCGGGAGTGTGCGGGAGTGTGCGGGAGTGTGCGGTAGTGTGCGGTAGTGTGCAGTAGTGAGGATGAGAAAGTCAAGTCGAGTCAGTCAACTAAGTACTAATTCGGAATCGCTGCGGGCTCGACCGTCATTGACAGATGAGCAATGAGCAGAAGCTTGCCTTGATGAGACCCACGACCGATCGGACGATGCGACGCCCAGGGTCAGCAGCCGATTGCGAATGAGGATTGATGGTGATGAGAAAGGAAGCAGGCCGCCCATTTTCTCACAAAGCTCAGTCACTCCATTTCGGCTTTCTGAGCGGCGATTTTGTTTTTGTTCTCAAGCCTCCACCTCGTAGGTCCGTTCCGATGAGCTTGGTCTCGAGGAGCATAAGAGGCTTCGCTGTTCGGAAGTACTCAGACCAGTCATCGAGTCAGCCGCGTGCCGCCTTGGCAAGATGCAATGTCAGCACAGAGACAAGTGAATGCTGTTCCGCTCTCTGAATGGAGGGAAAAACGAGGCGACAACCTGCTGCCGCCGGGAGGATGCGGCCACGACCGCAAGCCGTGGCACTCTTCCAAATGTTCGAGTTCTCGGGAGGCAAGGCCCGCGCAATAGCGAGTCATGGAACATGACATCGCAGCCCGACAAAGGTAACGTTATCTGTCCGAGAAGGAAGGGCGGGAGGGGGTGTCTTGGGCCTCGGCTTCCGTTCGGTCGAGGCTCCCCTTCAAAGAACTCGCTCGGATATCGATGGACAACATGTCTTCAGGACCATATGGCAACATTGAGAGTAGAATTCGGTTTGCTTCGGCCATAAAGAAGGATCGACAAGGCGATACCAAGATGAGCCGAACGTGGTCCGCAGGGTTGCTTGCCTCTTCGGGAACGTGTCGGCAGCCACCAATTTGGCGGCGGCGGCAGGGTGCGTCACAGGGTCCATTCTTCTTGACACCTCGCCTCGAGCTCCCACCAGCGGCGAATCTGCTTTCCATCATCGCCTACAAGCTTGCCTCGTCCTCATACGACTGCCTGGATCGATCGTTGTACACAGCGTTTTGAACCTGGTTCGATTGCTTCGACGTAGATTCAAGACCATGAAGAGGGGCAGAGGGCGATGACGTTCGCTCATCGCTCGGTCTTAGGAAGAATCTACGCACAATATGAGGCTTCTGTCTCCGATTCAAATTTGGCCCAAGTTTCGAAACTGAGGCTGAGCCGAACCCTTTGACCCTTGCTTGCTTGCTTGCTTGCTTGCCCTTTGACCCAATCGACCCCCGATCTAGCCCCTTTTCCAACTGCATCGACGCAATAGCGGAATACTGTGTGGCCGACTTAGAATTCGTAAGCCTTGCACAATTTGTATTCGGTTTCGCGCCATCATTTCATCGAAAATCGATATCGACCCGATTTCACCCATCCGGCAGAACTGACAGACACAGCCTGGACCAGGCGGCTGAGCATAGCACAGCCAGAAAGGTAAGCGCGATAAGCAAGTTGAGATCAGCAAGCACAAGCACAATTCGACTCAGCCGTCAACCTCCACGCCTAGAATCCCACAGGCTGAGCGGGCACTTCATCTGTCTTTTCCACTTCGACGTGGTGGCAATCAAGTCGGCACCTGAGCTCAGCACCCTGAAGCCCTCTCGCCTCTGCCTCGGCCTTGCTGAGCTTGGCTTCCAAAGTCACAGTCCGTGGCCCCGTGCGCTGTCCCCCATCCCGCGCCTAGAAACGCGGCTCGATGCGGGTCAATCGCTTGTGCGCAGCACCCGCACCTGCGCCTGCATCTTACCCTGCGTATATATACATAGCCTTGCTCAGCCTCATTCACTCGTTGCTCCTCACCATCACGACCACCAGACAGCTTTCTCTTCTGGTTCAGACTCACATCACTCTTCACGTAGCCTTCAGACCTCATCGCTACATCGTGACTTTGCATCCATCCGCATTCATCACCCTTCCATTCTAACCAGTAAGTGACACGCATCCATCCACCGCTTGCCTTGGTTCATCGTGCACGTTGTCTGGACGACACCGGATCGCGCTTTTGTACTTCGACTGAGCAGCTTCGTTTTCAAGCTCCCCTCGCTCGACCATTCTTCTGACTCTTCCGCATCTTTGCCATCCATCCGCGTCCTCCCGCATCACAGGCCATGCAGATCTTCGTCAAGACTCTCACCGGCAAGACCATCACCCTCGAGGTGGAGTCGTCGGACACCATTGACAATGTCAAGGCTAAGATCCAGGATAAGGAGGGCATCCCTCCCGACCAGCAGCGTCTCATTTTCGCCGGCAAACAGCTCGAGGATGGCCGTACGCTCTCGGACTACAACATCCAGAAGGAGTCCACTCTCCACCTCGTTCTCCGCCTCCGTGGTGGTATGCAGATCTTTGTCAAGACTCTGACCGGCAAGACCATTACGCTCGAAGTTGAGTCTTCTGACACCATCGACAACGTCAAGGCCAAGATCCAGGATAAGGAGGGCATTCCCCCTGACCAGCAGCGACTCATCTTCGCCGGAAAGCAGCTTGAGGACGGCCGTACGCTCTCGGACTACAACATCCAGAAGGAGAGCACCCTCCACCTCGTTCTCCGTCTTCGCGGTGGTATGCAGATCTTCGTCAAGACCTTGACCGGCAAGACGATCACTCTTGAGGTTGAGTCTTCTGACACCATCGACAACGTCAAGGCTAAGATTCAGGACAAGGAAGGCATTCCACCCGACCAGCAGCGCCTGATCTTTGCAGGCAAGCAGCTCGAGGACGGCCGCACCCTGTCCGATTACAACATCCAAAAGGAGAGCACGCTCCACCTCGTCTTGCGACTCCGTGGTGGTATGCAGATCTTCGTCAAGACGCTCACTGGAAAGACGATCACCTTGGAGGTCGAGTCTTCGGACACGATTGACAACGTGAAGGCTAAGATCCAGGATAAGGAGGGTATCCCGCCTGACCAGCAGCGCCTGATCTTCGCTGGAAAGCAGTTGGAAGACGGTCGCACCCTGTCGGACTACAACATCCAAAAGGAGAGCACCTTGCACCTTGTGCTTCGCCTGCGCGGAGGTATGCAGATCTTTGTCAAGACGCTCACGGGCAAGACCATCACCCTGGAAGTCGAGTCGTCGGACACGATTGACAATGTCAAGGCCAAGATTCAGGACAAGGAGGGTATCCCTCCCGACCAGCAGCGTCTCATCTTTGCCGGCAAGCAGCTCGAGGACGGCCGTACCCTGTCCGATTACAACATCCAGAAAGAGAGCACGCTCCACCTGGTGCTCCGTCTGCGTGGCGGCAACTGATCGTCGTACGACGTTCGATGTTTTACGATCTTTTCACGTCCTTTGAATACATGTTACCCCTTTTGAGCGGCTTTCTCTCTGAGGAGATCCGTTTCACTTTCCATCTCGTTTGCCGTGTGTGTGTTTCTACGTGTTCAGCAATGAGAAACGGGCCCTTGAGCTGCGTGAGGTTCGATGTAAGATGGGGCCTCAAGGACTGGTGTTTATGAGCGCATGGTCGGGTGGAGAGCTGCTGGTGCTTGCATCGGGTTGTTGAGAGCTGGTGGATTGCGATGCTCAACTTTGGCCCGAGTCAGATCACACACTGTAGACTCTTGCGACGAATAGAATCTTGCTTGTATTCGGCTTTGCCCCTTGCCCGTCGTGTCTACCAGCAGAACATGATGCTTGTCCTATTGAACAATGCCGGACTGGCCGCCGCCTTGCCCCCCGTGCCGCCCTCGGGGGGATTCATCGTGAGCGTAACATGCAAATTCCTCGTGATCTCGGCTCTAAAGAACCCGAACAACTCTTCCTCCGCATCCAACATCAATCCTTCCCTCTGACTGGCCTCCTTCAACTGGCTGATGAGAGACGCGTGTTCGTCGCCCTCGAACAGGCCCGCGACCTCTGCGTTGGCCAAGAGGGTGTTGAGCTTCTCCAACCGTGCCGCGTTGGACATTTGACTCTCGTCAATTGTCCAACAGACTTTTTCGCCTTTGGTGCCCACCCGACGGAGCAGGGAGCGGAGATCGTCATCGAAGTTCTCCTCGGTGTAGCGGTTGGAGGTGGAGATGGAGAAGAGGGAGAGACCGCGCAACCAGGCGCAGAAGCGGGTGACTGTGGTTCGACCCGACCCCGAGGCGCCGATGAGGAGCAGGTGACCCGCAGGCTGACGCAGCACTCGGTCGCAGGAGAGGGCTAGATCGAGAACGCTATCGTGCAACACGAGGGAGGCGTCCAGCTCTTCGTCCGAGTATCCGCGCAGTCGGGCTTTTGCATACTCCCGCACACTCTCCCGATCCACACTCCGATACTCCTTGCTCAACCAGTTGGAGAACAAGATCGGTCTCGCAAGTGCAACACCCGTGTCGATGGTGGGGAACCGTCTCGCCGCCACCTCATCGATCATCCCATCCGTCCACCTCTTCTCCTCCCCATCCACCAGTCGGTCCGCAAACAACCGCAGTCCTTCATGCGCCCACACCCTCACCAGCCCTTCGACACTCAGACTCTCCAGCGGCTTGATCGCCTCGTACACCCCCCGCATCCAACGCGTCAGCTCGCGCGGACTGTAGATGTAATGCGCCTGAATATCTGGCGTAAACCTCCGCTGGCTCGCGAGGTAGAAATCGACCATCGCCGCCGTCAACGGTTCTGCGTAGCCGCGGAGGTTGGGCGTCACCTTGAGCAGGGCGCGGTTGAAGGTCGAGTAGATCTGGTTGAGCGAGATCTCGCCGGGGTAGTCGACCATGATGAGCGGGGCGTGGCGGAGGAAGCGATGCGAGAGGGCGACGCGGCCTGGGTCTGTAGGTGGGTTGCATGCGCCGACGAATTGAATTCGCTCGAGCCGGACCCAGGATTTGTCGCTGATCCGCCAGAAGCCACCACATTCGACCAGCTGGCGGAGGAACGAGATGACGCGCTGCGTGCCGTACTTGTCCGTTGCGGGAAGGTTGATCTCGTCGCAGAAGAGGACCAGCCATCGTCCGATCTGGGTCGGGGAGAGAACGATGCCCGACGGTGTCTTGCGATACTCGCAGTACTGCTCGAAGGTCTTCAGGATGAGTTCGGGGGTAGTCGCGGACGAGAAGTTGAGACCGACCACTTCCATGTCTGGCAGCTTGCGGAGGGCTGAGAAGAGCGTCATCGTCTTGCCGGATCCGGGGGGACCGCAGAGCATCAGCGGCTTGTGTTCGGAGAGCCACGAGTAGAGCACGTCCTCGTGACGCACCGTATCGATGGTAGGCACCACGACATCGGCGGACGAGACGGCAGCGGTGTCAATCTCGATCGTGGGCACCTTGGAGAGCCACGAGGACCACTCGACCGTTTGACCGGAGAAGGTGACGTCGTAGTCGATGAGCGATGAGCCTGGGCCGAGAGAGGGCAGGTCGACGCCCGTGTGACTGCGCAGGTACTCGCCCATCTCGGCGCGAACGTCGAGCTTGGCATCTCCCGTGAAGGCCCAGACGAGCGCGATGAGGAGTCGGCGCGTCGCGTAGGTTTCGATCTGGTCTGGGTTGAGCGGGAAATCGGGATGCTGCGTGTTGTAGTCGAGGATGTTGCGGATGGTCTTGTTGAGCAGCGAGAAGAGGGTCGACAACGCACGCGCTTCAGTGAAGTCCATGATGTGCGGCACGGTCCTTGCAAATTCGAGGGCGCCATTGACCAGGCCATCGTCTTCGAAGAAGGGCGCCAGGGCGTCGGCCACGGCTCGCTGGACCAGCAGGTCGGCACTGACCTCGCCTGTGCCGTCTGCCGCCGCGGAAGAGGCCGCAGCGACCCTGCGCGAAGTGATCGCACCAACCAGCTCGTCGTCGTCCAGCTCGATCGGTGTCGAGCGCAAACCCGTCAGGTACCTAGCGTACAGCATCGAAGGGCGCACAATGTCGTCGCTGAACCAGATCATACCGCAACGCGACACCGTCGCCAGCGTCGCATATCGCAGCGACTCAACCTCGAACATGATGCGCACGTTGGGCGGCAAGTTGAGACGCTCACCGTTGGGCAAGGTGAGCAGCTTGTTGTCGTCCAGCACCGAGTTGAGGTTCTCGACCCATTCAGGATCTACGTCACCGTCGAAGACGATCCAGTGCCGCTTGGCACTCTCGCCACGGACGTTGTCGATGATCTTGCGCAGCACCTGGGTGAAGAGACCGTCGTTCCACTCTCGCGTGGTAGGGTCAAGCGTGCCGTAGAGACTCTCCTTCGAGACCGCTTTGGGGTCGATGACGTACGAAACGCCCTCTTGACCTTCCAGCCGCTCGAGGGCGGCCAAAAGCACCTGCCAGGCTTGCGTCTTGCCTGTGCCCGATGGACCGACGAGCATGAGACCGTGCGAGATCTTTTGGATCTGGTACAGCTGCAGCACCTTCTCGGTCCAGAGGCCACCTTCCACCAGATGTCGCTCGGCGCAGACGGCAGCGATGTGGCCACGCAGCACATCGAGGTTGACCGGCTTGTATTCCACACCGGGGAAGACGTCGGATAGCAAGCTTTTGAGCAGCGGAACGTCTTCGGCGATGAGCTTGGGCACGATCGTCTCGGAAACACTCTGGATCAAGATCTCCTGCTCCGACACGTCGACCGACACCACGCTGCCAGCGTTTGCAGCGTCGTCATCGCCGCGAAGCATATGCTCTCGCTTGAGCGAGCCGGCGCTGACGAGCACCGCCTTGAGCGCACGTAGCCCAAAGTCGTAGTGCGGCTGCGGGCTGAGCTGCTCAAGACACAGGTTGAAGAAGGGGACAATCTTGGAAGCGAGCCTCTCGGCCGTTCGGAAGCCTTGCGAGAACAGCATCACTTGGGCGATGAGTTCGCGGTCCGGATGCGTCATGGCCATGTTGCGGAAGAGCTTCTTCAGGTTGTCGGGCAGGTTGGATCGACCGGCGTACGTAGGGTTAGTGGTGATGAAGATGCCCACGCGGTCGTTGAGGGGGACACGCTTGCCAAGCAGCTCGATCTCGTTGCTCGTAGCGTTGCCGCTCGAGTCGGCCAAGCCTTGCTGGATACTCTGGATCTGTTGTGAGACAGCAGACAAGATGCGCTCCTCGAGTCGGTTGAACTCGTCGAAACAGCCCCACGCTCCCACTCGGCAGAGACCGACAAAGATGCGCCCCATAGCCTGGAAGTCGAACGTCTCATCACAGCAAAAGACGATGACGAACATGCCGAGCTGCACTCCGAGCGCTTTCACCGACTCGGTCTTGCCCGTTCCGGCGGGACCGAAGGGAGCACCGCCGAGCTTGTAGTGGAGCGCTTGTGTCAGCGTCAAGTAGCAGCGGTCGGTCAGCGGCGTCTGAACGAGACGGTCAGGGACGCCGAGATACTCGTAGCCGTAAGGGAAGGTGGCATTGGCCATCTGGACAGTGAGTCGGTCCAGCGGCTTTTCGATCTGGCGGTTCAGGTAGAAGCGCATCTGCGAGAGCCAGTTGAAGTCGCGAGCACTCTCGACACGCTGCGACATCAGCAGGCGAATGACGTCTCTCTGGTGAACGAGCTCAGTGATGAGATGCTCGCACTTGCGTCGCTGCAGCGCCTCGACATCAGTCAGCACCGTGTCTGCGAGCAAGTCGAGTCCACGCAGCACCACATCGAGAGGATGCTGCAGCCCGGCGCCGCTCTCGAACGCTTCATCGACCATCGCTGTCCACCTCGCTTGCACGGCAAGAACAACGAGCTGTGCTGGATACTTGGCGATCCATGCGAGGAAGTTCTCGAGGGTCAGCGAGTCGGTGCTGACGTAGAACGACTCGAGCTCGGCTGCAGCTTCCGACAGCAGCTCGGCGAGGGAGACGCGCATCTCACTCTCCACCTTGGCCAGCCAATCGTTGATCTTCGGGTAGTCCTTGAGCAGGATGGGCGTGCGGAAGGGCACCGACTCGCCCTCGCGGCTGACCATGGCGGTCAGCATGCCTGTGCCCTCATCGAGCTCGACCGTCGCGATACCTGCGAACATCTTCTTGAGATGCTTGAGGATGCGTGCCGTGTCCTTGGAGTTGCCAATGATCTCCAGCAAGTCTTCGTCACCGACAAAGTAGAAGCGTGGGAAGTTGGCACGTTCGCGTTCGAGGTACTCGCCAAGCGCCTTTTGAATCTTGCTGAGCAGGTCGGCGAGACGCTCCAAGCTCTTCTGGACGCCGGGAATGTTGAGCACGTCGAGCACGAAGGGTGACTTGTACACCTTCTTCATTACCGTGAGGAACTCGGTGTTGATGTTCTGGAAGCGCGAGCTCTCGACCGGCAGGATGTGACGAATCTCTGCGCTGCCGCTGAAGATGCCTTCCAAGTAAACCCACTGACGCTGGACATCGATCCAGGTGTCGAACAGCACCGAGATCTTGGACAGTCTGTCTTCCCACAGCGACGCCTCTTCTTCAAACACCTTGTAGTGTGGGCTCATCGACATGGCTCGCAGCGCGTTGAGGTTGTCACCGGCCAGCTGGAAGAGGTTGTCCCAGCCACGGATGAGCCGGCACTTGTTCTGGTAATTGACGAGGTCGAGCGTGTAGTTGGTCCACGCCTCGCGCACTTGCTTGAGGTACTCTTCGAGCGCCAGCTCTCCCTGTGCTTGAGCAACGACAGCTTTGATGATGACGTCGTGCCTCTTGAGATCGAGATCCCACACGGTGCCGAGCGTCATGCTGCTGGCCGAATAGTGATCCTGCACCTTGAGCTGCTTGAAAAGCGAACGCCAGTGACGCTCGCGCATCGCCTCGGATTTGAGGTCGGAGATGACCGGGTTGCTCTTGAGCAAGGCCCGCACGTGCTCCTGGACATACTCGAACGCAGCATACTGACGCATGCGGCTGGGCATGTCGCGTGTCTGCGCCAGCAGACCATCGAGCTGCTGTCGAAGCTTTCGCGGCTGCACGTTGCTCCAGATTGTGTCGCGAATCTCGGCGAGCTGACTCCATGTGCCGGACAGCGCAGTCCAGACAGTCTTGAGATCGCGCAGCTCCTCAAAGACAGGTTCGAGGCGGTCATCCTGCGTATGCTCGAGGTCGAGCGCTTCCTTTGCGCGCACCACGAGCGCACGATCCTCGGCAAGCTTGGAGACACGCGTCTCGAAGACGTTGATGGTATTCATGGCGCCGTCTGCCTTGAGCGTACCTTGGATGGGCTTCTGCTGCTCCCACTCGCTGATGATGGTGGTCATCTTGTCGCTGACGATCTTGTCCTCGGCGATGATCTTCATCTGTAGACCAGCGAGTTGATCCTGGATGCTGGCGTTCTTGCGGCCGAGGATCTCCTGGAAAGCGCTCCACTCTCCTTCGACTTGATCGACATACAGCCAGTCCTGAGGGAACATGTAACGCTGTCGCTCGAGCGTCTTTTGACCTGTGCCGAAGAGCTCGATCTGGGGCTGCCACGCCTTGGTCTTGCGCTTGAGATCCTGGACGAAGGTGATGAAGGTGACGGCCTGAGCGGTGGAGCTACCTTCGATGCTGTGCTGTTCGAGCTCGACGCGTGCCTTGGCGACGGCGGCGTGCACCTCCTGCATGGCCGCGCCAAGCTTGGTGCCAAAGCGATTGAGAATGTCGCGCTGCCAGGCATCGTACTTGGCGTTGACCTTGCTCTGGACCTGGTCATAGTCGATGACGCAGATGCCAAACGATCGCTGCGAGTCCGAGTTGTCGAAGGTGGCGCGGGTGCGACGAATTTCAGCGAGCAGCTGCTGCCAGCTGGCCAGCGAGTCGCCGAGACGTGCAAAGACGTGCTCGGTCTCAAGGTCCCACAGCGACTGGAACTGAAGCCACTTGGACACGTAGCTGCCGACCTCTGCCAGCTTGGCCTCGATGAGCACGAAGGGCCTGGTGAGCGAGTCGTCCTGGAAGCGGGTGAGCAGCGAGGTGTAGTCCTGCTCCGTAGCGCGTTGCTTGCCGCGCATCTGGAGGCCGATCTCGTAGCGCGAGCTTTGGATCCTTGTGAGACAGCAGACGACGGACAACGCCTCGTGAAGCTGTCGGAACCATGACGCTCGTGCGTTCTCGAGAGGTGGGTCGAGGAAGATGACCTGGTTCTGGATGCGAACCTCATGCGTGATGGGTTGCAGGACGATCTTGTCGGAAGCCGCTCCCGCTTCGCCGTCTATGCCGCCCGCTCCAGCGCCATTGGCACCATTAGCAAGAGCTTTGTTTCCGCGCACTGAGCCAGATTTGGTCCCGCCTTGGCTCATACCGTGGCGCACGAAAGCTTGGCACCATGCAACGCTGACAGACTTGAGCCTGCGCAGAAGCACGTCCTCGATGAGACGGTCAAGGTTGCCGACCCACTCGTCCAAGTTGGGGTAGCCTTCGAGGTTGAGCTTGTCGATGGTCTTTTGGATCTTCTGCAGTCGCTCGGCAAATGCTTCGCTTCGATACTCGCACTTGCCGAGCTCCTCGATGGTGGAGTGCATGTCACGTTGAATCTCGATGAGATCGGCCGTCTTGTCCTGGAACAGGCTGACGACGCTGGCGAACTGGCGAACAAAGGCGACCTGACGGTTCTCTCGGCCCGTCTCGCCGCCCGAGCCAGGAAGGTACGACGCCGCACGTGCGCTTTCGTAGATGTTGGCAAAGTGTTCCCAACGCAATGTCATGCCCTGCGAAACGAGCTGGTGCGCATCGGTGTAAACCTGCGCGATGAGGCAGGTGATCTCCGGGTTGGCGCGCACCAAGCCGCACGTCTGATTATACGTACGCACCGTTTCCATGAGCGACACGGCGTGGGGGTAGACTTTCTTGGCGTCTTTCGCCAGGTTGGTGATGGCGTGCGGGATCTGGAAGTTGAGCCAGATGAGGTTGCGGACCTCTTTGAAGAGCGAGATGGTGTGGCCGTCGAAGTTGACGCTGAGCTGGAACGCATTGCCTGCTGCGCGGTTCTTGGTAACATCAAAGACGCGGCCGGTGATGCTCATGTCTCTGCGGTTGATGTCGTGCAGCCAGCTGTCGAAGAGCGGTCGGGTGTCGAGCTTGCGACGGAAGGTCTCGCTCTCACTCTGCAGCTTCTGGCCCTCGGCATACAGCTCCCAGCCCTTTCCGAGCACATCCTCGACGCGCTTCATGTAGACGTTGAGTTGACGCTCGATCTGGCGCGCCCAGATGATGGCACCGGCGATCTCGGGCACGTCGCGCAGTTGGCTCATGTGGTTGGCCTCGGAAGGGCGATATTGTGCCTTGAACTTATCGTGAAGTGCCTTGATGTCGGACTTGACGCTGTTGAGAAGCTGCTGTTGATACTCTTGCACGGCGCCTCGCACCTTGGGACGCACAAAGAGGCTGTTGAACTGTGACAGAACGCGGAGCATCTCTCGGGCGGACTTGGCCTGGCCGAGCAAGTCACGCAGACGTGCGATGAGGCTGTTCTCGACCCGCGCCACGCGCTCGTTGTAGGCGCCTTCGGCTGTAGTCCAGATCTCGGTCCCTTCCTGCGAGACGTCGAGCACGTCGATGACTTTGACCTGATCATAGGCAGCACGGATTTCTTCGCTCATCTCGATTCCGGCAAGGTTCTGTGTAGCCACCTGCCTATCGTTGGCCGAGGCAACGGTGCCTGCACTGACCGCACCAGGCATGGTGAGCCCCTTGCCGGAGCTGACCATGGCGCGCAGCTGCTCGTGCGTCTTGCGGAAAGCGCCGATGTAGTTGAGTCGTTCGCGCAGCTTGGCATGAGCCGGGTTGATCTTGATCGGCAAAAACTTTTCCGACCGCTTGCGTGTCACTTCTCTGGCGATGTTGACAAAGTCCTTCATGAGCTCGTCCCAGACTTGGAACACCTCGGCCGCCGCCGAGACGGTCTCCCAGAAGCGCGGGAACTCTTGCCACATGATCCGCTGCGACGCCAAGACCTTAAGCAGTGTATCGTTGAGGTCTCTGCTGATGGCTTCGACGAGGGGAAGCGCACGTTTGACCGGGTAGGGACTGATGCGGAGCTTCTTGTTGAGATGGTTGAAGATGGCGCTGAGCGCATCTGCGCACTTGTCGAGATCTGTGGCGGAGAGCAGCTCGTTGATGGGGAAGTCCTTCATGAGCAGGTTGTAGTTGTGGGTCTTTTCGGCACAGTCCTTAAGACCCGTGTCGGCGAGGAAGGAGACGGTGGCGTGGAAACGCTTGGCATGTTTGAGGATGTCGAGGGTGAGCACGATGGGATCCGAGCGAAGCTGCTGCTCGATCGACTCTTGCGCCTTCTCCATGGAGAGCCAGAAGTTGATTTCCTGCGAAGCGGTGCCGGAAGCGACGCTGCGGTCGAGCTTGGTGATGGTCTGGACCTCTTTGACCCACGAGTTGACGTCGGACTGGAGCTTGTTGAGGAAGGAAGAGTCCTGCAGGAGCCACGCTGGCTCGACGGCTTCGACGCTGACGCGTGTGCCAGCGGCATGGCATCGTTCCACGGCGGCACGCACAACAGGGTGGATAGAGAGGATGATATCGGGAATGTCGACGTTCTGCTGCAGATGAAAGAGACTGAGTTCGAGCTCGGCAAACTTGCGCTTTGCCATGGGGATGCCCATCTTGGTATCGCTTTCCTTTGTCTTTGCACCGGATACTAATGCCTTGTCCTTGGGTGCTTTGCTCGCTACGAAAGCGTCGAACCAGGGCGACATGACGTTGTGGACGACGCTGTGGAGTGCCTCGTAGGGGCTCTCGCGGACGGCTGAAGCAGCAGTCGAGCCCTCGCCATCGTCGGCGTTGGCAGAGCTTGTGGTGACAGGTTGCGCTTCTGTCGCTGTGGATGTCGCAGCGGCAGCCGCGGCGGCAGCAGCAGCAGCTGGACCGAAGAGGGTGAGAACATGAAGCTGATGTGGCAGAGGGACGGTAGGCTCGAGGATGGAGACTCGCTTAATGAGAGCGATGCTCGAGACGTGAAGAGAAGAATAAGACGCCTGCGTCGACATCTGATAGTCGAACAGTTCGTGTTCGGGTGCATCGGACGAGACATCCTGACGCCGGATCTTGTTGACGTAGGCGGTCATGATGCTGGGATCGCCGACGAATGCAGCTGCTGTCTCGTTCCATGCTGGTGTATCGAGAAGAAGCTCGGATACGAGCTCGGGCTCGGAGTCGAGGAGAATAGGGAGGAGCGAGCGAAAGTAAGCCTTGAGACGCGAGGTGTCATAGTGGCCATTGAAGCGCGCCGAGGAGGAGGATGGCGACATATCGGACGAGGTGAGAGCGCCCTTGGAGCGCAAGTCGGTGTCGCTGGTCTGACGGCTGAGCAAGCGACCGTTGGAGCCGCCGCCGCCGCCAGCTATTGCGTCCTCCATATTGGCGTGTATATGCGCGCTTCTCTTGAAAAGAGATCGGAGCGCGTTGGAATGATGATGGTGCGAGAAGGGAAAGGATGCGACTGAGCCCTGATCTCGAGGGTTGCTGTGCTGGACCCCTTTTGCTGTGAAAGTGTTGGTCTTTTCGCGCGAGGGAAGCGTGTGGCACGGCGCGCCTCCCTGAAGGCACAACGACAAACTCGGTCTAACACTCAAGCCCTCGAAATTTGACCGTGGCGCCTGTCAGATGCTCAACCAGAGGTACACACCGGCAGATTGCTTGTGACATGTGCTCATCATGGTGCATGGTGCCTTCTACTTAGGCGTAGCAGCACTGACCCGATTCGCGGATGAACGACGGTGGAAGGTATGGTGAAAGCAATGATTGCAGCCTGAGCAAATGATGAGAAGAAAGACGAGCCGAAATTGAGGTCGCAAAAAGCTCAAAGAGATCCATCGTAGCGAGCTGCCCTGCTCATCTCACCGGCTGCAGCATCAACAGTCCAGGTCTTAGGCTCTGAATGTCTCCCATCGAGGTATTATGTCTGAGCGAAGGCGTCCTCATACGACGGGCTGCTTGACCCAAGATCGGGTTGCGTCGCCACCAGATCTGCTCTCACATCGGCGTGCGGCCCTAAGCGAGCCGGAGCTATCTTTGCAGCCACCCTCGCAGATCAAGGCTCTTGCGTTCCTGATCGCCCGCTCGGCGTCTTGGCAGGCAACCAGCATGGTCCTTTCAAGCCTTGGCACCGAAAGGTGACACCTCGGCGAAAGACAAAAAAGTGTTGTTCTTCATCGCCGCCAGCGAGCTGAGCAAACGCGTCGTTTTGTCGCGTCGAGAATTGACGTTTGCTTGATTAGCCGAGGGCCAAGCGCCGAGCAGACAACTCCCTGCTGCATCCCATGATCTCTCGTTCTCGTAAGGGCCTGTGAACATCCGGCTCATCGCAATGTGATCAGCACGGAGGGTGAACCATGAGCGGTCATTTGCCTTCTGACGACTGGCAAGAAGCGGTCGTAGGGCGGTTGCGCCAGGTCTACCAATGAGATCGCCGCGGTCAACCCCGCTGGGAATGAATACCGGCGGCATGATCAATCAATCAAACGCCTCGCCCTCACGACTCGCCCCGACACTGGACAACGTTGAATTTGAAATCGTGTATCATGCCGAACGCCGAGTCGGCTTCGCTTGTCCCCCTTCATGCACGGGGTCGATCCCACTTTGAAACACCGCGCAGGTGACAGCGGCGATCGCCTCCCCTGACTTCATTTGTACCACTCTGCGCTGCCGACATGCCCGGTCAACCGCGCACATGCGGCGAGCAAAAACAAGATCAAGCTTGCGCAAAGCTTGTCATGAGCTTGTCCAGGGTCTCGGAGCGTAAGGCGACTGACAACGCCAAGCTTGATCTTGACGAACGCGCACAAGGAAAGCACATGAAAGTCGGGTGGTGTGGCCTTGATTCAGCTGCGGTGGCCAAGATGAAGTGAGGGCCATGTCGAGCCTCGTCTTGCTTTTGCGCCCATCGAGCGTCGCCACTATCCCTTGGCCAGGATCGGCGCCAGTCGGCTCAGCCTGGTGATGAAGAAGCTCTTCAAGTCTTGAGCCGACCGCATCTGCCTTCATCGACGTCGATTGATATATACCCTCGCTGCTCCTCCCGTCTGAGCTGCTTCGATGTCGGTCTCCCTCACCTCTCACCCTCACAGACGAAGTATGTCGAGAGCAGAATCACCGCCTTCGCCATCACGGCGTGGCCTGACCGCCCTTCTACAGCCCCTCCTCGTCACGCTCCTCATCACCCTTCTCTTCACCACCTCTCCTTCGCATGGCCTCTCACTAGCAAAGCGGGACGCATTCACCGACGTCCGTGGCACCATCGGGGACCACTCCCTAACCACCGTCGGTCGTCGTCCCCCCGGAGCCTACGCTCGCACCCTCCCCATCACCCCGACCACCTCGATCTTCACGTGGTACTCCAAAACGCCCCGGGACGAGTCCGATGCGACCTCGGCGTTCATCGTCGTCCACGGTGTCGCGCGCAATGCCAACACCTACTGGAGCATTCTCAACAACGCCTACACGCGAGCACGGAATGCTTCTCTCGGTAGCGCCGATGTCAACTCGATCCGCGTCGCTCCGCTGTTCTTTAGCACGCTGGAGGATGTAGGTGCGTACAACGAGACGCATCTCGCCTGGGGGGATTCCAATGCGTGGACTGCGGGAGAGGGCAGTACGAATCCACCCCTGAGCGGAATTTCGAGCTATGCCGTGCTCGACTCGCTCCTCCTCAGGTTCGCAAATCCGATCGAGTACCCAAATATGAAGACCATCACCTTCGTCGCGCACGGTGGAGGCGCTCAGATGTTGCAAAGATACGCAATGTTGGGACTGCCCAATCCCAATGATGGGCGATTGAGCATACGGTATGTCGTAGGCGATCCATCTTCCCAGCTGTATCTGACTCAGGATCGACCTGTTGGGGTAGACACGGTTTCCTGTCCGACGTGGAACGATTTTCGGTACGGTCTACGCAGGTCCACTGCCGCCTACGGCATCGTGTCCCCCCTCGTGGCGCCCGCGCTGTTCCGTTCGTACGCAGCAAAGGACGTGCGGTACGTGGTGGGGTTGGGCGATACGGATAGCGAGCACGGGGATCAGACGTGCATGGCGCATGCCGTCGGTGGGCCGAAAAGGAGGAATCGGAATCTGGCCTATTGGAAGTATCTCAATCTTCTTTCTGCCACTCGGTCTCCGGAGGAACTCAGCGGCTTTCCAGGAAGCTTCCCCGCCCTAGATCCGACCGTGGAGACGAACCAGACCGACATCCCCACCTCCACCGCCTGGTTCAACCGCCGCTTCAGAGGTGTGCAGCTCACACATACGCTGACGCTCGTGCCAGGTGCAGGGCATAGCGCGAGCAAAGTCTACGGGTCAGACGCGGGGAGAAACGCCCTGTTCGCCGATCAGGAGAGCAGTGGGAGTGGAAGCATGCCGGATTACTCGCAGGAGCTGGTCGGGTACACGGCCGATGCTGAGGGCGCCAAAGATTACAGTGACCAAGACGACGATGATGATGATTAGCGCAATATACCCATTGATCGTTGTGACATGTTAGGATGATGTGAGAGACATGAGGTGTGATGTGGTGCAAGGTGTCAGACAGCGAACGAGGCGAATCGGAATTCGGGCTTTTTCTGGCTCGAGGCTGCAGCTTTTGCTCAAGTCAGCAGACCCTTTTGCTCCTCGTCTTGCTGCTCGATACCATCATCTCCGACCACTACGCTCTTTCGACGACAAACGCAACCTCCAAATACGCTCTCTCCAAGCCGTTCACGACCCCCAGACACCCTTCTGAGATACTCTCATCGCCGTTCTAGGCCTACAAGACCTACACTAGCACGCTCCTTCGCAGCTACACCTCACACACCTGTCAACATGGCCGGCCCAAATCTCGAACTGTTCAAGTTCGGCCTGTACCTCTTCTTCCCTCTTGCCGTCATGGTGCACTACGGCGACCCAGACTTTTACGCGAGAAACGTCGCACCCGTAAGCACCTCCCATCTCGATCTGTTTTCTCGTCAAAGCATGCCTTCTGACTTCCCTCCTTTTACAGATCCGAGACCAATTCTGGCCGAAAGAAGAATCGCTCTACCGTCCACCACGCAACTCGGCAGACGTTCGCACCGCTTTGGACGAGATGAAGGCGAAGCGTCTAGCAAAACGAGAAGCACGTCTGCAAGAACAGGGAGAGTCGCTTTCCCTTCCCTCATCATCACAGCCGAAAGCCGAACAGCCAAGGTCACAGATCGCCAGTCTAGTCGAGGACAAACGCAGTCAACGGCTGGTCTGATACAATACAGTCAACATTGCTTAGAAGTACGAAGTGAGCTTGGTCCAGATCTGTTGCCTCACGGTCTTGTCCTGGACGTTTTTGCTGAGCGGAAGCTTGTTGAGCTTGTTATCGACCAGATTTGCGTTTCCGGTCTCGAGGTACCTCTGACCTTCAGGGTTGGCGAGGAGGTAGAAGGGCAATTCGGCGTAGCCTCCTGGGCCGGCTTTGCTTCCGATGATCGGCCCAGCGATCTTGCCTGCCAGCACGAGGAGCGACGAGTGACCCTGGTTGCCAAGTGCTTCTGTCGCTACGAACCCGGGGAAGGCGTGTGTGAAGGTGAGGGTGGGGTGTTGTTCGGCGAGATGCTGATTAGCTGCGTCGAGGACGGAAGATGCCATGGAGCCCTTTTTGATCAACCCAATCGGACCGGACCACCATTTACCGGCAGCTTTCGCCTTGACAAAGTCCAGATCGTCGACATCAATGGCGGCTTTACCGCCTTGACCGGGAGCAGCGACCATGAATACGCCGCGCTTGATAGTGCCTGACTCGACGAGCTCCTTCGCCAACCCTACGCGGGACAGCACTTGGACAGCAAACTGCTTTTCGACGCCCTCGGCGTTGGTCTCCACCGCACCGTGCGGTGGGCCACCCTGCGTCTCGATCAGGTAGTCCACTCCCCCGCGTCCCGCCTTGGACGAGATCTCGGAAGCAGCCTTCTTCACCCCCGCAGTGGACGACAGGTCGGCCTGGAAGAATTGGTGTTCGGCAGTCGACTTTGATGACGCTCGTCGTGCCGCTTCGGCAGACGCGGCGCGCAGCTGGATGAGAACCTCGTTCGCCTTGTTCTCGTTTCGACCGACGAGCCAGACGGAGGCGCCGGAGAGAGCGAATCGAAGCGCGATGCCAGCACCGATGCCTTGCGTGCCGCCGGAGATCAGCGCGCGCTGGCCTGTGGTGTCGACCGACGCGTTCTTGCTTGTCAGCGTGGACAGGCTCACCATTGTTGCGTTTGTCGAGTGTTGAAGATGGGAGAGAGGGAGTGGAGCGAAGTGCTTACCGCATAGGGCAGTGTGGAGGCAGAAAGAGGTGTTCGGATTTCGGAAACGCACGGACGGGGCCAAGAAAAGCTCTCTCTTTCACAATCCTAGAATTTGCTCACCACCATCATCCTCGATAGATCCATCTGCCATTGATCACCGTCCACGCGCACCGGCAGCCCCCTCACACACTTCTCATTTCAGCCAAAACTATGGCGAAATCCACCGACGCCGCTTCGGACGACGACAAGATCAACGTCCTCTTCGTCTGTCTCGGCAACATCTGTCGCTCCCCTATGGCCCTTGCTGTCTTCGAGCACACCGCAACCACCTCCGGTGTCCGTTCGCATTTCGGCATTCTCGACTCGTGCGGAACTGCCGCGTATCACACGGGCGAAGAACCCGACGAACGCACCACCGGCCTCTTGGATCGTCGCAACATCCCCTACGACCTCGACAACACCGCCCGCGGCATCTCCGGCGCCGACTTTGACAAGTTCCACTACATCTTCGGGATGGACACCAACAACGTGCGCAACCTCAAGCGGATGCAGCCCTCCGGGAGTCGGGCGAACGTAAGGCTGTTCGGAGAGGTCGATGACGGTCAACCAATCGCAGATAGCTATTATACAGGTGACTTCGAGGCAACATACAGACAGATTGAGCGCTACTCACGAGCCTTTCTCCGCGAACTAGGCTTGTCAAAATCATAGAAAAGAGGTCCAATTACAATACAGCGCATCGTTGTTACATATAGACAAAGGAGAATGGACGTGGTATCAACGAGGAGAGTCTTCTACCGTTTTGATTGGTTTCAGGGCTTCTTGTCACCAGGCAGCTTGCCATCGAGCATGCTCAACAAGTCCAACACCACCTTGTCGAACTCGCCCTGCGTCGCATCGTCCTCGATCATGTTGCCGAACACCCTCAACCCCTGGATCTTGGAGACCATCTCCTTGTTCCAGGCGATGGTGAAGCTTCCCTTGGAGCCAGGTTTGCGGCCTCTGGGGTCCTTGACGGGGATGGGCGCCTGACCGGCGGCTTGGAGAGCAGCTTGACGCGCGTTGGCATCCGCTTCGGCCGCTCGGGCCGCTTGCATCTCGAGCTTGGTGCGTCGCTTGCGTTTAGCGGGCGGCGGGTTCATGGATGGGTCGATGGCCGCGACGGGTGCGGGAGGAGGCGCGGCAGCGGCGGCGGCTGCTTCAGCGGCAAGCTCGGCTTTGGACTTGCGACCGCGCTTGCCTTTGGGTCGAATGCCAGCGATGACAGGCGCGGCGGGGGGAGGGGGAGCAGCTGCAGCAGCTGCAGCCGCCGCAGCGGCAGCCTTCTTGCCTTTGGCCGTGGTGGGAGCGCCGTTGGTCTTGATCATGGTCGCGGAAGGATCGATGAAGTTGGCCTGCTGTTGCGCTGGGTAGCCTGCAGCTTTGCCACCAGGTGCTGCTGCTGGAGCGGCGGCAGCGGGAGCAGCGGCAGCCTCGGTTTGGTTCTTGGGCTTGCGTCCTCGCTTCTTTGGCACGTTGGCTGGTGGTGCAGCTGGCGCCTGAGGAGCAGCGGTAGCAGCAGCAGAAGTGGCAGCAGGAGCGACCGAGGGCGAAGCGGATGGCGCGGCAGCGGTTGTGGCTTGGGACCGAGAGGCGGCGTTTGCACTGGTCTGAGCCGACGAGGCCTGGTAATTGCTCCAGTCCTGTTGACCGCTGGCCGATGAGTAGCCATTATCGAAGCGTGAGTCTTTGCCAAAGCCGTCGCTGGCGTTGGGATACATTGCCTGAGCCGAGCGATCGCGGTTAGCGCCGTACGAGTCGGAAGAAGGCTGGTAGTAGCTGTGTTCGCTCCTGTACGACGTGGTGGGAGGTTGCTGCTGCTGTTGGCCCTGCTGCTGCTGTTGCGTTTGTTGTTGCTGCTGCTGAGGCAGGAGCGAGTTGCCATTGTAGCTGCCCTGGAAAGCCTCGGAGAAGCTGGCGAACGAATTGGGCCGAGAGTTGGCCGAAGAGGAGGAAGCGGCATTGCCCTGCTGCTGAGCGGCATACTGGGAGGGGAAGTGCGAGCTGGAGCCACCGGAAGCGTATCCGCTGTAACCTCCTACATCGTCGCGAGAGCCAGAGGAGAGCATATTGCTACCAAAGTAGCTGGCTTGCTGCTGTTGCTGTTGCTGCTGCTGTTGGGAAGGGGAGGAGGTGTAGCCGGAGTTGGCCTGCATGTCCCACGACGAGATGCCGCCGCGGTATTGCTGTTGACCGCCGCCTCGACCGTACATGTTGCTTGCAGAAGGAGAAGGTGAGCTGATGAGGTTACACGAGGATATTTATGAAGGAGGATCGGAGGGTTCGACGCGTCGTTCAGAGACCGTGTTCCGAAATGCGAAGGAGGGTGTGAATGAGCCGCAAAGAGGGTATGCTCGACAGAGAAGTGTCGACGATAAAGATCGCGAGCTTCGACGACGTGCGGTGTATGAATGAACGGATGGATGGATGATAGGAAGGAAGGATCGCGCTCGGCATGGGGCGATGGTTGGGATCGCGCTTCTCTCTGGCGATGATGATGCCACAACGCTGCTCGTGCAGACCAGAGCGAGACAAGCGGAGAGCTCTATCGCCCTGAGACACGCCAACAATTAAAACATAAAAACAAATAAATTACAAAATCCTTAGCCGAAAGGCACGGCCTCTTTCAAAATCAAAAATAGTGGATCAAAAGCAATTTTCTTATTTTCGCTCTTTCCAATCGACGACGCGTCGGCACAGAAGGCTCTTCGTGGCTCGTGGTCAAGCAGTCGGCAAATCGGACAACCCGATTTCATCATCAGATGAAAAGCGAATCTTAACAGACGAGCTTTCCCTTTTTCAGCCTGACAAATCCAAGTGCCTTGAGAAGATCTGAACGACTCAGCCTTGAACACGCAAAAAAAAAGTCGGGAAAGTCTGGAAAGTTCTCTCCGCACAGGGCCGTGCTCTCCTCCACCAAAGCACAAGGCTGACGAGCTCAGCGACATCTTTCCTTCTCAACCCATCCTTCTGGCCACACACTCTCTCTCGGAACATTCATACTCGTCAAGCTCGTGTGGATCGAGATCGCAGCCATGCCGACGCCAGCAGCTCGTGGCGCACTCGGCCGTCTATCGCCGCTCTGTGCACCCTCCTCTTCGACTGCTGCTACTGTCACGGCTTCGATACCCCGTCGCTCCTTTGCATCACGGTCCAGCACTTCACTGCCACGGACAGACAACGCCGCATCTTCCTCAAAAGCTCCCGCTTCGTCTCGTTCTCTGGGCAGCTGGTCTCACGCTTCCACTCGTCCTCGCTCATGTAGCTCGTGTGGTCATCAGCTGCCTACCTCGCCCACACGCTCCTTCTCGTCATCAACCCTGCGCTCTGCATCCACCAAGGACCCCTACTCTGTTCTCGGAGTCAAGAAGGACTCAGCCACCAAGGACATCAAGCGTGCCTACTACGATCTCGCCAAGAAGTTTCATCCGGACACCAACAAGGAGAAGGGAGCCAAGGAACGTTTTGTCGAAATCCAGAATGCCTATGACTTGCTCAGCGACGACAAGAAGCGTGCCGCCTATGATCAGTACGGGACTACAGATGGTCAACCAGGCTTCGATCCATTCGGCGGCGGAGGTTCCTCTCCGTTCGGTGCTGGCGGTTTCGGTGGATTCCAGGACTTTGGCGGCTTCTCCAACGCAGGCAACGCCGGCTCCATCTTCGAATCTCTCTTCGGCGCTTTTGGCGGGGGCGGTGGACGTCCAGGTCAGCGCGGGCCAGGCTTCGGTGGTGCAGGTTTTGCAGGCGAAGCACGAGGAGAGGATCTCGAGACTACCATCAACCTCACCTTCGAAGAAGCGTGCAAGGGCACCAAGCGCAAGGTGGTCATCAACCCCATCGAGAGGTGCGGCACCTGCACAGGCTCTGGCCTCAAACCTGGCGCCAAGAAGAGCACCTGCGCTACCTGCAACGGTACCGGAACTCGCACGTTTGTGATTCAGAGCGGCTTCCAGATGGCCACCACCTGTCCCTCGTGCGGAGGTGCTGGCTCCACGGTCGCACCTGGCGACAATTGCAACACCTGTGACGGCATCGGCAGGGTACGCGGACGCAAGGAAGTCGAGATCGATCTTCCGGCAGGCGTCGATGACGGCTTCCGCATTCGCAAAGACGGCTTTGGCGATGTACCGCTCTCCGGTGCTGGCACGCCAGGCTCGCTCTACGTTCGCATCCACGTTGCTCCCAGTCGCATCTGGAGGCGTCAAGGCTCCACGCTGTTCTACCCGGCTACCATTCCCTTCCACACCGCCGTGCTCGGCGGCAAGGTGCGCGTGCCCACTCTGGACGGTGCAGTCGAGGTACGTGTGCCAGCGGGCACGCAGGTGGGCGAGGAGATGATCTTGCCCGGACGCGGTGTTCCGTCGCCAACTCGACGTGGACAGAAGGGCGACCTGTTGGTTCAATTTGAGGTCAGCATGCCGCGCTCGCTCACCAAGCGACAGCGCGAGATCTTACAACAATATGCCGATGAGGTAGAAGGGCGTTCTTCCGCCTCGAGCGACAGCAACAATGCCTCTTCTAGCTCGTCGTCAAGCAAGACTGCCAAGGCAGCAAGCAGATCCGCTCCACCAAGCCAGGCTGGGTCTGCCTCGACCGCCAATGCAAAGGCCTCTTCGGCTTCTTCCGACAAAGGTCAGCCGGTTTCGGCCAAAACATCGACGAAAAAGACTTCTACAGGTAGGTTCACCATCCATCACTCGTCTCGCTCCGAGGACGCAAGCGACGACGCCGCTGCTGCCCCTGCTTCCTCTGCCAGCTCGAAAGCAGAGAAGTACGCCGCCGACAAAGCTACCCTCTTTCAAACAGCCGGAGCGCAAAGTGGGCCAAGCACAGAGCAAGCGTCCAGTGACTCCGACAGAGGCGTTCTGGGCCGCGCATGGGATTGGCTTACGAGTCGAAAGTGAAGCTAGCTTGCATCGAGCGTCTAGAGAAAGAGAGACGAGGCAGCCGATTCTGTAGTCACTAGATTTCATTTCGCTGAAATCCCACCACCTCTCATCGACTCCCCTTGACCGATTCGTTCATTCGTTCTGCAGCAGGTAGTACAGGGGCTGAATCCAAGCCACAGGACTCGACGACCGACAACAAGGACAGCAGCAAGCCAGACGATGCGAATACCAAACCAAGCCCGTAGCAATGTCGCTTTTGTAATGCGTTCATTCCAAAGCAATAGAAACACCCTCCCACATGGATTCTGCTGCATGCATGGCGCCGACTCTTTCATGAGGCTCCCCGATGATTGTCCTGTGTTTCATGACCTGCAGTGCTTGAGAGAGAGACCACTTGATATGAAGCTGTTGAGAGTGATCGTGGAAAGGCAGCATTGAATCAGGCCTAACACGCTGGCAATAATCTCAAGCTGGGCGAGAAGAAATTTGACTGGCTGCTGGGCTGAAGAAACAATTTCTTCCTGCCTTGGAAAGCGCGGCCAGCAGACACGAAAGGAAGAAATCCAACGGTGAGACAAGAAGGCTGGCTGCCAGCCTCGCTACCGCAACCTGAATGCAAAGCGCAGAGTCAATTTTAAAGTGTGTGTGTCTGCGGTCCAAGGTCAGCGCAGAAGAGAAAGGGAAGGAAAAGGCATGGCAGGCAACCAGCTTCTCGAGAGGTTGATTGGCTGGGTGAGAAAGGGACTGCCAGTCAGTCAGTCAGTCAGTCAGTCAGGCGTAGTCTTGGGAGCGACGCCCTTGCCACTACTCTTTTTCAAGATAGTCAGTCATTCGCTCTTCCTGTGTTCATCTTGCAAAGCCTTCAATCTGCCTTTGCTCTCATCATCTCTTCTTTCGCTTCTCAGTCAATCTCTCATCCGCTCAAACAGCGTGAACACTCCCGCAGCCTTCTACTTGCCGCTCGTACACACCCCAAACCATTCAACCGACCACATTGGATCCAGCACATACAATCAGCATCAGAACAACCTACACTTCAATCCCTTCCACCGGTACACAGCAGCTCCATCTGAACCTATTTGGATCTGGCGCACTTGCCTTGGCTAATCAGCTCAGCTTCAACTCAATCTCGACAATCTCTTTTTGCGAATTGCATTGCCCGCACTGCTTCTCCTCGACCGAACCGATTCCAATCGAGCATCTCCTCCTTCAGCACTCGACATTGGTTCTCTCCAAAGAGCTGTCAGAGAGACACTGCAACACTCCTGCATCCTTCCTGATCCACCAACATCGCATTCATCCTTCAACAAGCATACACTTTGTCCACTCCAGCACCCTCTCGTCTCAATCTGACCCTTCAGCATCAACCCTTCCGCACCGGAAGCAACCTTTTCCACTTCCGCTTCGCTCTCAGCTCAGTTTCAAGGCTGTCCCCTTGCGTCCTTCCCAGCAGCTCACACACAGCGCTGACCATCTCAGCTTCGATCTAGCACCCTGACGGAAGCCACCTCCATTCCACATCAGCATTTTACCCATCCTCGACTCTGACACCATGGCGACTTCGATGCAATTTGGTCCCGAGTGGATGCGCAAAGGACCAACCAGCAAATCAGGCGGCAAGGAAAACCCCGCTTCCACCACGCCTTCGGCTGCTACCAGCCCTGGCACGGGCCCCGTTGCCGGCACTACGGCTCCCAGCAATGGCAGCAACGGCAACAGCGGCGGCAAGCGTAATGGCGGGCCTGTCGGTCTTGCTAATCTGTCTGGCCCGGCACCTGTGGTGAGCCCGTCGGTGAGCAGCCCTGGTGCCTTCTCGTTCGCTGCGGCTGCCGCTGCCGCAACTGCGCAATCCTCGGATCGCAATGGCACGCATGCTTCCACTCCGCAAGGCGACAGTGACTCCTCCTCGACGACGCTTCTCAACGGTTCTTCCGCAGCACTCGCCAAGGACAAAGTATCGCGCGAGAAGATGCTGAGTCTGTACAGTTCGGACCGCACCAGCAAGAACGCTAGCGCAGAGCCCTCGCCCGTGGAAGCCGTCCCGCCTGGAGGTAGCGCTGCGCCCGAGCGCTCCACGAGCACTTCCCGCAGAAAGGTCGGTTCCGATCGTCGCCAACCTGGTTTTGCCGATTTTGTAGCCGTCGGTGCGGGACCGTTATCACCCGGCTTGGGCAGCAACGAACCGCGCGGGCTCAACGCACGATCGACTTCAGGAGGCTCTTCAGGCGGCTTCGGTTCCGCTGGCACGTCGAATTGGGACAAGGCGGAGAAGGAGCGTCCTGGCCTGTTCCAGCGTGCTTCGAATGGCGCTTTGGCGGGCGTGACCACCAACTCTGGTTCGCGTCCCCTCTCGCCCTCGGTGTCTCGAGATCGCTTCACTGGCATTCAGGGCGGTGTCCTTTCCGGTGTAGCTCCTCCTGCCCGCAAAAGGATGGACAGCAACGATGGCGGTCCCACTCCAGTGGAAGCCCCTTCTCGCAGTGTGCGCTCCCTCAAGAGCAGTCAGGACGAGGTGCACGCTCCACAATCCTCGACCAATGGTGCAGCTGGCGGTATGGGCTCTTGGGGACGCTCTTCGCAGTCCGCCATCGGTCAGTCCGGCACGATTGGCAATGGCGGAGGAGTGATGGGCGCCTTCTCCGATGCCTTCAGCTCCAACCGCGTCAGAGGTCGAAATGTGCCGGCTGCTGCCGATGTTGCTGTGTCAGCACCTGCGGCTCCTCCCGCACCCGCAGTAGAGTCATCGCAGCCAACGCAGCCCATTGTGCCCAGCGCCAATCCCGAAGGACTCAGCATTTCGGCTCGCTTCGCACGCCACAAGGACCGTCTGCCCGGTGAAGGTCCCATCGGTCCTCCTTCCGATGGCAGCATTGGCTTCGGCAAATCCTCGGGCGTCGACAGGAGAAGAGAGCGTCAGATCAGTCAGGCTCGACCGATGCACTCTCAGCTGACCCGAGGCGACGCAAGCGCAGTCAACGGCGGATCCGCTGCTCTTCACACCCAAGTGACCGAACAGCCCAGCACTCAAGCACAGGAGGCTGTCAGTCAGATCGCAGCTCAGGCCGACCACGGTCTTGGCAGCGACGATCAGGACCTGGCGCAGCACGCCTCTGCTGTGCTTGGCTCGCTCAAGCTCGACGAGGATGACAGCCCCGGTCTACCTCCTACATCCGCCCTCGCTGGCGACCACCTTGGCTCCAACACAGACGATCTTCTTCGCGGTCGTGACGTCAGAGACCACTTCGAACAGCAACAACAACAGCACCACCACCCTCAAGCAACCATGCAGGCCGCACCTTGGTCACCCGAAACGTCCATGTGGCTCTACAGGGACATGGCTGGCAACGTGCAAGGCCCCTTTAGCAGTCTCATGATGCAGGACTGGTACTCGCAGCAGTACTTTGCCGATGACTTGCTCATCAAGCGTCAGGAAGATGTCGACTTCAAACCACTTGCTCAGGTCGTCGCTGCGGTTGGCAATGCTCTCCAGCCTTTCATCATTCCTCCTTCCAACTGGCTGCACAGCCCAGCACCTCCTCGACCCGCCTTCGAAACAAACTCTGGCGCCGAGCAGAGTCGCTTCAGCGATACCTTCGACTCTAACAGGTCTTGGGCAGCGCAGGCAGGCAGGCAACAGCAGCCTCAGCAGTCACAGCAGCAGCAGCAGGGCTGGCCTTCGTCCCTCACTCTCGGTGGTCTCGGAAACAGCGGTCCCGCACCCGCCTCGCCTTTCGGGCGTCACGACATCTTCTCGGCTGCCCAGTCCGGACTGCGCAATCAGGACGATGTCATGTCGATGCTTCGCGAGCGCGAGCTGCACGAGCAGCGCCAAGCTGCCGGTCAGCGAGGCCCAGGCGGCATGCATCTTGGCCAGCTTGACAGCTTCGGCGGGGGCCTCGGAAGATCTGGATGGGGCAACGAGTCTGCCATGACGCCCTCTCACTGGGGCGGCATCGGCCATGGAGGTCTCGGTCAATTTGGGGATGTCGGTCTCGGCGGCGGCCACCAAAGCCCGCTGGTCGGTGACCGACAACCCTTTGACAACTTTGGCCACCAGCAGCAGAGGCAAAATTTTGACCAGGCCAGCAGCCCTTGGACCAACACGGCCTCGGTCGCGTCTCGATCGCAGTTCGACTCGATGCGACAGGCGCAGCAAGGTCAATGGGGCGAGCAGCAGGCACAAGCACAACAGCAGCAGCACCAGCAGCCACAGCAACAGCAGCAACAGGCACCTTGGACCTACTCTGCTACAACACCCGATGTGAGCAACCGCCAGATGGATTTCAGCGAGGCTCTTCTGCGCAACGAGGCCATCAAAGCTGCTGATCCCATCGGAACTCCTCGACGATCCCGATCGCCTGCTCCTCAGCATGATGTGACTTCGGCTCACCAGCAGGCCGTCGAGCACAAGGCTGAGCTGCACCAATCGTTCGAGAACGCTTTCCCTGCTCCCACGCAGCAAGACGATGCACACGTTCACGAGCATTCGGCCGGCTCCACCGCTGCCTTCCAAGAGAATGATGACAAAACGCTGGCCGTCAACACCCACGTCGACGTGGCTCAACCTGCCACACCGCAGAAGAAGATGAGCAAGAGGGAGGCGCAGAAGACAGCCGCCGCCGCCGCCGCCGCTTCTGTATCTGCCGTCAGCGCTGCTCAAGCACCCACAACGCCTGCCAAGACTGCCGATACCGACATTCCACCTCCCGAAGCTTTCACCACTGGCGAGCCGCGTCCTGAAGAGCTCTGGCCTCAGTCTCCCAAGGCCGTCGAGTTTGCCTCCGAGCCCGAGCTCTCTGGCATGCCCGCAATGACCCTCACCGGTAACAAGGCTGCCAAGGACGTCAAGCGAGAGTCGCGCTCAGCCCTGCAGCGACAACCCTCGGACGTGTCTCGAAGTGAGCCGGCCACCCGCGCTGCCGCTGCTGCCCGCCCGACTGGTGCTAGCAACGTGCGCGTCGTCTCACAGGAGCAGTTCCGACGAGGCAAGGAACTCGAGAGCGTATCCGCCCAAGCACCCCTCTCTGACTGGCTCAACGATGCCTCGACCACGGGCGAATCGCCCGCCCCCGCCAGCCGACCCGCTCCCTGGGCCGCCGCCAAGGACGACTCGACCTCAACGACTGGTCCCAGTCTGCGCGAGATCCAGGAAGCCGAAGCCAAACGTGCCGAGGCGAAGCGTGCCGCAGAAAAGGCAGCAGCTCGTGCTCGCATGGCTGCCACACCCGGTGCCGCCGACGACCTCCCAACGACGCTCAGCTGGGGTCTGGCCTCGGCGCCTGCCACCAAGACGATCAACACCGAGGCGGCCAACGCTGCTGCTGCTGCTGCTGCGGCGGCGGCGGGCAGCCCCGCTACTCCTGTGTGGAACGCCGGCAAGACGGCGCCCAAGAAGACGCTCATGGAGATCCAGGAGGAGGAGCGCAAACGCGCTGAGAAGCTCAAAGCTCAGCAGAATGCTCAGGCGATCGCGATGCGCAAGGGGTACGCGGACTCGGCTGGTCGAACTGCCTCCTCGACGATTGCGGCTCCTACTGCGGCGAGTGGCGGTGGTGCTTGGTCGGTGGTTGGGGCTGGAGGCAAGCCTTCCACTCCCAGCGGCGCCGTGCCGGCTACTGCTGCAGCTGCTTCACCCCTTGCTGCTCGACCGGGCGTGACTCCAGCCAGCCGCACAGCCAGCGCCACCCAACCTCCCACCTCGACGGGCAGCCCCTGGAACGTGGTTGGCACCAAACCCGCCACCATCTCCACACCTTCCGCACTCCCCGCCTCGCCCTCGCCCGCCACCCGCATCCGATCCACCGCCGATCCCACCGCCCCCTCGCCCGAATTCATCCGCTACTGCAAGGAAAACCTCGTCGGCCTCACCATCAAGACGGACGACTTTATCGACATGCTCCTCCAATTCCCGCTCGATCCCTCGGCGGATGTGATCGAGATCATTGCCGACACGGTGTACGCCAACAGCAGCACGTTGGATGGGCGCAGGTTCGCGAACGATTTTGTTAGCAAGAGGAAGTTGGATGTGCAGGGGAGGACGGGGGTTAAGTGGGGTGCGACGAGTGGTGGGGTGAAGACGCCGAGTGTTAAGACGGTGGAGAAGGTGACGGTGGGCAAGGTGCCTGGTCAAGGGGAAGGGTTCAAAGTTGTCAAGGGCAAGGGTGGGAAAAAGCGCTAGATGCGGACGTTGTCGCCTGCCGAGAGTGGACGATGCTCAAAGCAGCTTGGTTCGAGGTTGATCGGGTCAAGTGCAAGCCATTGTAGAACACATCAGTCACCCTGCCCACAGCAAGCCCAATCACAAACACATCATCATCAAGCTCAATTGCAGTGAGAACACCTTCCAGCCCGTCCAAAGTGAGATCGCACCAGCAAGCCGGGCTGCAGCTTGGGATGACATGCGACTCGCTTCGACGCAGCTGCAAAGTGCGAAGAACGTCGTGCGTTGCACGTCAAAGCTGTCTCAGGTCCAGATGCGGAACAAGACCACCAACATCCTTTCGCGTGGCTCCAACGGCGTGTCAGAGAGCCGCAGCATCACTCTCAGGCATGACTCGACATTCTCTCACTCCTGGCTCAACATATCGCGACGGGACAGTGAAGAGATGAGAGTAGAGATCGTGGACAAGTACAGGCTGTGATCTACGAAAGTGGCGTGGCGCAGTGGTACAGGAGGAAGGGTGTTACGCGTCGACGTCCATCTTTGTCTCGGCGTGCGTCTCCGACGGTGCCTCTGTCGACTCGGGTGGGGGTTCCACCTTGACCCCTCCTCCCTCTGCGTTGCCCTCCTTTGCACTGCCACCGTTGACCTCATTGCCACTGCCGTCCGCGTTGCCCCCCTCCTCCTCGGGCGCAGGCGTCTCCTCCATCCCCGCCAGCACCTTCTCCTGCCCCGCCCGCTCCTTCCTCGCAGCCTCCTCGATCGCCTGACTGCCAAACCTTTCATCCAACGCCCCGCGCTCCACCTCGCGATCGATCGCCTCCTGCCTCGCCTCGGCATTCGGATGGCTCCAGTCGGAGATCTTGACGCTCGACCGATGTTGCACTCTCTCCCTGTGCTGGTCTGTCTCCTCCACCCTTCCTGGGTTGGCCCTTCCTTCGCGATCCAGTTCGTCATCCCCGCGTCGGGAATGATCCTGAAACTCGACCCGATCCACCACCCTCTCATCCGGATGAGCATCCTCCAACCCTTGCAACCCACCCTTCTCGCCCAAATCACCCATCCTCTCCCCACCCAAATCCTCATTCGCCCATCCCTCGGCGATGCTCCTCGGCTCCACGTGCCCCTGCACTGACGGTGCGTGTGCGGTTTCTCGCAGACTCTCAAACACTTGCACCTTGATCTTATCCAAATACCCCCTCGTGTTGAGATCCTCCATGTTGTTCGGTCGAACATCCAATCGGTAGTCCGGACCGAAGTACTCGTAGTATTCGTTGACGGGGATGTGCGGGTTGAGCTCCTGACCTGCTGCTAGGCCCGTTTCGAATGCCCACGCGCGGCTGACGTTGCGCATGGTATATCCTCCACCGCCGAGGAGGAGCAGGGGGAGACCGAAGGATTTGACGTATTCGACACAGTTCGCATGCCCGCGCATGCTCAGGTTGAAACAACCCAGTTTGTCACCGGCGAGCGAGTCGGAGCCGCACTGGAGGACCACAGCGGACGGTTGGTAGTGCTGCATGATCTGCGAGATGACCGGCTCGAAGACTGTTCGGTAGGATTCGTCGGTGATTCCGTCGCGCAAAGGGAAGTTGCAGGAGTACTTTTTACCAGGACCCATGCCTGTATCGCGCAACGCGCCGGTTCCGGGGAAGAACTCGCCATACTTATGGAAGGATGCCGTCATGACCCGATCGGTTGTGTAGAACGCCTCTTCGACTCCGTCGCCATGATGCACGTCGATATCGATGTACAACACGCGAGGGTGGTATCGCAGCAACTCGAGGATGCCCAACACGATATCGTTGATATAGCAAAACCCACTTGCTTCTCCCTTCTTCGCGTGGTGCAATCCACCTGCCCAGTTGATGGCAATATCGCATTTGTCGCGACTCAACCTCGCCGCTCCTTCCATCGACCCACCTGCACTGATACTACAATATTCGAACAGCCCGTCGAAGACAGGACAATCATCGCCTACGTTGAACTTGGCTTGTTCCCTCACAAAGGCGTCCACATTATCGGGGGTGACGCGGTTGAGGAATTCGACGTACTCGTCCGTGTGGAATTGAGACATCTCGCGTTTCGTCGCTGGTTTGGCACGGAAGATCTCCATGCGTTTGTAGAGACCGTAGTTCATCACCAGCGAGTGACACATTCGGATGCGGGTGGGTTTCATTGGATGCCCAGGGCCGTAGTGGTAGTTGCCGATATCGGAGTCGAAGAAGTAGCATACTCGCGATGGGTTGGGATTGGACGAGTTGGAGAGGGGCGCGAAGAGCGGTTCATCGGTGGAAAGGGGGGCGCCGGAGGCAGAGGTCGAGTTGTAGGTGTTGACGATCGAGTTTGAGCCCAAGAAGGTAGATGACATGATGGGTGGTAGGGATCAGCTACCGAGCTGCGCGGGGTAAGTGAGCAGAGAGATGGATGGGTGAGAAGGTGTGTCTGCGACGTCGTGAATGGCCAGACTTGCGGTAGAGCAGGGATTCGATCGAGAAGGAGCGGTCGCCGGGCAGTGACTGGTGCGGATGCCGTTGAAGCTGATCCCGGTCGATGGCAGTGATGGTGAGAAGAAGAGGAAATGCGGAGCAGATGTCGTGCAAGCTGTGGACCCTGCGAAGAAAGGAAATTCCATCCCGCACGACAAAAACGGCCGTGCGTGGCTCGAGCTCTGCGGCCGCACGTGATAAGGGCGGAATTCTTGAGCCTGCACAGCGCAGTGCGAACCCCTCTCCACTCCACATCGTTTGCTGCTATCGCGGACCCCCTGTTGCTCACCGTCACCTCCCATCTCGCGCTCCCCGTCGACGGCACCACTTCGCACACGGTACACAAGGCAAAGGTCGAACGGATAGTGGCAAGCAGTCAAAGGAATAAGGAGGTGATATATCTACAATGTCGGCGTCCGATCGGACGCTCATTGCGCTCATTGCGGATGAGGTGAGTTTGCCCACCGTACCAATCTCGACGACGAAAGCACATGACTGACAGTGGTGCGATGGATGACAGGACTCGACAACGGGTCTGCTTCTCGCCGGCATCGGCAACGTCGACGAGAAGGGCGAGAAGAACTTTATGATTGTTGACAACAAGGTACGCCTCCCCCACCCCTCCAATCCACCTCTTCCCCCCTGGTCTGCTACTCACACTTCAACGGATCTTCTTTGCCTCCCGCGCAGACTTCCGTCTCGGACATTGAATCGACCTTCAACCACTTCACCACGGAGCGCAAGGACATTGCCATCCTCCTCATCAATCAGCATCTCGCAGAGAAGATCCGACCCGTCGTGGAACGATACACCCAAGCGTTCCCCGCGGTCCTCGAGATCCCTTCCAAAGATCACCCCTACGACCCTGCCAAGGATAGCGTGCTCAAGCGCGTGCAGAAGCTCTTTGGCGAGTAAACGCCACGCAATCACACACAGGATTCTAGATTGATCAGCATTGATTGTGCGTGTGCGGTCAGATCTCCATCGACAGCCAGTCAACCACGTTTCTAAAATCCTCCCCACCATGCATGAGCATCTCCCCATGCGCCTTGCCTTTCCCATAATGCACGTTCTCCCGTGGACATCCACTCTCCACCAGATACTCCAAGGTATCTTTGGCACTGAGAATCGCATCTTCTTCCGCCAGGTAAAACCTCGTCCTCTTTCCATCTTGCAACTTGGCGATCTCGTTCGGCCACAAAATGTTGCTACTCCAGTCGAAATACCGACAGAGCGTGTTGGCGACGCCGAGTTCGCGCGCAACAAAGTAGCGCATGAGGAGCTCGATCGGTTTGCGCGCGCGTTTGTAGACAAAGTTACTGCACACGAAGGGCACCCAGAGTTGAAAGCAGACTGGATCGACGAAGCACGATCGCCGGATCGCGGTGCCGAGCGACTTGATGAGCCACGAATGGACGAGTGAGCCGTAGGAATGCGAGAGCACGTCGATACAGCTCCAATTATTCGAAGCGAGGATGCGGCGGAAGGCAGAGGTCGTTTCGTGATGTCCGAAGGGGTGGAGGAAGTGCGGCGAGAGGAGGGACTGCGAGATGTTGGGCTGGAGGAGGAAGATCAGTGGGCGATGGGCGAAGACGGGGGAGTGAAGGAAGAAGGTGAGGAGGGAGGAGTATTGGGCGAGTCCGATGCCGAGGCCGTGCAGGACGACGAGGGGGGTTGTGTCTTTTCCGGTGGAGAGGGCGGGCCGGTAGAGGTAGGGTAGGCGTCCCTCGGTGCGCATCTGAAAGCCACCCCGGATGGCACGTCGGATAGTGAGGTAGGATAGACCGTTGGTGACCGCGTAGCATAGGAGCGGTCTGGTGCGCGTGCGTACGGGGTCGATGGTGAGACGCATCATCCGAATCCTTGGGCCCATCTTTGCGGTCTTTTTCTTGGGCTCCACAGGCGCCGTCAGAGGATAGCTCCGCCCCTGTCGAGTCTCGAGCAGCTCTAAGCAGTATTCCAGAAACTGCAAGCGATCGCCCGTGGTGGGATCCCACTCTCCCTCCCGCGCCCGAACCCCCTGTACATCTTCCTGCTCCTCCACCGCCGTCCCCGCAATCGCTCTAGACAGCGAGAACTTCGGCACGGGTCCCCCAAACGTCACGCTGGACGGCGGCATGGGCGAGTTGGCCGTCGACGGCGTTGCGCTTTCCACCCCGTTCGCCGGCTGACATTTACTCTCGGCTTCCAACTCCTCCAGCTCCGTGGCGAACAACGACCACGCCAGCCAATGCATCACATCCCTCCGCGTAATCTGCTCAGCCGGGACGCCGAAGAACCACCTCGCCTGGTCCTGCTGGAACTTGAGCGCGCGTGGATCGTCGGCCGAGATCGGGGACGAGACGAATTGCGGGACGAAGCTCGCCGCTCGCAGCCGGCCGAGGCGCTGACGGACGTCGCTCGGCGGCGGATCTTCTTTTCTTAACGAGGAGGAGCCGTTGGTGCGCCTCGATACAGGTCCGTCTCCCAGTGAAGCTTGGACTGCGCTAGCATACGACCCTTTGGCGTTGCCATTCGTCAGATCCTCGCCGGAAGGCTCGAGTCCCGCCTGGAGCGCCTGCGCAAAGACGCTGCGCAAGAAGCGCCGTCCGTAAAGCGGTCGCGGTCCCGGTCGCTGCAGTCGCTGCGACAGGTGCAGATGGTACAGCGAGAAGGCCGCCTCGATCGCGCAGTAGGAGTAGAAGACGGTGGAAGCCCATCGCCAGCGTGGAGAGAGGAGGTGCGCAAAGATGTTGGTGACCGTGCGAGGCGAGTGCTTGACAAATGTGGCCCATAGTCTGGAGTCTATCGAGTAGGAGGTGTGATTGTTGAGGTAGTATCGGATGATGCGGGTGAGGAGGGCGAGCCAGCTGAAGGGTGTGATGCCCCAGACGGTGAGGATGAGCAGACGGGTGAGCACGATGGATGCGTCGCCGGGGATGAGCTGCGCCATGGTGGCCCGATAGATGGAAGCACGACGCGCGGAGTCGAATGTTGGTCAAAGTCTGCGATGACGGATGAGAAAGGGCGGGAATGCTGGATGATCCGCTCTATGAGGTGGTCTAGATGGAGCAGGAGGCTGATAAGGTCTTTATGGGGTCATGATCTTGTCGATGTGTGGAACCCAATCGGCATAGTCCAGTGACTCTATCAAGATCAAGCGCGCCGTCTGTGTCCACTGAGGCGGATCGAAGCGTGAGCCAGACTGCGCTACGGCGCTTACCGAGGAGCGACTGGGCTGTCTTTCTTACGAGCCTGTGGAGGTGGGTCGTTCGATAGTTGGTTGTCAACGGGGATCTAGACGAAAGTTTGGAGCATGAGCTTGCGAACCGGACGAAGTGAAGCCCTTTGTAGCTGGGCCGTTCTGCGGAGACTGGTTCCAGTATGGATGGATGGACGATGGTTGGTTGTCAAGAAGCATCCCTCTCCCAACCTTGAGAGCAACGAGATTAAGTTGGCGGTGTGTTGCGCACGTTGGACCCTTGAACACGAAAGCTTCCCCCAACATGACGCACGTCAACGTGAAAAAGGTTCCCACTCGAATGGTTGAAGTCACCGTGCATGGAAAAATCCCGCAAGCCACCGCTTCCCGCCCCACGGGACGAAGGGAGTGGCTTCCATTTCGGCAGTCTTGGACGTCGGATTTCACGCCTCACTGTCCACTGCTGAAGCCTACATCCCTACGGGAATCATAACCCGACTTGACCCGGTGAGAGCGAGATGGAGCTGGTGCAAAGGGCGAGTGGTGACATGATATCCCAACAACACCGCGAGATGAGCAGCAAGATTGCATGTAAGGGGCGAACCTAACTCAATGTCAAGAAGGGGGTTGGACGATGCTCGAAAGTCAATGTGAGATGCAGAGCAAGGCTGAGTGTGTGTGGCTCGCTCGCGACACACAGGGCAATCCGTTCGCAGATTGAGCTCGTGTGTTGATCCACGTTTGCATTATAGTTCATTACAGGCTCTGCAATGCAAGATAAGAGTTCGGGGGAGGGAGGAAGGGGACAACAAAGTATTGTCGTCGAAGCCGCTTTCCATGTCTCTGAGCCGTCATTCAAGGCGCTCGTCGCAGAGCCGACCATAGCTTCGAGGGCTCCATCCATTCATCAGCGACCGGAATCAAGTTGGGGTCCAGCGGTCGGAGGAAGGCGTGAGTGTCCTCGATTCATGCCAACCAGCGGGCAAGTCTGCTTGCTGAGCTGTCCAACCGGTCTAGCTTCAGCTTCAACACATGCATGCCGAGCCGATCCGCTTGTTGGATACGAAGGATGCGATAAAGGATCCAGCAGGTCAGGTATTCTTCCATCTGAAATTTTGACTTCATTAGCAATACACATGGCGATGATCTAAGCTACAATGCTCGGGGCTTGCTAGTCTGCAGTCGACGTGAGTGTTGCGTGTCTATGAGCGGTCCTTGTCATCCGTTGGGCTGGCAGCGGTATCCACCGTCTTGTCTTCAACTTTTGGGTCCTCCAAATCGCCCACCTTCTTGCTTTCCTGTGGCGTTTTCTGAACGTCTCTCCTGAGACTGTACCCTTTGACACCCAGCACGGCCAGAAACCCAGCGCCTGCCATGGGGGCGAGGACGATCCAGACGATCTGCAGACCGTCTGCGTAGGCGGTGATGATCTCTCTGCTGAGCTCGGGGGGTTGAATGTTGCGCAGACCTGTGAGGTCTTGGCCGCCGGAGCCTGTTGAGACCATCGACTGGGTGAAGCCCGGGATGGCTGCCAGTCGGGATCGCGATTGCGTGTTGAATACCGCACCGCTGACGGCGATGCCCATGGTGCCGCCGAGCGAGCGGATGAGCGACATGGTGGCGACGGTTGTCGACAGGTCTCCGTGCGGCATTGCTGCCATCAACCCCACGAGGGGCGTTTGGAACAGGAATCCCGTACCAAAGCCAGCGATGGCAATGAAGACCTCCTGCTTGGCCAGCGAGGACGAGGCGTTGAGCGTGGCCATCAGCCCGTAGCCGACAACCATGATCGACCAGCCCACCCACAGGAATGGCCGGTACGCGCGGAATCTGCTGATTCCCAGACCTGTTACGCTCGACAGGATGGACGCAACCAGCGCGTAGGGAAGCATGTAGACTCCAGACATGAGCGCAGAGGCACCGAAGATGGCCTGGAAGTAGACTGGAAGGTAGTAGGTCGCTGCGAAAAAGACGAATGCGTGCAGCAGGACCGAGAGAAGGATCAAGGAGGTGGTTCGTGTGGTGACGAGGCGTGGAGGTACGATGGGCTTCTTCTTTGTTTTGAACTCCCAGCCCATGAAGGCGATAAGTAGGGCTCCTCCGGTGACGAGGAGCGCGATGGTCTCGGGGACGTTCCATGCTTTGGTCTCGGCATAGTTGAAGCCGAGCAGGATGAGGATGACTGATACGATGACCATGAAGAGACCGATAAAGTCGAATTCGCCGCATGCTTCGCGGAAGGTGAGCTTGGGTCGAGGATTAAGGTTGAGCGAGAAAAAGACAATGACGAGGGCGATGCCGCCGAGAGGTAGGTTGACGAAAAAGCACCATCGCCAGCCCGAGTGACCTGCGTCGGTGAAGGCACCTCCGAGCAGAGGACCAATGACGGATGCGATGCCCCAGACACCGCCGATCCAGCCTGAGTACTTGCCTCGGTCCTCGAGAGAGACAATGTCGCCAATGATGATGTTGATGAGCGCAATAATGCCTCCTCCTCCGATTCCTTGAACACCACGAGCAGCATCCAACCAGGCCATGTTCTGGGCGGCACCGCACATGGCCGATCCGAAGAGGAAGATGAGGGTAGCCACGTAGAGGAGAGGCTTACGACCGGTCAAGTCCGAGAGGCGGCCGTACAGCGGGATGAGACTGGTTGAGGCAAGCAGGTATGCTGATCCGACCCAAGAGTACTGGCCTGCGTTCCCATCGAGTCGTTGCGAAATGACAGGTAGGGCAGTGGACACGATCGTCTGATCCAGGGCCGCAAGCCCGATCAGACCACAAAGGCCGATCATCACTATCTTCATATTGTTATGAGGCAAGATCTGTTTGTCGGACTGAAGCCAGTGAGCCTTTTTGGGTGTCGCAGACCCATCGACGGTGCCTGGTGTCTGCGAGGTGGGTGTCGCTGGCCTCTCCTGACTCTTTTCGTCTAGTTCTGATGTCGCTCGACTACCGTCTGAGGTATGGGTGCGTGTTGCAAGTGGTGTCTCCGAAGGGTGGTGGATGTCGTGCTCTGTTGTTCCAGCAGCAGTGTCGAGGCCGCCGATCTGGTTGCCTTCTAACGCTGCTGCTTGGAGCTCTGTGTCGCGTACTGATGAGGGCACTTCCCGCATCTCTGTTGATGGCCGCGACATGGCGGCGGAGAGGGGAGCTGTGGTGAAAGAGGATGGTGGTGGAGCGGAAGGAAGCTTGACTCAGCCATGACTGGAATGACCAACAGAGGGGTCGGAGGGGTCCGTGAGGAGACTGAGAGCCGGCTGAGAGCGCGGGGGGACAGAGCGCCAAAGTTTGACTTAGGAGGCTAGCTCGGCAAGCAAATCTGAATTACCTGACCAACTACAAAAAGGGAAAAAGGTTTAACCCAAAATGCATAGCCAGACACTGCGCTCTGCTGCCACGCTGCCTGAACGGAAACCCCGCGGCTGTCTCTCCCTCGGCTACGCATCTGATCAAGCCGGCTCGGCATGCTTTTCTCTGTCATGACTCACACTTTCCGGCCATTGCGATCGTCCACGCCGTCTGCTCATCCTGTCCCTAGCCGTGATCAGTGACTCTACAGCCGCCACTGTGCAGGCAGATGATGATAGCACAAGAGACCCTCAGGAGCAAGCATGGCGTCAAGTTCGGACAGCGTGTTCGGACCGCCGGCAGACGGATGCTCGGATCTTCGCTCTCGTACACGCGCACACGCCCCGGACGGGCGCATCCCATGCCGAGTGTTTGATGTGTGTGAACCACGCGACAGGTGTACCACAGGAACCCGTTCGTGTGTTGTACGTACAGAAAGATAGCCGGTCTAGACAGCGATCATGTCCGCGGGGGCGTGTCTTTCCGAATTCTTCGCTTTTTGCGGCTTGTCGGAGCGCCTCGCGCCGAATTCCAAGGGTTCGAGGACATTTCTTCTTGCTCAGCCTTCGATGGGCATGCCACTTCCTTGCTCGATGGAGGCCACTTTCATAAGGGTCTAGATGAACGACGTTATGGAGGGTCACATCAGGAGCGCGGCTTACATGCATTCTGATTGCAAAAAAAAAGAGGGAACTGCAGCACCCAGGATTCCCGCGTGGTCCCCCACCGCAGTACTGACTAGGCGATACCTTGCTTAACTTCGCAGATCGGACGGGATGCGGTGCTTTCAAGGTTCTATGGCCGCAGATGATATTCCCAAGGACTGCAACGTACATATCGCGCTGTCGGTCGAGGCTGTGTGCGTCGAGAACGCGGCGGAGCAGATGTCAAGCACTTACAGTGTCACGGGCGAGCTCGATCGCATACGTAATCCGGGGCCAGACTCAATGCACACAGTTGGGAGCGTCACGCAAGTGTGCATCAAAGCGTGTCGATGCATGGCATTTCAAGATCCGAGAGAACGAGAGAAGAGACCCCAAATAGACGTGAAGAGAACGCGAGAGATATTAAGAGACCCAAAGAGATGCGAAGAGACCCGAGGTGGTGGATAGAGTGGCAACTGGGCCCGAAGACTTTCACCGTGGTTTTGCTGCATTGACCAGCTCTACCACCGCCGCGTCCTCCACCGAGGCGGCCAGGGTGGCGATGGACACAGAGCTGCGTCCGACCGTCTGAGGTCGCGACGCGGGCACGCTGTTCAGCCCGACACCCTGCGCTGGGACGGGTACGAACTCCGAGACCGCCTCAATGGGCCAAGTGAACGGCGAGACGCAGATACGCCCATACGTCTCGCTCTCCCTCTTGAGCGCCACTATGGCTTTGGCGAGCGACCGATCGCGGCTGAACCATTTGCCGCGCTTGCTGAGGGCCAGAACCAACGTGGAGAGATCCGATTGGTAGCCGTTCCGATCGGCGCCTTGAAGGTAGAGCAACCATCGGGCTGCCACGAACAGCGCAGGCGAGCACAACGACGGCAGCGAACACAACATGCTCGAATTCTGCAACGCCATATCCGCCAGTCGGGACAGCCACACGGCTGCGTTGGCAATCCTGCTCCGCGCCTCGCCGCCCTGGATGATGGGGTTGACCGCGTTGACCTCGGTCCCGAACAGCGTCAGCACCGACAGGTGGTGCGCCACCTCGGCGGCAAAGCGCAGTCGATCCTGCAGCAACAGGCTCTGCACGAGGTCCTGGCGTCGAGCGCCGCCGCTGCTGCCCACGCCAGGTTGGAGCACACCCAAACGCGACACGGTCCGATCGTCGAATTGCGACAGCATCATGCGCGAGTTGCGGATGCTTTCATGCGCCGATACCAGTTCCTCGCGCATGCTGATGCTGTCTACGCCACGAGCAGCAAGATTAAATTCGCAGCACTGATCGAGAACCAGGCTGACCTTGACGAGGAGCGACATGGAGTCGTCGGAGGCTTGCAGCGAGGGACAGCCGCGACGCCGTTGGAGGTGTGCGCCGACTTGGCTGAGGTTGCGCTGTGACGGGCTCATGGCCTCACTCTCGGTGGACTGAGGAAAGCCGATCTGGATGCTCTTTCGCTCCAACAGCACGGGTAGTAGTGCTGCACGGCTGTGAATGCAATCGTGCAGGAACAGGCTCCAGAAGGCGAACGTCTCCTCCTTGCCCTGCATCAGACCGCGCAGAGCCCTGGCGAGGCGGGAAGATCGCGCGGTGTCGGTCGACAGACGAGGTGCCCCTCCTGCAAAACCACTTTGAAGACGCAGCAGACGACATTCCGAGACTGCCGCCGCCAGGTCGGCCTGCGCAGAGGAGAATGCCAATTGAGCATGCGAGAGTTCCACCAGAAGCAAGCGGACGACAAACGTTGCAGGCAATACTAGGCCAGCTGCCTTTGCCTGAGCTTGGTTGAGCACTTTTCGTGCTCCGTCGGCGTAGATCTTGGTGACCGTGGCGACCCAAAGAGGACTTTTGAGGCCAACGAGATCCCATTGCGCGTGCGCCGCCAGCAAATCGTTGATGCTGCTCAAGAATGGAGTGGACCTGATGTTGGATGTCGACGCAGCCGCAAGCAGAGGCAGACCCGTGGCTACACACGCCAGCATCAGCGCCTGGGCTATGAGATTGTCGCTCTCTGCATCCGCTGTCGTCTCCATCAGCGCAGCGACGTCGCTCAGGGCGTAGCCATTGATCGCCGAAAACAACCACGACTCGTGCCGACAGACGTCGAGCAGCCGATCCAGCGCCTGCGTGTTTGGCAACGGCGGCACCTTACTTGAAGATCCGGACGCAGATGGCATGCGAGGCGAGCGCCCTCTTGAATCAGTGCCATGCGGAGTGGGACGTGCCGCCACGGGTTGCGGCACAGCTGCCCTCCAGCTCAGCACCGATGGCGCCACCGCTGATGAGCGCAACCTCTCCTGCGTTTCCAAGCTGCTGCTCTCGTACTGTCGTGAGGCTGAGCCGATCCTTTGGTCGCGAGCCGTCATTCTGGGCTGGAATGGGGGTATTGCAGCGTCAAAGCTGCCCCGCTTCCTCTCTGACTTGATGTCGTCGTCACCGAAAGACCTCGGACGTTTGGAGCTGAGCGAAGCGCCTCGTGGATCTCCAGCAAGGTCGTGGCTGGACAACCGTGATGCCACGTTGGAGCTGGGACCAGTTTGCTGCGGCTGGAAGCGCACCTTTGAGCTGCGACGGGCGGGTGTGGTTGTGGCGACAGGTTCAGCCAGGCGAAGCTGTGACTGAAGTTGCGAGAGCTGGACACGCAGCTGCTCGTTCTCCTCCAAGAGTTGCTCGTTCTGCGGTGCTGGGACGGCGTCAGGGCGATGAGAGGCTGATGGCTGTGACGTCGACGGCTGGGTGCTCTCGTCCGAGCTACCTCTCCTGAAGATCTTGGCTAGCAAAGAGGTGTCGTAGGCGCATGGCGGTGGTCTCTCGATCGACGTGCCGTCGTCGCCGGCAGAGGTGTGGTAGGCGAGCCAGGCCGTTTCGCAACGTGTGCAGGTCGGCTTCTTGGCATCGCAGCGAAGCTTCCTCTTACGACACGCAAGGCAAGCTTGCGATCGACGAAGCGTGTCGGACGACTTTGCTTTGCTGCTCTTGGAAGCGCCCTCGAGGTTGTCGTCGAGGTTGGAGGCTACGCCATGCTGATTTGGTGGTTCGGATGCATCGGATCGTCTCGAGTGTCGGCTGGTGTGACCAACAGGCGATGGCCAAGTAGGCTCGGTAGAATCATGCTGTCCGCTGCCAGGCAGACCTCTAGCTTCGAGAGCATTCTGGCCGGACATGACGAGGCACGGCTCGGTCAAGCTGAGCGAAACAACTAAACCCGCTGCACACTCAAGATCCTAGCTTCAGCTTCGGCGATGCGATGGCGATACAACCGCCATCGAGTCGTCTCTGAGGTGCAGCGGGCACACTTAACAAGCCAATCCTTGAAACGACCGGTCTAGTCGCGGAAGATACGATGGAGTGACAAGGATGATGAGGACTGTAGCAGAGGCAATACGCACCGGTCGGTTCCTGAAGTAGGCTGTAATAGTGCAGCAACTTCCGCTGCTGCCGAGGCTGATGCTGGCTGGAGAGGTGGACGAGCTTGAGTCGATACAGAGATTGCAGGATGCAAATCAGGTAGATGGGGAGAGAAGGAAGGAGCGCCTGGGTACAGTGGAAAGACAAAGTTCTAGTTTGTCGACACGGAGAGACGTATGACAGAGGCAAAAGAGACAGCGCTAACAGCTCGCTGTGGAAGCGGCGCCTGGTCGAAATGTCGACACAGGCCAGTCTCTGGGCCGACCACTGGAGACGACGGACAGGATATGGCCGTGATCTGCGCAGATCGGGTCACGATAGTTGAGAACGTGACGAGTGGAACGAGGTGAAAGGAGAAGCGTTGTGTTGTCGAAGTTCAGCATAGAATACAATGCAGTCGCAGCGGAGTTGGAGCCGCTTTGCGCTAAAACGCAGTCGGATCGGAAGCTGAGCTGCTTCTGCCGTGGTCTGGGCGTCGACTCCAAAAATTCCAATGACCTGAGGGCGTCGGTGCTGCGCAGGACAATAGAACCTGCAGAAGACAATGGAGGACGAATGCTAGCAGGGGGTCGGTAGCATCTACTGTGCAGCGGGATAGGAAGGAGGGAGCTTATTGTTTGTCAGCTGCTGTTGGGAGAAACGGACAAAGGAGACCAGTAGACAAGGCTGCGTCGAGGTCCATTCTAAGCAAGCAAACAATGCGGATCGACAGTGGAAGGAATGGCACTGCAGAGCGTGGGTGAGAAGGCCACTTCGGCGTGCCCTCGTCCGCAAGAGAGGACGGACGGGAGAGCAGCGAAGGGGCGTCGACAAGGGACGGGATGATGAGCTGAGCAACGTGAGGACAAAGGGCAGAGAAGGAGACACGAGCCCATTGCGTCCGACCATTCTTTTCCTGCCAGGTCGCGAGAACAATGAGAAGGATTCGCGTGGGACTCGTGTGATAGGAACGGGCGCGCGAGCGATTGAGCTACTTTGGAGCCCTCATTCTGCCTGCTGAAAGAAACGCTGAAAATGACCAAGCCCGCCACCGGACCGCCTCGTCTAGGTACAATCGGGGACCGAAGGAAGCTCAAGAGCCGCCATTTTTGACATGTGCGCGGAGTAGATCCGCAGAGTCACAATCTCGTTCCGTCGCAATTGCCATCATGCCTGTCTTCGTCCAGCGGAAATCGATTGTCGGTGAGATTTTGGCAGTATACTTCGCTTATGGGTAAAGCAGTCTAAACCCACCTTGCTTGCCTCGCCCGCATCAGCTAGCAGGCCGGTATCAACGTGTGATGTTGCCACTCTCACACCTCCAGAAGGGTGTCAGTTACTAGCGAACGCCAGCGTGGGGTTCTTCGGCGTTGAATGGAAGAGGGGATTCCTGAAGATCTTATGAGGCGACCAGGGCAGAAAGCAGACCATCGTCGTGATTCAACAGGTGTTCCGAGATTGGCCTCGTCTGAAGTAGGCCTCGCGAGACCAGATTCAGAAAGAGAGCAATGCAGAAGCCCGGCCGTGGCTAAACCCCATACTGGCACCGATCTTCACAGCAAGGAGCAGACCTGTCGCTACACGCCTTACCAGAGATTCCTTGCCGAGGGTCGGACTTCCTCGTAGACCGCTTCACGAAGAAGAGTCGCCAGACGCCACGAGTGTGCCGCCTCACGACCTCCCCATCTGATCTGTTTGGAGGGGCGTTGAAGCAGAGCAGGACCAGCGGATCGGGTTTGCCTCGCCTCGTCGACGAGCAAGCGACGCATGCGAACGTCGGCAGCCTCGATCTCAAGCTGTAGACTGGTAAGCTCTCGGACAGAGTTCCACGGAGGACCGAACGAGATAGCGAGATTTGCCTACGCAGAGACACTCCGGAGCCTGAATATACAAGCGACAGCGGGTCGACAACGCACTTACCTATCGAGGCCCCGACGAGCAAGCTGAGGATGAGTGAAGTGAGGAAGAGGCCCACACATTGAGCGCCCGAGTAGCTTGAGTGTTGCTGTGCGTGCTCATGGATATACACAGGAGAGCTAGCAAGCGATGAACGCCTGTAATGTGAGAAAAGAGATGTGAGTCAAGTCACTAGACTGAATCTTGCTCGGAGCATCGAAAAAAGTAGGGTACACGCGCTTGGCACATGCAGGTCTCGGATCGGGTTAGGTTACAGTAGTCGGGCAACCAAAATCGCTAAAGAAAGATAGGATGCGGGGTCCAAATCGTTGCCAATCCGGTCCTGCAGTTTCACCATTCTATGACCCTTTGAATCGAGGCAGGGCTTGGCAAAGCAGGGAAAACACGACAGATGGCGCTTGCCATTTTTCGCGCCAGAAGCGCCTAGTCCGAGTCCGTTGTCAGTTTCAACAGGTGTTGACGGTCGTTGGACAGGAAGCAGCGTTCGAGATTCAACGTGCGACGAATGAACTCGGACTGTGGTTGCCCCCTTGGCTTTCTGACCTCGGTAGTAGTCGTGAAAAGAATAGTCTTGTCGGCTTGTGCCTTGATCACAACTGGCTCACGAGACCGTGTCAGCTTTGAGGGCGTGAGCGTTGTGACCAAGCTTACAGTCCGGCCAGTCACGAGCGAGCACTAGGAAAGGCAGCCACCAACACCAAATCGTCTCGCACCCTCCTCATGGTCGGTGGAAGCTCAAGATGCCGATGTTGTCCCGGAGCGATTTCATAATGAGGACAGCGAAGCAATGGAAGTCAAGTGTGGTGGATTCACGGCCTGAGACTTGTGAGGCGTGCAGCGGGAATATCCCGGGTCGTGCTCGGCTGGGTTTGGCGAGAGATTGGTGGGCCACTCGGGAACAAATCAAGTCATGGACAGACCTGAACTATTTCGGTTTGACTGCAGTTGCCAGAGGCGGAAAGGAAGGTAGAAGCGGGCCAATACGAATCCAAAGCCGACGGAAATTGACTGTCCAAGCAGATCGAGAGCGACTTGTAGCACGTCTTTCTGCATGACTTGAATTGCTTCTCCGGAAGCCAGATCGCCGGTTGTCCGGCCTCATGTTTCGGGTACAGTGGAGCCAATCAGCTGGGATTCGTTCTCCTCCCAAAACCCTGCGCCCTTTCCTGCACACGGGAAACATTCTACAAGTGCCAAGCTCTCGACTCGGGCGTCAAGGCGTCGCGCTCGGTGTCAGCAGCTTGATTCCGTCGGAGCCTTCTTAGAATTGTCGACGAGGGGGGCTGCTTGACGAGGAGATTCACAGCCTCGAACTGTTGCCTTCAAAGATGTTGCGGGTACAGCCTACGTCACTGGCACAGGAGTGTCAGGAGAGAGGATTGGCACTCGCGAGGCTATAATGAAGCTGCATCGGCCCTGTCGATGTTTTGCTGTACTTCTGCACGATTACAGAGACTCGGACGATATCCATCCACTGTGTATTCCTGCGTCGTCGTCTGGGCTGAGAAGGCCTCCGCTGCGAAAGCACATGCTATCGAGCTGAGGGATCGAGGACACGGCTCGATAGTAGAAGTCCTCGGTGGTAAAGATCAGAGTCGCTATCGTCAGTGAAGTTGACCTGCTTTTGTGGTCGGGATCGGAATCAGCGGTGAAGGTCCCACATTGCATCCCCCGCTCGCAGGTGAATTTTATAATATCGAATTTGTTTCTCTCGTCGCCTCGACTCAAGCGTGCGTGTACCATAAGGGTACCGGCGTCATGAGCGAGTCGGGACCCGAGAATTCGGTTGCGCGTCGCCACAGAAACGCAGCCAATTTGATTAATCTTAATCACAAATCTGATAAAAGCCTCAGGGCATCTGCAGGCAGGCCGATCGCGTACCTATGCTTCAAGTCAAACGGTTTGCTCGATCCCGGACCGGACTCGCTTAGACCCATGCGAACGCAAAGGAAGCCAGCACATGACTAGGTTTGCGTACCGACTGCAGGCGAGATTTTAGTCTGTTCGCCGCTAGACGTTTGCGGACCTGGTCGTACACCTGTGAGGCGCAGGGTTCTCGAAGCGCAGATCCGAAAGACACCGGCTGTGCGCGCGCGTGGTCCAGGTATACCCTGACGAAACAGTCGGAGTCCGGCAAAGTCTGCCCTATGCTAGGGATCACTACCTATATCGGCATGCTTCCACCGCCGAGCCCACTTCGTGACCGGTCAACACATGCCGCTGCAGGTCTTGATATCGGTCAACACTGCAAGTGCTTGAACGAGATGGTGGAGCAGATACGAGATGGTGGAGCACAAGCTAGACTTGGCGGGGCTCATACAACAAGGGGCTGAGTCAAGGGCCAGGTATCCGACGGGCTAACTTAACGCATCACGCCATCGGTCGAGCGGGCGAACGAAGTACTGTATAAGCTTCCGGCCCTCACGGCACTCGAACGACATCTCGGCTCCAGTGCTCATCGTACCGACTCAGACATGAACGTCTTGCGTTTGTCTCATTGTTTGTGTAGTCAGCGGCATATTGCAACAACCGCAAGCGAGTCGCATTGTTTGCGTGCGAATTGCGAGCTTTGTTCGACGTGGCGTTCTCCTTGTTACCTCATTGTTCGACTGGGGCAAACGGGCGGAAGCGACGATGCTCGTCAGTGACAATGGCGCTCGCTCGTCAAGAACAACATGAGGTCGCGGCAATCGCGCGCAAAAAGAGTTTGCCGCCCAGTCTGCTTCTTCCGCCGGAGGTGGCCTTGGGGAGAGGCTAAGTCGGATCGGGATCGAGTCTCGGTTGCATGACAGATCACCGATCGAAGCAAGCACAACCCTCTCCTCATTCACTCGTTGACATACGACCTATGCACATCATTGTCTGCACGCTCATCATCTGCTCTTGTGCTGCACACTGTTCACACTGATGATCCCGGATAGATACGATTTCCTTCCTTCAAGTGTCCTTCTGACAGCGACTCTGATCAGAGCATCGTTGGTTCGTCCAGCCACTGTAGAGGCAAAGGAGAAAGTCAGCGGTTCCAAGTTCCACACTCTTATCACAGCTACAGTTTTATTACTACTTACGTCGAGGAATTCTGGGGTGAAGTAGCTCAAAATGATGGTGGCGCCGGCGCGGACCATGCTCTGGACGGACTCCTCTGCCATCCTTCTCAGCTCGTATACGCCTGCCTTGGCGCCAGCGTGGATCATGGCGAACTCGCCGCTGACCTGGTAGCACGCGAGCGGATGGTCTGGAGCGAGATCTCTTGCTTCAGCAACGATGTCGAGGTACGGCAGGGTAGGTTTGACCATGATGACGTCGGCGCCTTCGGAGGCGTCGCGGACGATGGCGCGTCTCGCGAGGCCGCGAGCTGTAGGGGGAAGCTGATAGCACCGACGATCGCCGAACGAGGGCGCCGAGTCAACCGCATCGCGGAATGGCCCGTAGAGGCTGCTCGCAAATTTGGCACTGTACGCCATCAGCGTCACCTTGTTGCCAAACCCAGCGTCAATCAGGCCCTTCTTGATGGCGCGAATTCGACCATCCATCATGTCACTCGGCGCAACGCAGTGGGCGCCAGCTTTGGCGTAGCTGACGGCAACTTCGGCGAGACGTTCGACAGAGGGCTGATTGTTGATTGTGCCATCTTCGTGCAGGATACCGCAGTGACCGTGGGAGGTGTACTCGCAAAGACAGACATCGGTCGCAATGTAGAGAGACGGAAAGGCTTTCCTGAGCACCTTGATCGCTTGAATCACGGGTCCGTTCGGGTCGTCGGCGAGCGTGCCTTGTGCGTCCTGTGCGAGGAAGGAAAGGCAAAGAAAGGGGCTGAACGGTAAGTCATCGCTGCTGAGCAGATGATTCGGGGTAGTGATGCATACCTTGGGCGTCTTGAGCGGCACACCGAACAGAATGACCGAAGAGAGACCCTTCTTGACCAAAGGACCAAGGAAGCCTTCGAGCTTGTTAACTCCCCATCGCTTCTGTCCCGGCATCGAGTCGAGCGACACCTCGGCGTCATCGTCGTCGGTGATGAAGATGGGGTACATGAACATGGACTTGGAGATGTTGCGTCCTTGGTTGGCCCATGCCCGGGTCACGGGATGCTGATAGCCGGAATGCAAGATGGAGCTGTTCAATGGTACAAGGCTGATCAGTAAGTGACTAAAGATGGCGGCATTGTTCACGCGGGTGCGCAGACCTACTTAAGATCGGAGTTCATCGTGTCGTGAAGCTGCTGTTCGAAGCAGAAGGGAACTGTCAATGGTGATGGTGTTGGACAGAAGCAAGCCAGGTTGATGTCGTCTGTGCGAAGTCTTTCCTTCTCAAAACGGGGCAAACACGCCCATTTTGCCTCCACCGCGGCCCAATTCGCCGTGCAAAAGGCCGGAGTAAAAGCGGCGTAACATGCCTCACCTTTTTCGACGATCAAGCTCGATTTCGCCTCAAGCTCTTCAGAGTCACAGTAAAGTGTAAGTGTCTGCGTTGACAAGAATGCAGTGTGGTGCGGATTGAAAGATGCCGGTACAAGTACAGATGCTGGTGATACAGAAGGGAGATGCGAAGGGAAGGCAAGGCCAAAGCTCGACTTGCTGAGCATGGGAAGGGGCGACTAATCGTAAGCTGGCTCGCCTCCGTCGTCATCGCCCATGTCGTCGTCCTCGCCGTTGTCAAAGTAGTTTTCGCCATAGTCATCGTCCACCTCGTCCTCGTAGTCGCCGAGGTCCTCGGGCTCGGACGAGGCTTCGCCAATGTCGTCTTCGGCACCGGCGCGGTCCTCGAGATCGATCGACTCCCAGTTGATCTTGCGACGAGCCGCTTTCTTCGCTTTCTGCTCCTCTCGCTTGGTCTCGCCCTCCATGAAGCTATCCCAGAGACCTCTAGGGAAGACCTCTTTCTGCAGATTGATGGATTTGAGCGAAGGCAGGTCCTGCGCTTCGGGACGGTATCGATCGGAGAAGCGAGTGAGCTCTCCTTGCTTTCGCTGTTCTAGCGTGGGCCAGTATGCGGAAGTCTTTTGCTCTTGCAGATACATGAGCTGGTAAGATGCGTATCGAAGCTCTTTGTCGTCTGGCCTCTCCATACGTGGCACTGTGGGCGGTTCAGGGTAGAGTTTGGAGGGCGTCTTGTCGAGACTGCCGAGTTCTTGGAAGCTGAGTCCCATGGGTGGCAAGTTGGAGCCTGCGCCAGCTCTACCACCGCCGCGGCCGAAGCCACCGCGTCCGCCTCTGGACATGGCAGGGCTTCAAAAGGATCGTGTGACTGATATATACCTGCTGCTCCGTCGGTACCGAGTCCAGGTTGGACGACCGAGGCTGATGGAGAAGAGCGACCGTGATCGTTTGTCGGTGGAGCGTCCGGGGTGACAGTCGCTGCGATACCGCCCTGCTGGTTGCGGTCGCCAGCTGATGGTCGAGTCGATGGAGCAAGCAAAGTTGGAGGTTTCAGTCGAAAGACCAAAAAAGTCTGAAGCGTGCGTCAAATCCAAAATTTGTATCGGGGCTAGATCTGATCGTCGATCCACGGCCCTTTCAACTCCGAGCGAGGCTCAGTTTGGCTCTCACGCCGCTCTCTCAAGGCGGTTAGCGCTTGAAATTATCAAAAAGCGAGTCTATGAGGCGTGATCCATGCACCAGGACCCTGCAGCAAGCTAAGCACGCTTGCTCCCCACTCTCTCTCTCCTCTTTCTCCTTCACACATATCACTCTGCCCTCCTTCTGTTCATTCACACACAATCGGCCCATCCAAGGCGACTCAGCTTCTTTGCTGCGCCCATCCACTCGGACCTCGACAGAGACTCACCATCGTCTTCACTCTTCAGGGTCTCCTCTCGCCTCATCATCCTCCGGTGAGGCCCGCCCGTATCCGTATCCGCATTCGCACAGCTCTGCCTCTTCTCGACAGCGACTTCGTACCTGCTCACGATCCTGACCTTTCGCTCCATCGCCCCACTCACATCCCGGATCTCATTTCCACTTCGACCGCGCAGGAGCAGCAGACAGCCTCAGACAGGTGTCGCTGATCTTCTGACTGCATCGCACCATCCGCGTCGACATGCCACATCGACCAACAGATTCCCAGTTCTAAGCAACCTAAGCTTCTCCCCGGACCACTCGACGTCAGGTGACATCGGAAACCCGCAGAATTACATACGCCACAACCATGTCGGCCTCGCCACCAGGCTCGCCGTCTGGATTCGTATCTAGCTCAGCCGCCGACGAGAGGATACGCGCATCCGAAAAGCCAACAGTCGACCTAGACCCTTTCGCGCCCGACGAAAACGAGCTTGATCCACCACTATCCGCCATTCAGACCGCCGATCTCGAAACACCGCCTTTTCCTACAGCTCCTCGACTGGATGCTTGGTCGCCTCGCAACTACTCGACTATCTCCTCTCTGGCCGGCTCGCGAGAGCTCGGTAGGCCCGCCCTGGATCCCACAACCAATGCCGACATTGCAAGTCCGTCCATCTCGGTCCTTCTCCACAATGCAGCATCAGCGAGCTCTCGACATCCGGCAATGTCGACCTCTGCTTCTGATTTGGATGCGATGCAGTCGAGCATTGCCGACGTCGCTTTCCATGCAGAACCACAGGGCCTGATGCAGATGCTCAGCCTCGTCGGAAGCACATTCCTCGAGGCTGACAGAGAAGGCTATACCGAAGACGATGCAGAGGATGCGAACATTGCAGACCAGCCACACAATGAAGCCTTGTTGAACGAGCACGAGGATCGACGCGAGACGAGAGCACCGGCAGACGAACTTTCAGCGCAACAGCTTGACCTTCGGCGGCAGAGCTTTGATCGCACAGCCAAGGGACGTTTGCAGGCTTTGACGCGAGACGGAACGTCCGACGATGTCTCCACGCCGCAAGGCAGCAACTCGCCTTTGGATGGCTCGGTGGCCACCATCGGCCCTGGTCCTAGTCGGCAGAAGCGCATCTCGCTCACCCAGAGCGACATCATCCCATCGTCGCGGGATTCGACCTTGAGCCGAGGTGTCAAGAAACCATCCAACCTCCGATCTCAGCTCCACACCGCAACGTCTGCGTCCGTCGCTTCCTCCGCTTCCGGTATCGATAACAACGACGATGCTCAGGATAATGGCAAACATCAGAGTGGCACGAACCCCTTTGACCAAGATCCAACAGACGCACATAGCACATCCCTGCAGGATCAGCACAATCTCTCGGAAGCAGAGCAGAGAACCGATCACGGCTCAATTCAGCACTTGATACGACCGTATCTTGATCCGCGGCCCCCAACAGAGCCTGAGTTTGACAACGTCGAACTGGACCACGACCGCCTCCTAAGGCAGCTCAAGGATATCTTCCAGCTGGATGCGGCCGAGACGCTTCTGCTCGCCCAGCCTTGTTGGCTCTTCAGATCACTGCTACTCCAAGGTCACTTATATCTGACGAGCAGCCACGTATGCTTCTATGCATACCTTCCTTCGCGCGATGAAAAGACGATCAGGACCGGCATGTTGGGCAAGCGCACTCGCAGAACACATCGTTTCAGCAAACACTGGGCATCGCTCAAAGGCGGCAAGCTCAGCTGGTTCGGCAATGACAGGGATCCCTACTTCCCGCAAGGACACATCGACCTGCGCAAGGTCTCTGCGATCGAGCCTTCCGACAATCACACGGACCATTTCAAGGTGACCACACCAGCGCGCAAATTCACGTTCCTGACCGAGGACGAAGCAAGTAGGGACGCCTGGATCGCATCTCTACAAAAGGAAACCTTCCGCGCGCAGAACCAAGGCGAAAGCGTGCGCATCAGCATCCCGCTCGAGACTATCATGAATGTCGAAACCACCTTGTCCGTCGACAGCACAGAGATGGTCTGCATCACTGTCGTCGACGAGGCTGGCGACTTTTCGATCGACGAATACTACTTCCTGCATCTCACGAAGCCGAGCGCCTTTGTCTCGGGCCTCAACGCGCTTCTAGACCAAGCCGGAAAAGGCTCGGTCTCGTCCTTGCAGGCTGGCGAGGCAGGTCTCAGCTTCTCCAAGTTGAGCATCCGCGACTCGACTGGAGCCGCCCATGCCTTGACGGCTTCTCGCAAGTCGCTGGAAGAGGTGCCGACACTACCTAGGGTACGTGTTGCCCAGCTCGCAGAGGCAGCAGATCCCGAGGCCTACCAGAATAAAACCTCCCGCATCGACGCTACAGGTGCTCCGGATTCCAGTCCGAGGCAGAGTAAAGCCATCTCGGGCGAATCTGCCCCAACGGCTGCCATGGCTGTACCAATGGGCAAGCGACGTGAATCGCAAGATGGCTCCAACGACGCGATCCTATCTTCAACGCCGCGCGCTGCGCTCCTGAATCGCCTTTCCATGGAATCATCCCACACATATCCGCCTTCGCCGTCGGTGTCCGATCCACCGTCGATGTTCGGCCAGGTTCAGAAGGAAGCCGACAGAGGATGGGCGATTCCTGACTGGCTGAAGCAAGCGCCCGCCATGGTATTGGGACGCGCCTCCGAGAGCAGCTCGACAGATACCCGAGCAGAGGCGACCACCAGCGGGACGGGCACCAGAAGGCACCGCAAAGTGCTTGAGAAGTGGTCGGACGAGAAGAGCGCCGACGATGTCAGCCGAGGCGAATCGAGCAACACCGACACGGAGGACGATCAGCTGTCGCAGTCGATCTATTCAACGCAGTCCGCTTACTCGATGCTTGACACAGAGGAGGAAGCGATGGAAGCAAGCAGCCATACCAACATTGCTGCAGAGTTCCGAGACACCTTCGGCATCGGAGAGGACGAGGGCCTCATTGGCCACACACATGCCTACCTCTATCGAGTCTTGCCCGTAGCTGGCAGATTCTTTGTCGCCGAGCATCACCTTGCGTTCCGCTTTTCGGGCATTGCGGCAAAGACGGTGGGGCGAACGCTCATGCTGGTGCCTCTGCAAGATGTCATCTCTGCGGCCAAGCATGTTGCCTTTCGACCTGGTCACCACGGCATGGTCATCAACATTAGCGGCCACGAAGAGCTCTTCATCGAGATCTCGTCGGCCCATCGGCGCGACGAGCTACTGTCATTGATCGAGTACCAGCTCGAGCTGGGAAAGGGAGGACGAGGAAGTCGAGCCTCCCGTGAGGCAGCAACTCGCGAGCGATCCAACGCGCTCGTGCTTCGCGACCTCAGCGAAAGAATCAACGACGGTCTGGCAACGGATTCAATGACTTCGTCGGCCGATTCCTCGTCGCTTTCGCAAACGGGATCGAAGATGGGCAGCAAATCGGGCAACCTATCTCAAATTGGCGAAGGTTCCAGCATTCTGTCCTTCGCTCCAACCACGCCACTCACGTTCACCATGCTGACCATCGGATCGAGAGGCGATGTCCAGCCTTACATTGCGCTTGCCAAAGGACTGCAAGCCGACGGGCACCGTGTCAGGATCGCGACGCACGCCGAGTTTGGTGACTGGATCCTTGGCCATGGCATCGAGTTCAGCGAAATTGGTGGAGACCCCGCCGAGCTGATGCGGATCTGCGTCGAAAACGGCACCTTCACCGTCTCTTTCCTCCGCGAAGGTGTCACCCGATTCCGCGACTGGCTCGACGACCTCCTCGCATCCGCCTGGCGCGCTTGTCAAGGATCCGACGTGATCATCGAATGTCCCAGCGCCATCGCAGGTATTCATGTCGCCGAAGCGCTGCAAGTGCCCTACTTCCGGGCTTTCACCATGCCCTGGACGCGCACCCGCGCGTATCCGCATGCTTTCGCCGTACCTAACAAGAAGGCGGGCGGCAACTACAACTACATGTCCTACGTCATCTTTGATCAGATGTTCTGGCGCGCCTCTTCATTCCAAATTAATCGGTGGCGCAAGAACCTACTCGGTCTCAAGCCAACCAACTTTGACAAGCTCGAGCAGCACAAGGTGCCGTTCATCTACAACTTCAGCCCCAGTCTGGTGCCACGACCCCTCGACTGGTTCGAATGGATTCACGTGACAGGGTTCTGGTTCCTCGACAACCCGGACAACTCGTCGAGCAAGAAGTGGGAGCCGCCTGCGGACCTGGTTGCGTTCATCCGGCGGGCGAGGGAGCGCAAGCGCAAGCTGGTATACATCGGCTGGGGCTCAATCGTTGTGCCAGACGCTGAAGCTATGACGCGATGCGTGCTGCAGGCGGTCCAGAAAAGCGGCGTCTGCGCGATCCTCTCCAAAGGCTGGTCCGACCGGCTCTCTGCCAAAGGCTCGACAGCTGTCGACGCTGCCGCGGCGGAAGACGTGTTCCAAGTGACATCGGTGCCGCACGACTGGCTGTTCCCGCAGATCGATGCGGCGTGCCATCACGGCGGAGCCGGCACACTCGGCGCCAGTCTCCGCGCCGGATTGCCAACAGTGGTGAAGCCGTATTTCGGAGACCAGTTCTTTTGGGGCCAGCAGATTGAGAGTCTTGGTGTGGGCAGTTGCGTGCGCCAGCTGACAGCGGACGGGCTAGCGGCGGCGCTGGTGATGGCCACGACAAACACCAAGCAGATCGAGCGGGCGAGGAAGCTGGGCGAGCAGATCAGGAGCGAGGATGGAGTGGCGAATGCGGTCAAGGCGATCTACAGGGATCTCGACTACGCGAGGAGCCGGGTGAAGAGGGATACGCGGATCGAGGGAGTACGGTCAGCGACACAGGCGAAACAGGGTAGCGCTGCGAGCACGGTCGGGAGTGGGCCGACACAGCAAGAGTCGGAGGAAGACGAGGAGGAGGATGCGGGAAACATCTCGGATGAGTGGTCGGACATTGGCGGTTCCGGACGGCTCGATCCCGGCGCTTCCACTTTCCTCAGCTGAGAAGTCCCTCAAAAAGTCCCCTCCAAGCCATGTTCTCTTAGACCACGTCGATACGGAACACCTTACAGAGGCATCACACACACGATTCCACATCTCTTCAAACCGTACGTAGAGTAACAAATTATGATTCATTTCTGAACCCCACCAGCCCACTAACGAGTGCGAATGATGCCCGCCGCAATAAGCTTGTTCACCTTCTCCCTGATGATGGGGCTCTTCATATGCTCCTGCAGTGCCGCCGGGTTGCCCTGAGCCTGCTGGAGAATGCTCTGCATGACGGGATCCTGCATGATCTGAGCGACCTCTGGATCGCGCATCGCCCTCTTGAGCGTCTCCTCCTCGCTCTCGCCGCTCCTCTGCGAATACAACTCGTTCATGCACTTGCTCAACAAGCCCTGGATCTCCCTTGCGTTCTTGGCGCCTCCTTCCTGCTCGGAGTCGACGGTCTCGGCTTTCTGGCAAGCCTCCATGGCCTTGGTGAACTCCTTCATGCTGAACAGCACGTTGGCTTTTCGGATGTAACCCTTGACGAATTTGGGATCGACCTTGATGGCCTCTTCTGCGTCCTTGAGAGCTTCAGGGAGCGCAGCGAGCTTTGTATATGCCGAAGCGCGGTTGGTGTAACCCCTAGGATCGGACGGATCGCGCTTGATCGCTTCCCCAAACGCAGCCACTGCACCAGGAAAATCGCCCGCCTTGTACAGCTCGTTACCCCTCGCACGCTCCGCTTCGGCCTTGGCAGGGTCGATGTACGCCTGCCTCGTTCGCTCCTTCTGCAACTTCTCCGCATCGCGAAGCTTGGCCAGCACATCCGGCGTCCGATGCTCCGTCAACGACTTTTCGTAGTTCGCAATCGCCAGATCCAACTTGTCCTGCTTGGCATACGCAGTACCGATTCGACCATAGGCCTTGGCGACCAGCTTGAAATCCGCCCGCATGGATCGACCTTCTTCGACGGCTTGCTCGCACGCCTTGATCGCTTCGTCGTACTTGCCCTGCTCGAAATAGCAGGCGCCGAGGTTGTTGAGGTACGTGATGTCTTTGTGCGTGTCCCAGGCGGCTTGGTAGTGCGGGATGGCGGAGGCGAAGTCGCGCTTCATGTAGAGGGCGTTTCCTTTGGCCTTTTCGGCGTCGGCGGCGGCTTTGGCTTTCGCCTCTTCGTCCTCCTCCTCTGGCTCGGCAGGGATGGGAGCGGAGGGCTTGGCGTCCTTCATCTCGACATCGGACGCAGAGGAAGAGGCGGCGGGTTTGGAAGACGACGAACCGGTCTGCTTCTCGATGTCTTCACGACGGTTCTCGAGATCGGCCGGCAGCTCATCGGATCCCTCGGGTCGCTCGAACGCCTGCAAGTCGATGCCCATGAGCACACCCATGACCTGGATCATGCGCGGGTCGGAGAACGCCATCTGTGCCTCCTGCGAGTTGGCCTGGATCGACTTGAGCTTGGCCATGAAGCTCGGGTCGGAGAGCAGCTTGGCGGTCTTGGGGTTGGCGCTGAGCTTGGGGATCAGCTGAGGATCGTTGAACATCTGACCCAGCGAGGCTTCCGGACCGGGCCCGTTGGCGGCCTCGTTCTCGACGGCGCGCTGAACGTCAGCGAGACCCTTCTTCAGACCCGCATCCTCGGGCGCCATCTGCAGACCGGCGTGGTACGCATCGACGGCATCCTCGAGCTTGCGTGCGCCGTGCAGCGCAGCGCCCTTACGACCGTAGCCCTTGGCGAAGGAGGGGTTGGCCTTGATGCACGCCTCGGCGTCTTCGAGCGCGTGGTCCCAGTCACGCAGTCCAGCGAAACAGGCGGAGCGGTTCGAGTAGAGAACGTGAACATTGTCTTCCGGCGAGGCAGCAGCAGCGATGGCATCGTTGTAGGCCTGGATGGCGGTCTGGTAGTCCTTGGACGCAAAGGCGGCGTTGCCTTTGGCTTTGAGTTCTGCGACCGACATTGTCAGTTGTGGCAGAGAAAAGATTATATGGTGGGTGGTGGTGGTGTATTGAGCGGTAAGGAGAGTTGGTCTCAAGACGTTCCTTTTGAGCTGAGCGTCGAAATGAAGAAGCGCCCGGTGCGCAGTTCTTCCTTCTGCGCAGAGCCTCACTCAACGCTCGACCTTCTTCTCCGCCTTCCACCAAATTCGAGTCTTTTCTCCACACGCGAACGATTTTTCAAAGATGTCTGTGAGAGAATGCTAACATCTTGAGGCCTTTTTCGAGCCTCACACGACAGCTCACCCCCCGGCTCTCTCAGACGGCATGCTATGGTGAAGGCGATGTGCGATCGTTGCATATGCGTCTACGCTTATTTGTTGGCTTTCTGCTTGTCGAGACGAGCTTGCTTGATGCGCTGTAGTCGTTGCTTCAAGGCGCTGACCCTCTGATCCGCCTCGTCTTGCTGCCGTTGCTCCTCTTCCAGACGTGAGAGGATCTCTTCCCTCTCCTCTTGCTCCTTGCGTGCCCTCTCTTGTGCTTGCACCTCCTCGATAGTCAATTCTTCAGCATCATTGCCAACAGTGCCGTCATTCCGCCCGGCGTCGTCATTCGATATCAACTGCGCCTCAGCCTCGAGAGCAGCTCCCGCAGAGTTGGTTTCTGCCGCTGGTCCTTGACCAGGCTCTGCTGACTCCAATTGCGCCTTGAAGAGCTCCCATTCTGGATCAACAGACGGAGCAATATCGTTCTCTTGATCTGTATCGACGCGTGCCTTCTTGCTACCTGACGCTGCATCTGCATTTCGATCATCGGCGTTTGTTGTGGATGCGGCCAAAGCCTCGCGGTGGTCGTCTTGCGCGGGTGCGTCTTGTGCCTTGCGCTTGCCGTCCTTGGTACGCTGCAGCTCGGCTTGGCTTAACTCTTCTTCTCTGATCCGAGCGACGTTGCTGCGATGACTTTTGCTCAGCACGTGGGCACCCCAAAGGCTCTCGTGTTTGATGGTGAGATACTTGCAGGCGGAGCATCGAAGGCCTCCTGTCGAGGAATAGGAGGCAAAGGGGTCCGAGATGCCGGTTGCACTTGCCTTCGCTCGCTCGTTGGCGGCGGCTCGAAGTAGCGACCTTGCGTCCGTCGGCATCGTCCGTTTAAATTCTGGTTCGAGGAGGGTCGATGAAGGAGTGAGGAGAGGATGGTCAAGGAAGGAGAGCGGCTCGGATGCTGGACCCTTGAAGACCTCACGCGATCTCCTGATTCGGACTGGCCAATTTCGATTTCGCTTTTGGAAGAAGCCAAAGCGCGGAACTTGGCCTTTCCATCCTCAAGGCTACCACATCCAAAACACCGCCTTGACGTCTCGTACCTTGTCTGACGTCGTCACCACATCTTCCGAGCTTGTGTCAGTCGCAGAGAAGTTAAACGGTCCAGAGTGAGGACGTAAAAGCTCCATCATCATGTCGGACGCAGCAGACGCGCAACAGGCGCCAGTCAAGCAGGAGGTGAACGCCGACCAAACCCCTGAGTTGGCCACGGCTGATGCCAGCACCTCCTTGGACGCAGACGCTGACGGCGAAGCGGATGCAGAGGGTGACGACGAAGACGCCAACACTTCTGCGCAGGTCAAGACCGAGGCGGAAGATGTTGCGCAAAGCGAAGCGCAGACCACCGAACCTGCACCACAGCCTGTCAAGGCAGAAGCCACCGACGCATCAGCACCCAAGTCGGCGCCAGCACCACAGCAAGAACCACAGAGTCAGGTACAGCCTCCGCAAGTTGAAGCTACCAGCTCACACCAGCCTCTGCAGCTCCACAAGAACATGACGGTCGAGGAGAGGAAGCAGGTCTTCGAAGACCGCATCCGGCTTGAGCCACGCGACGGCGAAGCCTGGCTCAACCTCATAGAAGAAGCGCAGTCACGAGAGGACATGGAAGCGACAAGAGCACTGTACGAGCGCTTCTTCAACATCTTCCCGAATCAAGCCCGCCAGTGGCTCGCCTATCTCGAATTAGAGCTCGCCCACGGCAACTTTGCACAAGTCGAGGCCATCTTCACTCGCTGCTTGCGCACAACCCCATCCGTCGACCTGTGGAAGTTCTACCTCTCATACACACGCCGCGTCAACCCACTGCCACCATCCACGGGCGCAGAAGAGGACCCACAGCGCGAGCAAGCGCGGAGGGTGCTTGAGGGCGCATACGAATTTGCACTCCGATTCATCGGCAACGACAAGGATGCCGGTTCCATCTGGACCGATTACATCTCGCTCATCAAGGAGAGGGAAGCCAGAGGCGGCTGGAAAGAAGGGCAAAAGATGGACGATCTTCGTCGCGTATATCAGCGTGCGGTCAGCGTGCCCCTCTCCAACATTGAGGCCATCTGGAAGGACTACGATGCGTATGAGAACGGCCTCAACAAGCTCACCGCCAAGAAGTTCCTCGCTGAGCGCTCGCCTGCGTACATGACAGCGCGTCGTGTGCTCAGGGACCTCAAAGCGTACACCGACCCACTCGTCAAGCCTCTGCTGCCGCGTCCACCTGTCTGGACCGCCTCGACGCTTCCAGGTGACGCCGGCGAAGATTCTGCACAGTGGGCGCGCGAGCGTCAGCAAGTCGAAGCGTGGACAGAGTACCTCAAGTGGGAAGAGTCCAACCCCTTGCTCCTCGAGGATCAAACCACGCTGCAGGCCCGAGTGACCAGCGCGTACCGAAAAGCGACCATGTTCTTGCGCTTCTATCCCGAAGTGTGGTACCTTGCGTCACGATACCTCCTTTCGACCTCTCGCGGGGATGAGGCCGCGACGTGGCTCAAGAACGGAATGGAAGCATGCACCGGTAGTTTCCTTCTCCACTTCGCCTATGTCGAGCTGGGCGAAGCGCGGAAGCCGACCAGCGACTGCGCGGCTGTCTTTGATGGTCTGCTCAACCACATTCACGCTCAGATCGATGCACGACAGGCTAAACTGCAGCAAGACCTCAAGAACGTCGACACGGAAGCCGAGATGGCAAAAGCACAAGCTGCTTCGCGACGCACCAACGAAGGAGATGGCGATGTGGACGTCGATGGCGAGGAGCGTGAACGGGAACGCAAAGCGGGCGAGCAGGTGCAAGCGCGAAAGCAGGCCCTGCAGGCAGCGGCAAGTCCGGAGATCGAAGGCTTGAAGGAAGCTAGCGCGCTCGTGTGGATCAAGTTCATGCACTTTCTTCGACGCACCGAGGGCATCCGAGCTGCTCGTGGTGTCTTTAGTCGCGCGAGGAAGAGTCCGCACTGCACGTGGCAAATCTTCGAGGCCAGCGCGCTGATGGAGTATCACTGCTCCAAAGACGCCGTTGTCGCGACCAAAGTATTCGAGTTGGCGCTCAAGACTTTCGGCTCTGACGAAGCCTTTGTCGTCCGCTACCTCGACTTCCTCATCTCGATGAACGACGACAGCAACGCACGCGCGCTGTTCGAACGCGTCATCGGCACCTTCTCCCCTGAACGAGCTCGTCCGATCTGGGACCGATGGTCCAAGTACGAGTACAACTTTGGCGACAGCGTTGCGATCCAGAAGCTCGAAGCGCGCTTGGCTGAGTCGTATCCGGACGAGCCGGCGACGAAACGGTTCGTGGCACGCAACTCGTACATGGACCTAGACCTTGTTGGTCCGCGCGACCTTGGTTTGCAAGCCGCAATCCCGGGTGCCAGCGCCGCCGACCGCGCGGTGGAAGCGGCCAAAGAGGGTGGCGCTGCCGACGAGGGCCCACGACGCAGAACGATGCAGGAGATGAAGCGGCTCGCAGCCGAGAGTCTGTCGGATGAAACGTCGGCCCGTCCAGGAGCTTTCGCCGCCGGTCCACCCGTCAAGAAGTTCAAGCGCGACTCTGCTTCCCCTGCACCAAGCGGGTTTGGTCAGACCGCACCGCAGGCAGGACCAAGAGACGCGTGGAACGAGCTGCCAGAAAGCGTGCTCGTGTTCATGGAGATGCTCCCCAGCGCCCAGCTGTTCGACGGACCCGTATTCAAGGCTGAGGACATCATTGATTGTATTAGGAGCGCCAATGTGCCGTATGGAAACGGGGTGACGCGGTCGGCTGGCCGAGGACGATTCGTGCGCTGATCGAAGTGTATCATTAGCACATTGCTCAATTCCATAGCATGATAAAGTGAACAAGACTGTCCGTGTCTACAACGTGTCATGGTTGAGAGAGAGGTATCGATGCTTTGTCAAGCACTTTACGCAGTGCTGCGTCTGACAGTGACCAAGGCGGTCTAGTGTCCATCGAGTCTATCAAGAAACGTCGTAGATTGGTCCAGGGATTGCCATGCGACAACAGGCCCTCGTCCATCGACAGCGACACGATCTTCTCCTGTCTCTCCGCCAATCCCTTTTCTGTCCAAGACACCTTGAAGTGCTGTACTGGCGCGAGTGACTCCATCTTCTGCCGTATGCTCTCTACCTTCCCCTTGCGTTTGGCATCTCCTTCCTGCTCTAGTCTGACGAGTTGTCGTTCGAGCTTGCGGTAGGCTTTGAGCCTCTCGAAGTCGATCGTGAGCTCACCATATCTGAGGTGCGTCAACGACGAAGTGGCGAGAGCAACGGCGACGAATGTGAACATTCCGCCCAGAGCTATGAGAATGGGCGCTCGTGGTGTTTCGTGTGGCAATCGATCGGGTGTAGCTCTCGTCCATCGTGAAGCGCCAAGTGCGAACCCAACCATCCAACGAAATGCGGGTCCTCCGACCCAGCTATACTTTCGAGACCACCAAGCAGCCCTGAGCTCCGCATCGCTCTTCGAGAAGGCGTGTATCCTCGCAAGCGTTCGCCCTGCAGTCGGTAGGATCGGTGCTAAGACGAACAGCAGCAGCGGCGGTACGGAGAGCAAGAACCCGATGAAGGGTCGCAGCGTCGCCGGCGCGGTAACGTCGTTGTCGAACCAGGCACAGTGATGGTCAAAGCCAACGCGACACTTGCCGCAGTCTCCGCAGTGTCGTGTTCGAAACGCCTTGACTCTGCCACTGCACTTGTCTCGCCAGCAGCGTATTGGCTCGCCGTCGGGTTGGCAGAGTTCTAACCGAACATTCGTGGCCTGAGACCGCGCGGTCAAGCTGCGAATGGCTTCGGCGATACGCTTCTCGTCTTGTCTCTGCTCCTCGTCTGGGTCTGTGAACGATGCTCCGAGTCGCGCACGCAGCCACGGCATCGACCCGCCGCGTTTCCTCGCCTCGCTGGCAGCCGACCCATCTTGAGCAAAGAAGACTCGGAGATACGTCTTCAAAGACCACAAGAACAGCCCGTGTGCCGGCAGCAGCCACAGTATCGGCGTCCACGTCCGACGCTGCTGAATGTGCAGATATTGATAGGCGTATCGAAGCACTACGAGGTCGTAGGTGCAAGCGGCGTAGACGAGCAGGATGACGGGGACGATCCGGCCCAGCACCCGATTGAGTCGGATGCCCCGCCGGGGGTGAGTGATGGTAGCGGTGTCTTTCTCACGCCTCGACGTCGGCTGTTGCGAAGTTTCCGATGGTGGCCGATCCGACGTCTGCGCTGATCGCTGGCGCAGCGACATCGCTTCGAGCTTGGTAGTCATGGAGCGGCACGAAGTGACCTCGAGCAGCAAGGTGACAGCCGAGGCAGAGCGGCGGTCAGGGTCCAACTTCGCAAAGTGAGCCGATTCAGGTCCTTTGACCCGATCCAACGAGTGTTGGAGTGGCAGCCAAGACGCGAGCGCGTCGCGAAAAGTGGTCGAAAGAGCAGCAGCAGTTGCGCAGCTTAAATTTCGGTGAAGCGCGCGTGAGTGAAGGAAAGAACACTCAGCTCGCTCGCATGGCCTTTGGGTGGGATCAAGCTGCGCCTCGTCTGCAGAGAGAACTCAGCGCGAAAGAAAGGGTTCGAGCGCGCAACTCCCTTTCTGTTGCTTTGGAAGCTCGACCCTCGTCTTTCTGACGGCGCTCAACCATCTCAATCATTACTGTCACGCTCTCTCCATCCCCATCCCCGCCGCAAACGCTAGGCAACTCTCGGCAACGTCACAGACTGCGCAACGGTTCATCTCCTTCCAGCGTGGCCATCGCGACAGGACCGTCTCTCCTTTTCATCGCGCCCCATACTCTACCTTCGGAGCTAAGACCAGTCCATCAACTCACATACGCATACAGTCGCTACCATGGCGCGCACCACAACCAGGAATGGCTCTTCAGCAGCGGGAAGCCGTGCCACCGCCCAGCCTCAGTCGGCAGATGCATCCAGAGACTTCGACGATTCCGATGGCTCTCTTACCGAGCTCTCCTCAGAGGGCGAGGATAGCGACCAGCAGGAGTCGGAATCAGACGAAGACATGAACGAGGACGACGATGACAACGACGGTGACTTTGGCTCAAGCCGCAAGAAGAAAGCACCGCGCCGTTCCAGTGGGGCCGCCTCCAAGGCAAGATCGGCTAACACCACTCCACGCCCCAGAAAGACAGCAGGCGCGAGCAGAAACGGCGCCAAGAAGACGCCACGCTCTACCTCAAAGAAGTCCGGCCCATCTCGACCCAGAGCCGGTACTGCTGCGGCGACGCCTTCTGCAGCACGATCGCGAACAGCCGCCAGCCGAGACGAGCTTCCCATCAACGAGGACAATGACATTTTCAATGCCGTCAAAGATCCCAACTCGGCTCTGCAGTCCAACGCCGAGGACTGGGTGGTGGCCTTCTCGGATCACCAAGGTCGCGCTCTCGCTGAGCTCGTCAATTTCGTCATCCGTGCCTGCGGCTGCAATGGCAGCGTCGACGAGAATCAGGTCATCGACATTGACAACGTCGTCGACAACCTCGAGGAGCTGCAAGAGGTCTTCAAGAAGCAGCCCATCCCTTCCTACCCCATCGTCTCCAGAAGCAAGACCTTCAAGTCGTTCCGCAAGTCGCTCAACGAGTTCCTTCACCGACTGATCATGAGCGCATACGAGGCCGAAGTCTTGACCTCCGACGGGTTCATGGAGCCCTACCAGGCCTGGGTCTCCGCCATGTCCTCGTCCTCGCTGCGATCATTCCGTCACACCGCCACTATCGTCGCGCTCTGGACCATATCGGCGCTCAACGAGGTCAATGCTCAGGCCACCAAGGACCTCTCCACCGCAACCAAGCAGCGAGACGCCGAGAAGAAAAAGGCACGCACCGACAAAAGCCGACTCAAGGATCTGGAGACCAAAGTGCTCGAATCGCGAAAGCTTAAGAAGCAGCTCGACGAATACATCAACGAGTTCATCAACTCGGTGTTTGTCCATCGTTTCCGCGACTTTGACGCGGGCATCCGATCCGAGTGCGTCGAAGCCCTTGGCTCGTGGATGAAGAAATACCCGACCCAGTACCTGCAGAGCTCCTACTTCCGCTACATCGGCTGGGTTCTTTCGGATGTCGACGCCAATGTGCGCATGGCCGCCGTCCAGGCTATGACCGGTCTCTACACCCGCGACAACTTTGTCAGCTCCATCCGTACCTTCACGGAGCTCTTCAAGGGTCGTCTCGTGCAGATGGCTACGGGCGATGTAGAGCTTGGCGTCCGCATCGCCACCATCAATGTCCTCGTCATGATCGACAAACACGACCTGCTGGAGGACGAGCAGCGTGACCTGCTGGCCACACACATCTTCGACGTCGAACCGCGCATCCGCAACGCCGTCGCCAGCTTCCTCGCCAACATTTTGGACGAGATGGTCAGCGAAGGCGCCAGCGAGCTAGGCTCTCTGTCGGCGGCCTCGAAGAAGAAGGGCAAGCAGGCAGAGGAGCAGCAGCATGAGCAGGCCAAGCTTCGTTTCAAGTGTCTCGCCGAGCTGCTTGTCAAGTACGGCCAACGTCTCGATGCTCAAGACGTTGCTGCAACTACGAGCAATGTTTCGGACGAGCTCGCTGTGGTCATCGACGGCGCCAAAGAAGGCCGAGTCGGGATGGCGGTCGAGGCGCTCTGGGACGCGGTCGACGACTTGCAGCACTGGAAACCCCTTATCGACTTGCTCTTGCTTGATCACTCTGGCAAAGACGCTGCCGGACGCAACAAGAGTGCTGCAGCTGCGGAGAATGCCGCTCCCGCCGTCTACCGTCTCGATACCGATGAGGAAGCCATCTTGGTGGAAGCGTTGGTCGCCATCCTGCGCAAGACATACGCAGGTGCCGAGCTCAATGAGGACCCCGAGGACACCACAAAGGAGGATGTCACGCGTGCCATGATCGCGGCACTGCCCAAGCTCCTCGCCAAGTACCGCACCGATGCACCCCGCATCGCCGACCTCTTGCTTCTCCCGCACGTAATGGATCTCGAGATGTACACCGAGCTGCAAGAGACGACTGCGTTCGAGGCGCTCTGGGACGACGTCTCTACTCAGATTCAGCGCCACGTCGAACCGCTCGTGCTCAAGCATGGCGTCCAGACTCTGCAGAAGCTGGTGGCGACAACGTCTCAGTCTTCCATCAACAAGACAAAGCTTTCAGCGCTTGAGGAGGGTCTCGTGTCGTCCCTCCGAGAGACCGTCAGCGATCGCGATGTCGAGACGGCCGGTTTCAGCGAAGACGAGGTCCATCTCCTCGCAGCTAACATGCTCCGTCTGCACCTCGTCAGCCAGGTGACCAACACCAGCGATGCTCTCGAGGACGACGAGAATGGACAGGCGACGAGCGGCTGGGAGATTGTGCTCGGCATCGCTGGACGGGGACGGCTGGCATACCACGAGGAGGAGAGCTTGGTGCGCGACGCCATTGCCGTGCTGACTCTGCACGTCATGTGGAAGACGCGACAGGTGATCTTGCCTGAAGCTGGCTCGCAGACGGCCTTGGCTGAGGCTCTGCTCGGCAAGCGCAACACGCTGCTCAGCCTGCTGGAAGAATTTGTTGCCAGCACGCACTCGCAAGCGTGTGTCGGCGTTCAGCGCGTTGCCTTTGAAAAGCTTGCCACCATCCACATGCTCTTCGCCGCCATCCCGCAGCAAGCACCCGCGACCGGCGACGATTCTTCCGTGCCTGACGCAGATGTTTCTCAGCTGCGCTCTGGACCTCAGCTGCCAGCTCTGCTGACGCTGAACTGCGAGGCCGACGTGCAGCAGTCGTGCGCCACCTTCGTGCAAGCCGAGATCGAGCGCTACATCGAGAAATCGGGTGTGCTCGAGAAGGAGTCGAAATCCGCGGCCGGCGACGAGTCGGACGAGGAAGAGAACGACGGTGCCGAGGATGACGACAACGAAGACGAGGACGAAGAAGACGATGCCGAGGCTACACCCAAGGCATCGCGCGTTCGTGGCGGCAAGAGCAAGAAGTCGAAGAAATCCTCATCCAAGTCCGCCGCCCAGAACGCCACAGAGGAGCGTCCGAACGAAGCGCAGCTGCAAGCCGAGCACACGTTCTGCTCGATCATCAGCACCTTCGTCTCGGCCATCCGGGTCGGCATCATCGACGCCAAGTACTCCACTGTGGTTCTCACGCACTTTGGCCGGCTGGGCGCGATCTACGACTCGTGCTGCAAAGCGCTCATCGAGGTTCTCAAAGAAGAAGCCATCTTTGGGGGCTACAACCGAGCCGTCATCGTCGAATCGGTCATCTGGGACTCCCTTCGTGAGGCGTTCGAGCACTACCTCGACACGGGCGACTCCACTGTCGAGGCCCGGTTCATCTCGCTCTCTCGTCAACTGGCCAACGCGCTCGTCGTCCGGGGTGCGGGTTTCACTGCGTTGCGCAAGATTGACGCCCGCTGCCTGATCAGCCTTCACAGTCGGGCGAGCGAGCACATTGCTCAAAAAGTAGCAGCCGCCGAGCGAAACGGTGTGAAAAAGGTCAAAGCGCAGATGCCAGCGTTGTACAAGGGGATGGCGAATCTGCTGCTCACCGCCAACCCCACGGACGCGGTCAAGATCAAGAGTGCGATGGATCGGGCGTACCGCGCTGCACAGGTGCAGATCCCGCCTACGAGCAAGGCATGGGATGCACACCGATCGTACGAGAAGCGATTGTTGAAGATCGCCAGTAAGAGCGAGCTGTTCTCGAACGCCTTGACGCCGAAACGCCGAAGGGGGAAGGAGATGGATAGTGGAGGAGAGCTGAGTGAGGATGATGATGGATTGCCTGCCAGGGGAGAGAGGGTGCTGCCTACCCCCACGCGGACCTCCCAGAAGCGCCCAGCGGAGGAGGAGGAGGAGGAGGAAGAGGAGGAAGATGTGAGTATCCGTGCGCCACCTAGTGAAGAGGCCGAGGAGATGGACGTCGAAATGCCTCCCTCCGACGCATCGCTGGAGGACGAGGAGGAGACTGCGCCCGTCGCATCGGTCAAGCGAAGGAAGGTCTAGGTTTCTACCCCGAGATGTATCAGAACTCGGCAAGCAAGTGTTCAAACATTGTTTCAGCGGGACGGGCGTGATTGTGCAGAGCGATCCGACGGGACTGAGAGTAAGGTTCGTGTTCGAAAGTGGGGACGGAGATGAGCGGCCGAGTTGGATGGGGCGAGGACCAATGAGGTGTTGATGAATCTGCCAGTAACCCTTCAGGCGAGGAAGAATTCGTTGATGAGTTAGGCTCGGCAAGGCCACGAAGGTGCGCTGTTATGATACACGTTGCGGATCTTCTCTGTGCGCTTCCGTGATATGCGTAGCGACCAGTGGAAGGGGCAAAGTGTGCATTCCACCAGCGCCACTCTCGCTCGGTCTGGAAGAGTGGCCGAAAGTAGCATGCACCAGTGACTCAGCTTCACCCGACGGAACGTGTTGTCGCGAGCATGAGAGCAGCAAACTTTCTTGGCGTTTTGCCACCACGGACGTAGGCGGCGATGCACCCGGACCTGCACTACGGTCTTCTGGCTGCCCGCCTGCATTGGGGCTTCTCATTGGGTCCAGACGAGGGCGTCTGGAGTAAGAAAAGTTCTGTCATGCAGACGTCGAGTTCGAACTTTCCCACCCCGCCGCAAGCTAGCCTCGATTGACGGCGAGGTTGATCTCACTGTGCAGATCTTTTTTTGTCGACTTTGAGTCCTTGCCTCGGCGGATTCACCGCTTCTCGTTGGAAAAAGCCGCTTGAGCCCATACCAGAGGCGTGATGGACTTGCAGAGTGTACTCGAGTGACGGAATCCCAGGTGGATAGCCGTGGTGGGAGGTGAATTCGGTTGACAGTCGTGCGAAAGGCATCCGGGCGAGAAGGTACGGTGACGTGAGCCGCGCGTGTGCAACAGGGTCCACCGGTCGGAGAAACGCGGCTTACCGTCCGGAAAATGGAATTTTCTCTGCGGCCTTGAGACCCGTTTGCGTCACCTCGCGCGGCTTGGCCCTTGAGCAGACGAGGCGCTGGAGAGACACGCGGGACCGAAGATGGCCGAAAGTCGCCGCAGCCTGACACCGCGTTGAAAACCAAGTTAGAAGCAGATATGGGCGAGGACGTGGAAGTGCATTGCCGACGCCGAACGAGGGTCGGGGCGAATAGTTGGGGTTGTCGTCATCTTGCTGGATCGTCGAAGGCAAGAAGCAGAATAAGACTCGCACCGGAGCAAGCTCGTGACCGTCGTCGAGTCTTTCCGTTGGACCGCCTGGTCGCGTACGGTGAGGCTCTCACGTCCAAAATGTGATGGCGCACCACCACGAGAAAGGGCTGCTCGCACGGTAGAAAAGCGCGGACAAGGGGCTGAAGCAACCCGTAATACCGCAGCCGAGGTCTTGGGTCGTGCCGAGGGAGGCCGGAGAAGCACACCCGCACGGTCGCATCTGCACCGCTTGCGCGTGCAAGAGGCCGCAGCGTCGCGGCTCTCAATCCGTTTTGACTGAAGCGAGGTTGAGAAACTTCTGTAAGGCTCACCTCGCTTGGCGTAAGAGAGGGGGGAATTAAGACTTGCAAAGTTGAAAGACTCTGCTCTATAGCTCTCGGTTCTGGCAAGCCGAGTTGAGCTCTAAAGCAACGACGCCATGATACTCTATCCGAGCTGTTTCGAGGGGAAGGTATGCGAGAAAGACGTGTGTGCGCGCGGAAAGCGGTTCCCGCTCGGATAACAAGAGAAGCTGTCTATCGAGGGTCTATCGCCGCGGTCCCACCGGCGTTGTTGCTGGTGAAACAGACGCCGAGCCAGTTGCACAACGAACAAAAGAAGGGTGAGCATGACGGCAGGCTCCCACGCTTCTTGCTGTATCGTTACGCAGTCCTCTTCTTTTCCGACACGCACACACGCGCGCACGCTATCCCGTTCATGGTTGATGGCTCCCATGCTGTCGCCTGTGCATGCTCCCGTGCCCGTCTTAATTGTTCAACCGACGCTCTCTTTCTCTTATCACAATTTAGAATTTGCTTGCAAGTAGTGAGCCGGTGTGGGCGTCCGTGCTCGTTGAGTCCAATTGAAAATTCATATTTTGGCCCGCAAACTTCAACCTTGACTGGTCAAGTGCTGCTTTGGCCCCTCGTAATTTCCATTTGCCACCTGACAGATTTGACACTGTTCCAGGACCCTGAAGACCCTTTGCTGTACCAGGGCGGGCGCATTTTCGCCACACGGTCAGCTGTTCCGCCCCGGCTTTCTAGGCAGAACAGCAGTGGCCCGTGAGAAATCCCTTTTCCTGGCAAGTCGTCGCGCTAGGCGGCTCAAGTGCCGCGAACCGCAGCCGTGCCCTTTATTCTTCTCCTCTCTTCGTCTGCAGCAGCAGCAAACACAGCAGAAGCTCGGTCTCTGAGCCGCTTCACTCGCAACTGATATTATCAAACTCGCTCTGAACTTCCCTTTCCCTCCTCACCACCAACATCCCCTCTTGATTGACGTCCATTCACGTTTCACATCATCACCATCTCTCACTTGCAGTGTCGACCATTCTCGACCACTCTGCATCACTGCGCCTCATCTCGACATCCACTACTCGCTCGCTATCATCTCACTCGACATTGATATCCAATCTGCACCAGACTTGCTTTCGTAGAATCACGTCATTGCACCAAGCTCGCGACGCTTCATCTCCCACATAATCGACACTCTTCTTTCAATAGTGTCAGAGACTCTCTCTCTCGCTCTCCTCGCGATCCTGTCGCACTAAATCACCTTCGGATCAGCTGCCTCCATTCAGGCCAATATTTTCTCATCTGGCTCCTCTCGCCTTCTTCGAGTCTCTCTTGCACTATTCTGCACTCACAGCCCTCGTCTCGGTCTCTCTTTGACATTCGACGAACCCACTACTTAGCAGCACGCCAAATGTCCAACATCACCCCTGCCATGTCCAACTGGGTCGACGTCAACTCCTTCGACGCTGACACCGAAAAGATGATGAACTCTTTCTTCGCCGACGCCTCCGCTGCCAACATGTCCAACATCAGCAACAACGACTCTGGCGACCTCGGTTCTGGAGCTTTTGCCTCCGCCTGGCCTGGCCCCGTCGCTCGTACCAACAGCGACAGTGCTCCCATCTTTGGCATCTCGCCTTCGCTGCCTCTCGGCGTTTCGCCTGGTCTGGCTAGCCAGTACCAGATGGACTCCTCCAAGTCCAGTAACAACGCCTGGTCGCTCCCTTCCGACTTTACCGCTACGCTTCCATCTGGACCTCCGAGTCTCAACGGCATGTACTCCATGCTGTCGGACAGCATGCCTCCCAGTCTCTCCAACGCTAGCACCTTCACGCCCTCGGATGCGCAGAGCCTCCAGAGCGACATGATGCACCCGCTCGGCACCATTCCTTCCAATAACATTCCCGTCGACGACATGATGAACTTCAACGAGATTGCCAAGGACGCTTCCGGTTCCACACCCCAGCTCAGCCCTTCTAGCTTTGCGTCGCCGCCCTCGCCTTTTGTCGCCAACAGCTCGTTGACTGGCTACCACAGCAACATCGCTTCGGACCACGCGGCCCACCTTGCCGATCTTGTCAAGTCGAGCAACATCATCAATGCTGGTCATCCCGGTCCACGCTCGCTCGCCTCTAGCCTTAGTCGATCGGTCCTCAACGCTGACTCGATCGGTCGCCCTGATGCCTTGGTCAACCACGCCTCTTCTCACAACGAGCGTCTCACCATCCAGCAGCGACGTCGCATGAGCCACATGGTCAAGTCCAACAGCAATGCTGGTCCCGCCGAAGCTCAGGTCGAGCAAGCACGCTCGCCCGTCAAAGGGCGTCGCCGTCAGAACTCGGCCCCGGATCCCGTCTTGCCCCACATTGGTTCGTCTCCCGAGATGCCCTGGACGCCCCCTCCCAAGCAGCGTCGACCCCACCGCGACTTTGCCAGCTTCGCACAGCCGGATGCATCAACCTCGCATGTCGCTGCCGTGCCCACGTCCGAGGACGATGTTGACTCTTGGATGGATGCCGTCGTGGCCAACTCGCACGACCTCGTGTTTGTGCTTTCGCTCAAGGGCACCGTGTTGTACATGTCGCCATCCGTTCAGCGTATCCTCGGGTTCCACCCGGAAGAGATCGTCGGCCGTCCTCTAGTCGACTTTAGCCATCCCGCCGATATTGGCCCCTTCTCGCGCGAGCTCAAGGAGGCCATCACGTTGCCCTCCGCCGACGGCGAGGGTCCCGACGCTCACAATGCTACGGCTGTCAAGGCGCACCGTCGAGTCGACCTCATCATGCGCATGGCGTGCAAGAACGGCACCTTCAGCCTCATCGAGACCACGGGTCGTGTATCGGTCGACCCACCCAAGCACCGCAAGGTGGTCGTCTGCTCTGGTCGACCTCACCCCGTGCCCATGCTGCCCTGGAACGATGTCCGCCAGGATCTGCTCAACGTCGAGCTGTCTGCCTGGCTCAAGATCTCGCACAACGGCATCTTCCTCGGCGCCACTGGACCCATCCAGCAGATCCTCGGCATCGAGAACATCAACCTGCTTGGTCGTCATGTGCGCGACTTGCCCATGGTGACGAGCTCGTCCGACCTGCTGGACGCGCTCCGTAGTGGTCGCTGCATCTCTGTGCAGGACCACTACGAGGACCCCACCTCGCAGCACAAGGCGCCTGTCAAGCTGACCGTCTACCCCTGGACGTCGAACGGCCGATCCAACTCGGTCTCGTTTGTCCATGTGCAGCAACAGCCAGCTGAAGCCGCCGCCGCCCCCACCGCCGCCACAAGCGTCTCGATGCAGCAGCAAGACTCGGTGTCGTCGTCATCCGCACCTTCGCCTCGAGTGCCTGCCAAGCGTAAGGCCTCGGACCGCGAGGCGCAGTCGGCGCAGCAGTACCAGGACCACCAACCGCAGACCAGCAGCGGCTCGCTCAGTGGTTCGGCGTTCCAGGCTAACGGCACCTCGGTGCCCGTCATGACGGCCGGCGATGCGGCCAACACGGTCTTCTCCGAGCTGACCGGCTTCCACAGCGGCTCGTGGCTCATCGAGATGCAGAAGCTGCACAATGCCAACCGCAAGCTGCGCCACGAGCTCAGCGCGCTCAGGAAGAGGTCCAGCCACAGCTCCTCCCCTATCGCCGCCGCCGCCTGCTCTTAAAATTTTTTGCTCCTCATACCCGATGGACGACTCTTTTCATGTCTTTGTTTCCCGCCAGGTCAGGCGGCTGTACACTATCCTCGCTTTCGTTTCTGTATTCTAGGTTACTCTGGTCGCGAACGTGCGCAATCTTTTCTCGCTCTTGTCTGTTTGCTCATTGTGCGCAGTTATACAGAATGAGTGTTTCTGAGCACTTTGTGTTGCTGATCGATCCTTGTCGGCATCAGAGGCCGTCATCCCAGACGCCTCTCTCACTGCGCCCCTCTGCCTCCTGTGCGCGGAGCACGCTCAATCTCGACCGATAATCATCGTGATTCACATACGCCCCGCACAACCTGCGATTGCCGACAAACGCACTTCGGCCATGCAGCACGCGGTGGTTGTCAAAGATCATCGCAGTCCCCGGTTTGAGTTGGACCCAATACTCGCCTTCGGGGTTGGTGAGGATCTCGTGCCATTTGCGCAAAGCGTCGTAGAACGGTTCCACCTCGTCGTCAGAGACGCGGAGGACGGAGCGATCGTCATTGTTGTACCTCACCATGGTGAGTTCTCCCGTTGTGGGGTCGTGATCCAGGATGGGGTAGCCGGAGTCTAGGAGGGGACGGATCATGGTGTGTGGATCGCCGGCCGAGTGCGTACGGATGCGAACGGTGGACAGAGTTTGATAGGCAGAGGGATGGACGTCTTTGAGCACGGCAGCGGCGAGGAAGCCGTCGATGAGGAGGGATGAGCCGCCACTGGGTCCCTTTGTGGCGGAAGAGGAGGCCGTTTTGGAGGCGGTATGGCTGAGCAGGTGGAAGAGCTGCAGACCAGCAGGGTCGGTGAAGTAGGTCGTATCTGTGTGGGCTTGCAGTGCGAGGTCTGTGTAGGCTGTATCCCCGTGCGCTAGGTCGGAAGTGAAGTCCCAAAACCCGCCGTAGTGGGTTTCTCGGATGAAGGCGATCCTCCTCACCAACGCCTCTGTGTCCGTGGGAGTCGGTGGGACGCCAGAGACAAACGCAAAGCCGTACTGAGCGACCTTGGTGAGCCACCGCAAGACTCCTTCGTCGCTGCCCATCACGTCGTCATATTTGACCGTCGGTGGAGAGGAGCCGATGCCTTTGCCCCACAACACCTTGTCCAGCGTCTTACCCGTCTCCTCGGCAGGACTGAGGACGGGCGCGTACGAGTTGCGCATCAGCCAGCGCCATGGGTAAACACTTGCGTGAAACTCCCCCTCCCCCACCCCCTCACCTCGCTCCGATGGGAGCAGCGGCCAGTGTACCAGTAGCCCTTCGGTCGTGGACTCCGTATGCAACGGTTCGGACTCGGGATTGACCTCAAAGGTGTTTAGCAGGCGTTGCTTTGTGGTTGGGTGGTAGCATGAGGGGCAACGACAGTGATCGCGCAGCCAGAGGGTATGGAACTTGGACGTGATGCCCGAAGCCCAGGTGATGTAAACCGAACGGGACTTTGTGTCCGTGGACACGCCGGGGAGAGTTGGGCCACCATCCGTGTACGAGGTCGAGCCGGTGCTGGTGGAAGAGGTCGGGGTCGCAGCTTCGGCGGATGGTGGGGTGGTGGCTTGGACGCTTAGCCGCGAGCGCGTGTGGAAGGTGCGAGGACGGGCCCCGAATGAGACGGGCTGAGGGAGACAATGTGATGTGACGGCGAGGGATCGAAGCTGTGTCGGACGAGCCGCACCGGCGCGAGGGGCCAGCCTCGGGAGCTGCCGAAACATGGTGCGTGCGTGGGTAATTGCTGACGGTCTCTAGGATTGTAGCGGGTTCCGCGAATCGTCTTTTGGTGATACTATGAGAGTCTAGGGTGATGCAGCTGTAAAAAACGAATGTGCAGATGATGGTGTTGAGATGACAAGCGCTGGTCCAAATTGAGGGTTCTGATCTCCGCCTTCTCGGCAAAGCCGCGTGCATCGAAATGGGACGCTTTCATGGAGAAATCACAGCTGCCGGCGCTCAGAGCGCTCAGACACTCCACTTCTGCTTTTACGGAATCACATTGAGGTCTCACGCAGTTCTCCGTCCATGGTCCATCCCCTCCTCGAGCTCGGGTCATAATTAGCAACATCACAGGCAGCGAAGGTGACGAGTGACAGCGTGATCTCATTGCTCGAGCTGTTGCAAGTTGGCTAGCAAGACTTTTTTCTGTTCTGCACTTGCCAGGAGTCGAAGTCAGTGCGAGATTCCCCAACGAAGCTGGGTCTTCTGTAGATCGACTTACTTTGAACGTCCTCCAATGCGGTCTTTGCATCGAGATTGGGGAACATGGCCGTCTGACCATGGGAATGTGCTATCAAGGGCGTCTCGAGCGGTGTCGAGATGGCATTGTAGACTTGCTGTTCGGCGCAACAGTCAATTACGCATTAGTCAAGTGGCAGCTGCGAGAAAGAGCGTTCGACTGTAAGACCTACCGCATTGGGCTTCAGGGATCTCAGCTCAAACTCGAGCACGTTGAGCGTCTGAAGCTGCTTCTGCAACTCATCTCGCTGGCTGCTGATGTCGGTCATGTCGGTGATGTGGCAGAATTGGGAGTGTGGTGGGGCTGTGCAAAGGTGGGAGCGATTTTCTGGCTCTGAGAACGCGTTGCTCTGCAGGAAGCGGCAGTTCCTTCGACGAGAGGTTCCACGCCTGACACCTCGGTGATGGAGAGGGCTCCTTGAAGGGCATCAATGTTCTCTCGGACTTGATGGATGCCAGTCGTCTCCGTCGGCTGCATTCGATGGCTTCAAAAGTGGCTAGACGGGACAAGCGCTTCATTCGATCGTGAGGGTGACAAGGCAAAGCAACAAGGGTATATAGGGAGGGTATGGTCTTGCGCGCCGGCAAGATGATTGAGTCCATCGACGAGGGTCCATGTTTCGTCGAGGAGAGAGCACTGAAGGCCACGATGCCATGTTGACCTCTTCCGGTCAGTATGTGGTGGTCGTTCGAGCCGATGCAATGTCCTTGAACTGTCACATGATGACGCACTTCTTGCGATCTTTCGACTTGCTTCCGAAGCTACTCCCGCTTCCGGACACCTGCTCCTCCTTTCCGCTGCCAAACCCAAAGCCATGCGATAATGACCCTTGCCGTTTCCCTCTCCCATTTGCTGATCCGCCATTGATCGCCTCGAACGCCCTGATCTGCCGCACCACATCTGCAAAGATCTCGTCCACATTCACCCTCTTTCTAGCACTCGCTTCATAATAGGGCACATTGCCCCAAGCCTTGCTCAGGCTCGTCCCAACCTCCCTCGGCACCTGCCGATCCGCCTTGAGATCCGACTTATTGCCCACCAACACGAGTGGTATCGTGGTCGTGTCCTTGATCCGTACGATTGCCTCTCGAAGCGGACCGAGCTCGTTGACACTGGCTAAGGAGGTGAGCGAAAAGGCGAGAATGAAGCCTTGTCCCGACTTGATGTAGAGTTCTTTGAGCGCGAGAAATTGTTCTGTGCCGGCAGTGTCGAGGATCTCGACCATGCATTGTTGCGCGTCGATCACAAGGAGCTTGCGATAGGTGTCTTCTATGGTGGGGTCGTAGGTGCTGACAAATACATTGCGCACGAACTGGACGGTGAGGGCGGATTTGCCGACGCCACCGCCTAGTAGAGCATCGAGCAGGAATGAGAGATAAAGGGTCAGCGTCGACTTGAGATGCTTCGTGTGGACGATCATCAGCAACTTACCTCCCATAATGACAACGCGCACCTCCTTCATCTTGATTGCAGAGCTGTCTGGGCCGATCGATGCTCTTGAGTTGTGCGTCGTCCAAACGGATCCGTTCGAAAGCTGGCGGGTGCGGCTCCTCCTATCCAGCTACGAGTCTGAGCGAATGAGTGCGGGATGGTCCGTGAAGCTGCCGTGCTGGTTGCTGACGGATCAGCTCATAACCGGCCGCCGTCCTTATACGCGGGCGAGTGGCGGACCACGATCGATGAGGAGGGAAGAGATGCTTGCACCGTGCGCGAGAGTCACCCGGCTGGCAGTTCTGATCGAAGGTCAGCGTCTTTTCGCGAATTGACTGAACAGCAGTGATGCCAGCCTTGCTGCGATGCCTTAGCGTGATGGTGGTCGAGAAAGAAGCGCCGTCGGCCATGTGCGTGCGACCACCTTAGGTCTGCCAAGCAAGCACACCGGTCACTTGAGGACAAAGCAAACGTGAAGGCGAACAAAGAAGCTTTTTGGCTCCCACGCCTGTTCGGCTAAGCCAGCAAGCGAGCCGCGGAATCGAAAAAAGGTCGGAAGGGTCGGCGGCGGCGTGCGACGTGCGGCGTGCGTGTTTGCCTGCGTGTGACGCTGTCAAGAAAATATTCAGGAACAGCGACGCCTTGGTGAAACAGATTGAAAGAAGAGGGCGGCAATGCTGCAGCTCTGTTCATGCTCGACTTGATCGCCTGTTCCAAGGTGCTATCTTTGTACGAGCTGATCTGACAATGCTGACAGCGCAGACTGCTGCTTGGCGCCCCGGTTGCGAGCTCAGGCCAACGAGGATCCACGATGAAAGGGAAAGCACGGTCGGTACCGTATTCACGCCTAAATTCCGTCGCGGCATCGGTCCGAACGTGCAGCGGTGGCCGTCGGGTCCTCGGCGAGCGGCCTATGCCGAGATGAAGACAGGTGGGAGCCTACAACAGCGCCACGCACGGATAGGCTTTAGAGCGTTGAAGCGTTGACAGGGCGGGAGAGGGTCGGCTTTTGAATATACCGAAGCAGCAGCTTGAGAGGCCCTTGTGCCTGCAGCCAGTGTCGATTTGCAACGCCTTGTCCGGACGCCTCGTTTCGTCGAAGGAGACAGTGGCTATCGTGGATTACGCAAAGCCGAAAGCATCAGATGTCCCGAGTAAGGGGCGCTAAGCTGATCGCTCTGAGTGATACTTCCAGCAGGCCAGCGCTGAGGTTGGACTCATCGGGCTCCACTCTGAGTCACCCGATCCAGCCACTTCCTGACGCGATTGCATGCCTTTAATCCTTTCACGCCGAGACAACGAGACGGCGCGGATCCGACATTTGACAATGAGCAAAGCAAACATGCTTAGCATTGTCCCTGCTTCAAGCTGCTTCTCGCCTGATGGTCATGCTGCAGATGCTGTCACTGCTCGCTTCATCCTTGCATTTTCAGTGCCGGAATTCATCGAGAATTCTTTCCATTTTGTTTTTCTCTCGAAACAGAACCCTGAAAAGGAAGAGGATCGGCTAGGCAGGGTAAACGAGTTTTTAGGCTCTTTTTTTTGCAGGCCCTGCTCCGTGAGAGGCCAAAAGGGAAAAAATATGCCATGTCTCAGGGAGCTGCGGGTGAAAGGGTGTTGTGCGTGTGTGTGTGGTGCCACGCGCCGGCTGGCAGGTGTGCCGTGCAACCGCCGCTCGGAAATGGCGCCTCGCTTTCCAAGATGGTGGTGACTTGAGACCTCCATCCATCCACTCACTTCAACCGAAGCTTCCTTACCCTCCGCTACCACCACGATCTGACCGCTTCGTTCAGAGCGGTTGTCAACGTCATTGGTGTACCCTAGACGACACCCAAACACGCGACCGACGTGAGCGTCTCGGGCAAAGTCAGCTGCACCTTTTTCGAGCCGACTCTTCGGAAACACCGACCTGCCGCCTCCGTTCACATCGTACCACCCTCTTTCGTCGGATCAGATGCGATATTTCGATACGTACCTACGTCATCTGTGATCCTTAGACCGACATCTGCCCTGTCACGTCGCCCAAGATGATGAACTCTTTCAAGAAGCGGCTGCAGAAGAAGGCGGCGGCCACTGCACAGCCCAGATCCCCAAAGTCGCCTCCGACAGACTACTCATCCTTCACATCCAAGTCCGACCTGCCCCCTCGTGCTGGCATCTTCATCGCCTCGGCGCCGTCCCTTCCTCGGTCGTCGCTCAAGGCTCAGCAAAAGGCAGCAGCGGCTTCGACCTCATCACCAAAAGCAAAAGGAAAAGGCAAAGCGAAAGCGGGGCCATCATCACCACCCTTGCCGTCGTCTCCTCCGCAGCAGAAGAAGCAGAGCTTGGATCACGTATTGCCCTCCTCCACCGACTTTCGACAGTCGCTCATCATGCCTCACCTCTCCCGCAGATTCACCCTCCTTCGCGCTCCCGATGGCTCCCTCGTTTCTCCGGACGCCATGCGCGCTCATCTACGCGCCCAGCGTGCACGTGCAAGGGCGACCAATCTTGCACAAGGCCCATCGAGCCAGGTTCACTTTCTCACTGAGGACGAGGAGAACGAAATCATTGAGCAACTCAAAGCACAAGCACGCCAAGAGGGTCGGGATTTCGATAACGAGCGCCGCGCTGCAACCAATGGCGACGGCGTCGACTCGTGGCGCAGCGGCTACAACACCGGCACCGACGGCTTTGGTCTGTGGGGCACCTCGTCAAGCAACAACGCCAACAAGCTCTCCACGCTCGCCGAATCGCTAGGTGAATTCTCCGCCATCCCCGACTACCCAGCCGGTGCAGCTGATGCCTCGTCGCCCATGTCCAAAACCGGCAACAGCTCCTTCACTGGTAGGAGCGCAGAGCGCGACCACGCCTACATTCGCAGTGTCCAGCGAGAGCGCAATCACTCCAAGTCAGATGAGCCGCTGAATTCGCTCACTTCAGAGTCCGATTCACCTTCGTCTCGAAACACCACCCTGGCAACTTCTGCCGACGACTCACGCCACCACTCGCACGCTACTACCGAGTCGGCTGCGACGGACGTCCAGGACAACAGACTGGGCGACGGACCAAGCTCAAAGGGCTTGCTGAATGTGCCTGGCCTCGACCCGTCTTCGCGCCCGCGTACCTCGCAAGACTCGAACCTGCTTACAACGCTCTCTCCTGAAGCATTCAAACGCGTCAGCACTGCTCTCGACGAAGTCTTCGGCCTCATCGCCTTGGAACGAGGACCCTCATTCAGTGTCCCCGCCAGATCAACAGCACCTTCCCACCACGCTCCACAGAGATCCTCGATGGAAAGCGATGTCATCTCCTTCACCTCAGCTCTGTCCCACGTGCGGGCGCTTGATTCCCGACAACCCAGCTCCGGAACCGTCAGCTCCTCGGACGTCAGCTCGGGAACAGTCCGCACAAGGACTGCCAGCTCCGGGCACGTCAGCTCCAGCACTGTCAGCTCAAATCAGCACGATACCGCGTCTCGCTACCACGATGACGATGACACGGCAGACCACACGGTGACTACGCAGCCCACTCTTGACGCGGTTCACATCGAACAAGGTCATCTTGCTCTGCATTCTCCGCTCCCAGGTCCCATCCCGGGCGCGCTGCCGGACGATTTCTCTAACTTCACCCTGAACGAGGCACACGCGGGCACGGAAGCCCGGTCCCTCGCCCCCTCGAACAGCTTCCAGACCGTCACGGACTCTAGTCTCGACACAACTCCTCGAATCGGCTCGTCGCTTCAGTTGCAGCCTGACGACAATCAACATCGCTCCGTCTCGGGCCAGTCGTTCGCGGGTTCCATGCTTGCCCTGCCTTCGGACCGGACGTCAACGGTCACAGCACGAGACGCGCAGCCCCAGGCATCGCGCGTTGTCTCCACGGCGTCCACTATCAACGGTCCTCAATCAGACCGCCAGGAGGCAGATGCTGTCGCTCCGGCAGCCGCGATCGCACAAGCACCGGAGCGGCCGCCTGTTGGCGCCATGCTTCCCCCTCCTATGCCCACGGGCCGTCAGAGTCAGGTTGCGCATCCCGATCGAACACCAGAGATGACATCCAGCGCCTTCTTTGCGAGTCCAGCCCAATCGTCCTTGTCACGAGACGGTTCCGTCGTCAGCGGCGGCAATTCGGTCAGATCCAGTTTGACAGGTTCATCTGCACTCTATCAGGGCTCACACAGTCGCAAACCGTCAGCTGACAGGCTGGCCTTTGGCAGAGCCATGGCACCTCAACCTCCCCTGCGCGATCAGCCTTCGCTTTCCAGCGTACGACGCAACTACCGACATCACAATCGGTCCAACACCGGCTCGTCCGAGGGGAGCATGTTCGCAGGCCTTGCTTCGCGCAGGTCATCGGGTGCCATGAGTCCCCCACCTTTGCTGAGCCGCACCGCTCGATCTCCCAACTACTTTCCGCCGCCTTCGTCCGTTGCGTTCATGCACGACTACGCGTCAGGATTCAAGCCGCCCTCCGCCATCTCACCTGCTGCTACGGCTGCATTGCAATCCATGGCGGGTCAAGCCAGTGCCAACGCACAACCGACACCGAGCTCCGTCCTGGATGCCTCGAATGCGCTGCGAAGCGCTCAGAACGTGCGCAACTCGACCTCGACCGTCCCGAGCATCGCTTCGCCTCACGTGCCGAGTCTAGCTGCATTTGCATCAGGCAGTGATCGTGCGGCGGCAACCAGCTCTCCGGAGACTGGCACCACCAGTACCAGCCTTCACCAGCGCAATGCTTCTCTCAACAGCACAAAGCGGCAATCTCAAACGCACTCGGCCCGCGTTTCGACCGCCAGAGACAGCTTGCTGCCGACGTTGTCGGCTCCTCCGAGACCTGCACCAGTACCCGAGCTGCAAGTATCGACTAACGGGAGCGGATCGATGCAGGCTTCCTCCGCGGACCCCGAGCAAGCTGAGGGATGGCGAGCCATGTATGGGAGTAAAGGAGTCGACACTGCTAGCATCAACGCCTCCGGCGAAGACGTCTTGGTCGACTCAAATGACGACGAAGATCTGTGGGCAAAGATGGCCTCGGCATCGGATCCGCAGAAGGCTGAGCGCCCAGTGTCCAACTTCCCACCCGGCATCGCTGAGGAACGTCTAGCGGGAACTGGCATCACTTTTGACCAGATGGCCAACTTCCAGGATCGCCTCATTCAAACAGCCACCAACGGAGCAGAGGCGGTCCCTCCTCTGCCTGTGCCGCGCATCCAAGCTGACAGCGTTGTTCTTGACCATCAGCAGCAAAAGTTCGCTGACGCCAAGTCCAAAGGTCTCGCGTCGCCCAATCTGGTCTTCGATTCTGAGCCAAATTGGTCGACACCAGCAGCCAGCACTCCAACGAGCAAAGCCCGTGGTCTGTTCCCCAGTGGGAATGAGCGCCTCATCAACACGGATCGTAACGCGCCGACGCGCGGCAGCCTAGCGACCTCGGTGGGTCAGGATTCACCCATCTCTCCTCGAGCGGTCATGTACGACGTTACCACGAGCCACCGTCCTACTTCGCCCGTGCTGCACAGTCGCACCGGATCGCTCAGCGGTCTGCCCAGCCTTCTTGAGCTCAATGGGCATCGGGATCGTGAGTCATTCTCCCTGTCGCAGGCGGTCGAACAGGCATCTCGTCTGCCTTCTCAGACCGTGTTTGAGTCCCCACCCATCCCGGAAGAGCCCAGCTCGACGCATGATTCGCAGTACGCTGTTGCTACCAATGCTGTACAGGACCACCCGTTCAATGTCGGTTACACGAGTCCTCGCCTCCCGCTTGCGGACTTGTACCAAGGCAACAGCTTCAGCCCGGCGGCCGTGGGCGACTCGCCTCGACATCAAGTGCAGACGACGCTTCCAGAGGATGTGTGGGATCGCTACGGTCCTCAGCAGGGAGATATGACGCCGGATCTTTTCGACACCAGCATGAGCCCCAATTCGAGCTACATGGGCGCGGACCCTTCTCGCCTGTTGGACGATGTCGCCGCGCAGACCAGTGCTGCTACTCGAGCCCTGAAGGGGACGGACGATGGCGTCACCCCGACACCGCCCTTCCGAACAAAGAGTATCTTGCGCAAAAAGTCATTCAAGAAAGTCAGCAAGCAGATCTCGTCGCCGCAACTCATCTCGACGACGCAGAAATTGGATCACGCTACCCTTATCTCGCCGGTGCTCGAGAAACCGACCGCTCCTACCAAGTCGCCCAGCAGCGCGCGAAGTCACGTCAAAGCCAGTCCATCACGCGGCTCGCAGATGGGGAGCATCGGCAAGAGCAGCAACTACTTCCATCGCCGCAGGTCGAGCTCGTTCGGCCACGAGGCCACGCCCGACAACAGCTTTGGACTCGGCAACGACGGCTTTGGCGATGCATTGGCTTCTCAAGGACAAGGCAGTAGTGATACGGGCCCCGGCGTCCATCCGAACCACCCGTACATGAATGGCGGAGCCAACAGTGGAAGCCTTTCGCGCATCTTTTCCAAGATCAACCGCCGCAAGAACGAGCAGGCCTATGGCGGAGCCACGATCGAGCCATTCCCACCTGAGCTCAGCGCAGCAGCTCGGTCCTCGGCACTCTTCTCGCAGCAGCCGCCGGTGCGACCACCACAGGCGCCCGTCACACCAGAGCTGCCGCCGCTGCCACCTGTCATCGAACGCTCCACGCCCTGGACATTGCCGCCACGCATGCCATCCTCATCCTCGTCGACCGGCCACGCAAGCAGCTTGCGCTCGCCCATCTCACCCACCTCGCCCGTCTACACGCTGCCCATCGACTCGACGTTGATGCCGCGCAGCAAGAGCAAGAAGAAGCGCACGCCGATCGTGCTCAAGCGCGATTCCGAGGTAATTCTTCCGGGCGATCCGGGCTACATCCCGACTGCCATCATCGGCCGGTCGCCCGAGCAGCGTGCTCTTGAGCTGGCCGAGGAGCAGAGCGGCGATTCGGACATGTTGCGAGCGGTGCAGGGAGCAGTCAGCCCGACGTACTCGCACGCCAATGTTGGTGGCAGAACACAATTGCAAGAGCAGTCGACGGACACGACACTCTCGAGGTCGTCGGAGCGCATGGACTATAGCGAGAATAGCAACCCGGACATCCTGGCTCCCCTGGCTGCCCTTAATATCGGTGACGCTAACGAGACCAAGACGCCGAGGCCAGCTTCACCGCTCTCACTCGCAGTGTCGCCGCTCAAGGTCGCGAGCGCAAAGGAGACCGTCGATGAGGCGCTCGCGCGCACAATGCAGTCTTCTGTCACGCCGCAGCAAACCCAGCTCGATGCTGAAGTCGAGGCAGCAACGCAGCAGCCTCGCACCCAAAGCCGACCCACCGACCCACGCAAATCGTTGCGGGACACCATCGTGCGACGAACCATCATCATCCCGTCCGGCAGCATCGACTTTGGCGACTACGACCGACGATCGCTCCATTTTTCCAGTCGCAAGTCGCGCCGCTTCGCCACGTCTGTTGACGAGCCCGTGCCTACGAGCGCCAATGCCACCCAAAGTTTCGACGTCGATTCGCCGGCCAAAGTGGTCCCCGCTGGGCTGCCAGAGCCAGACCTGCCCGCGGTAGGGCTATCGACGTTCAACTCGGCGGCGACGCTGACAGCGGACGGCTCGCTTTCCAACCGCGCTTCCGGCTTGGGAGGCAGCGACTACGCGGGCAGTCTGTACGACATGTACATCTCCGGGACACCGGACGAGAGTGGCGAGCCCGAGAGCCCCGGCTCGGACGACGCACAGTCTCTCCCGCGCCGGTCGCGCGTACCTCCACCGGCTCGACACATCGAAGTCACCGAGCGCGCCGACGGCAGCGTTGTCTGGCAGGTGATTGCGGGCCTGGCGGATCGCAATAGTGTCGATTCCGTGGTCATGCGCCACAGTCAGGAATGGAGTGAGGCGTCTGGGTCTGCGAAGTTGGGCAGTTTTGAGCGCGAGCAGGAGGCATGGGCGCCGTTCTCCAGCAGGACAGCCGCGGACGAAGACGAGAGAAGCTTCTTCACCCGGCCTCGCGCTGCGCCCAAGGCGGTCGCGGCAGGAATGGGCGAGGACACGTTCGACATGGCCACGCCGCACAAGCAGGGGCTCCGCAACGCCGTCACTGATGCTGAGCCTTCGCCAACGCGCATCATGTATCACAACGATGCGCAGCTCGCTTCGCTCCTCGACGTTCTAGCCCAAGGGAAGGATTCGGCCAAGTTCGAGTTCCATCTCGGCCCCCAACAGGTCAGGTCGCCTGGGCTCAACCGCGGCTCGCCCAGCACCTTCAGCGGCGGCGCAGACAGCTGGCAAGGCACCCCGATCGTGGACGCCAACGACATCGAGTCGCACCGCAGCAGGGTCGAGGCTGAGATCTACACCTTGTTGAACAGGCACGCGTTGGACGACATTCAGGCCTAGGCGCAGTCGACGTCCCCGATAAGATACAGGCTAGACGGCCTGACGAGGTGTTCAAGTAGATGGATTATGGATGCTGTATTTTTACTATCAACTTTGACGAGGAAAACCTTGTGCGCGAGTTACGCAGCTTCCTCTGTGTTGTGGAAATGATGAGCCGCAACCATGCCGAGAAGCCAGATGAATTGGTCCTGGTCCAAGATCTGCTGCGGCTCCTGTTGCGACTGCGGCGCGTTTAGGCGGCGAGCGTTAGACAAGTGCTCGACACTCGACGTAGCAGAAGCTCGAAATCTCAGAATATGGTTAGGCTTGTCCGATCTTGGCCGAAGCTATTACAGCATCGAATATCGAGATTGAGCTCGAGTCTCCGCATCTTGACAAATCGGGACGCGCTGCTCCGTGTGATGTCGATCTCTTTGTTGACTCGTGACTGGGCGCCAGCGCCCTTCTTGTTCTGGTTTGTTCCTTTGCTGCGGGCTGCAGCGGCTGCCGTTTGCGGCTTTCTCATGCGCAGGAGTGTCTTTTTCGATTTTGGAATTGCAGCCAGCCCAGATTGAAAGGAAAGGAAGGATAAAGCTCGGTTGTGGCTTGGATGTTTGCTCAGCCCCGCTTGGCCCCCCGCCTGCCGCCGCCCCAATTCACCCCACCAAAAAGACTGGCATGGCAATGCATTCCTCTCTCTCTCTCTCCTTGCTGCGGATGCAGCGCAGCAGCCGCGCAGCCCCCCTTTTCTGCGCAGGCGCGTGTGTGCTCCTTAGCGCGAACAAGTCAGAGCGCTAAACCAGGACAAAGTGGCGCCTGTACCTGTGTCTGTGCCTGTCGGTGCCTGGCTCTCGGATTCAAGCGAAGATGAAGGAGCCTGGGCGGGTATGTGTGTTTGTACGGGTATTCGCGTGAAATATCGTATGAGTGAAGTCATGCAATGAGAAGGAGAGAGCCAGAAAGGCGGATGGATGTGACAGGACGGCGAATCACGCGAATTCCAACTCCACTCAGAGCTGGCTTTCCAGAGAGAGCGTGCGTGAGCCTGAGTGAGCGAGCGAGACAAGGAGAGACGCCTTTCACCGATATCGCCTTTCTGCTTGCTCACTCAGGGTCGCACTTGACACATTGCATCCACCTACAACCTTGCCTGCGCTCATCCTCCAAACCATCTCTCTGCGTCCCCTACCAATCCGCTCACTCGTCGACAGCACTATCGGCGTCTGGTCACGACCATCACATCGCCGACTCATCCTGTCTCCGCGTTTCGCACACGCAGACGCGCACTCGCAATTTCGGACGCTTCTTCTGGCATCCATCGCTCTCGCCTTCCTTCTGGAGCTCATTCCTAGAGTCATCCGACCTTCATCTGCAAGGCGCTGCAGTGTTGCGATCATTTCGGCATCGTCTTGCAACAACTCGCTTTTGCCGGCGCGTCCCACCTACTCTCCGTTGTCACACGGAGAGAGCCAAGACCGCAATCTTGCTCAATCTCAAGGTTTGCCTCGAGATCAGACAATCTTCACCAGCCCACTTGGCACCCTTCCACTCGCGTCCTTGCCCTTCTCGCTGAGCCCGTCCATTCGCTCCACCGCCGTGGGCATTGTCAAACTCAAGCTCGAGCTTGAGCTGAGCGCGGCTCCTTCTTGGCTATCGAAGAATCCTGGCCAAGCCTCGCCCACACCAACCAACGCATTGCGAATCCTCCTCGCATCCCGACAGGGACTCGACAGCGTGCGCACATCTCTACTCGTCGAACGCAGCTGCATCGACCTCATTCATAGACCGCGCTTCCCGTCAGGCCCCAACAACCTAAACAAGCTTCTCACCTCATGCACACCCACCTCTTTTCTGTCTCATTGCGTCAGCGCATCAACGCGAGGCTGTAATCCTCACATCTCTCTCTGAATGGAGCAGCACAGCGCTTTGTCTCCTCACGTCGGTGCATCAACTGCCTCCCCACAGTACCGCGCCAGCGCACATCCCCAATACAACATGGAGACCGCCTCTGCTCCCCAGCATCAGCAGAATCTCTTCTACCATGATCCACGCCAATTCCATCCTCCACCTACCCAAGTCATGAGTCCACCTGTCGCTCCAGCTCGAACCGATCAGCCCTACCCGCCTGGCGCTGTCAAGCTTGAACCAGGTATGCAAGCAGGCCCATCCTCCTATCCTGTTCGCGGACCGCAGCCGCCGCCTGTCTCGTATCGCGAGGCTGCATACGCTGAAGGACGTCCCTTCGCGTATGCATCACAACCTCAACCCGAAGCGCCTCTGCCCTACGCCGAATCCTCCATCGCAGCACCACCAGGCTTCGCATCACAGGCCAGTTTCCTGCCGTACCCACCACCACATCTGGCCAGCTCGTCGGCCAACCCCATTACTGGCCCATCCAACGGCTATCCGGCTCCAGAAGATGTCAAGAGCTCGCAGAACCCAAGCCCTCGCAATAAACGTCCGCGCAAGGACTCGCCGCCATCTCACGACACTGCAGCTGCTGATGCATCCAAGCCACAAGCAGACCGATCACCCGATGACGCAAACGGAGACAAGGATGGCAGCGGCAATGTGACCATGTTCCAGTGCAGAGGGTTCGGTGACTGCCGCATGGTCTTCACCCGAAGCGAACATCTTGCTCGTCACGTCCGCAAGCACACAGGCGAACGTCCCTTCCGATGCCATTGCGGCAAGGCGTTCTCGCGCCTCGACAATCTTCGTCAGCATGCTCAGACGGTTCACGCGGACATGCCCGAGCGCAACGAGATGATGATGCAGGAGCTTTCGTCGCTGCATGCCTCGCTCGCTCAGTCGGCCGCACAAGCTCAACATGCTCATGCGCAGGTGCTCGGCAAAAGCAGCTCACCGGGCGCCTTGATCGCCAGTCACAATCACACTGCTCGAAGGGGCAAAGGCTCTGGCAAGACGAGCGCAGCTACCAGGACAGGTCGCAATCCCAGCACCGACGGTTTCGGATCGCCGCCTCTTCTTAGTCACAATGCACCGCACGCAGCGGAGTCGCCGGTCCAAGGCATGCATCCCGCCGCTTCGGGATATCCTACCGCCTACGACATGGCAAATCCGGCGGCCTCCATCTCTGCAACCGCGTCGTACGCAGCGCCCGCTCAGGTCGGCTCTTTGAATGTTTGGCCTGCTCAAGCGCCTCAATATGGGCAGCACCTCGCCGACATCAGCCAGGCAGGCCCATCTGATTCGTACGGGGCGGTCGCTCCGCCCTTTGACCTGCCACCGCACGTCGCTCAGCAGCAAGCACCATACTTTGCGCCCGATCCTAGCGCCACTTATGGTGCGCCTCAGCCAGCCTATCAGACCGAGCTCTTGCTCGACGGTCCTGAGGATAGATATATCACATCGTACGATCAGTATGGCCGTCCCGTCCCCGAACTCGCAGCAAGGCGCGCGTCAGGCCAATTTGGGGCAGCAGCAGCCTCGCAGCAGGAATGGCGCCCAAGCGGGCCACCTCTCGAAACGGCGCTTGCCGGAAGTCACTATGCAGGTCCTCATGCCGAGCTCGCCGACAATGCTGCTCCAGATTCGGCCTTCTCGAACCCCTTCTACCGCAATTCGAACGCTGGTCTGCTGCCGCCAAACGAAGACACCTTCGCATCTCAGTACCACAGCAGCTTCGCGGATGGAATGTCGCGCGACGCCGAGCAGAGATCTCACTTCGAATCGACCCTGTCAGCCCACTTGCATATGCGCACGCCGACGTTGGCCAAGCGAGCACGCGCGAGCAGTCCACCACCCTCGCGTGGCGGCATCCGCGCGTCGTTCGATGCAGGCGCAGCACCGCTCCTTCCGCCGCCAGGAAGCTCGCACGGAAGGCCACCCAGCAGCGCGCATGGCGGTCGACCCCTCACTTCGCAAAATCGCCCAGTGCTGCCTCCTCTGTCGTCCATCACGCCAAGCGTCAGTCGTCCAGGCACGTCTGCTGCGCTCAGTGCGAGCCGACCAGGCACGATGTCCACGCAAAGGCTTGCAGCCTTCGACCATCAACTTCACGACCGTCGACCGCTCACTTCCGGTTCATCCATGGCAGCAAGACGTCGCGGCTCACACCAGCCCAATCTCGACGATCTTCCGCCTCTTTCTGCGCAATTGCCACCACTGGACGAACGTCGGGACTCCCGCCTCTCGACCGCCCGCCGAGGGTCAGCATTCGACTTGCTTGGCTCACAGACCGATCGGCCGAGGCTCGGCTCCTCCTATGGTGCGCGAGAAGCGGATCTGCCAACGAGGTTGCACACCGACAGCTCGGAGCGTCGCACGAGTCCCACCAACGCATCTCCATTCATGTTTCAGCCCCCACCTCTGCCTCGCGAGAGCAATGCTGGATCTCTGCGACCTGGCGCGTACGGCTCGGATTGGCGACGACCCAGCTCGAGCACGGCTCCAGATGCGCACGTCATCTCGCGCAGACTTGGCTCGAGCAATGGCGCGGCGGTCTCGTTTGGCTTGCGCGAAGACGGCAGCAGCTCTCGACCTGGATCGAGCAGCGGTGCCGGTCTCTTTGGACAAGGATTGACGCTTCCGCCACTCAAATCGTCCCATGGCCTGAGCAGCCGACCTGGATCGAGCTCCATCACTGCGTTGCTGCAAGGAGACGGGGAGTTTGGCTCGGGTCGACGCATGAGCGCTTGGTCTCGTCCGCTCACCTCGGGCGATGCCCCCGCGCCCCGGTTCGGCGAAAACGGACACGGTCGAATGTCGTCTTCTCGCGAGGGTGTTTCGAGCGACGTAGAGGATCACGATACCGATCGCCGGCTCTCGCTGGTGCACGACCGCCGTGGTTCGACGAGAGAAGGTCTGACGCGAAGGCCGTCGACTTCGGCGGGTGCGATGTCGACTCGTTTCGCACCCAGCTTTGGCGATCGAAAGGGCTCAACGAGTCCGAAGGCCTCGCGTTAGTATTCATACCCAAGCAGTGCGAGTGGCATGCGGTGACTGGCCACCGATCATACTCGATCTTGAATTCGCCGTCGGTGCAATGCGCTACTTCACAGCACGGCGCGCATTCCTCACTATACCACCGACGCGATCTCCTCATTGTTGACTCGATAATGCTAATCCGTCTGCTCCTCATAGCACAAAACACAGGCACGTCCGGTGTGTGCCTAATGTTTGAGATTCGAAGGGGAGCTACTTTGCAGAAATCTTGAGGCCTTTGAACTCCTTCATGCTGTCCTCCAGGGCGACCTCAACAGGGAGGCGCTCCATGCTCGAGGCTCCGTAGAAACCAGCCAGACCCTTGACACGGTCGAGTACGTACTGCGCATCGGATGCCGAAGCGACAGGACCCCCGTGTACCAGTACCATGATCTCTGGTGAGATGGAATGCACCTTTGCCGTGATATCTGAGGTGAGCTTGACAGCATCGTCCAGGCTCATTGCTGTTTGGGCGCCGATGCTGCCGCTAGTCGTCAAACCCATATGCGCCACGATTACATCGACACCCACTTTCGCCATCTTTTCCGCTTCTTCAGTGTTGAAAACGTAGGGCGTGGTCAGAAGCCCGAGCTGCTTGGCGTGCTGCATGAGCTCGACTTCCCTCTCAAATCCCATGCCGGTCTCCTCGAGGTTCTTTCGGAAGTTGCCATCGATGAGGCCGACGGTGGGAAAGTTCTGAACGCCGACAAACCCAATCTCCTTGAGCTGACGGAGGAATTTGGGAATGGATCGGAAGGGGTCCGAAGCACACACGCCTGCGAGCACAGGTGTGTGGCTGATCACTGGAAGAACCTCGGCAGCCATCTCGACCACGATCGCATTGGCATCTCCGTAGGGCATCAGACCAGCCAACGAGCCTCGACCCGCCATGCGGTACCGCCCCGAGTTGTAGAGGATGATCAGATCGGCCCCTCCCTTCTCGACAAATTTGGCCGTTAGGCCAATGCCCGCGCCAGAACCGATGATGGGCTTGCCACTTTTGACGATGGAGCGGAGCCGGTCCGCCGCCTCTCTGCCGTCCGCTGGTGGCTCGCTATAGCTCGACATGGTGTTGGGCAAAGTTGTTAGGCAGAAAGGTGATGGTGAAGAAGGGAAGGATAGCTCCGAAGCATGCCCCGTGCACTCTCCTCCACAATTTTCGAGCCGTCTCTTCGGCGTCTTTTCAAGGGTCCTGCTGCGTCTTCCGAACAACGAGCTGTGGTCTCTCTCTGGCTCACGAACGGATCATTCTCACCACCAGTACGACAGTCGTCGGACACGACTGAGGACCCTATCAACGGAGCGACAGCCGTGCAAGAATGATAAAGGACGATAGCAAGCCGGCCGTAGCGCTGATTGGCACGCTCGATACCAAGAAGGCTGAGTATCAATTCGCGACTTCTTGGCTCGAACAGCGAGGATGCAATGTCCTTGTCTTAGATGTCAGCACCCACAAGCCCCTCGAAGGACCGTCGTCGTTCGATTTGGGCGCAAACTCGAAGCGCTACAGCGCAAAAGAGCTGCTAGAGCTTCGTCCGAACGAAAACGATGGCGACCTTCCCTCAGAAAGGTCTGCTCTCCGCGAAGCATTACGAACTGCATGTCTGCATGAGCTGTCGAGACTGCACAAGGACGGTGCCATCGATGCCATTGCCTCCTTTGGTGGCAGCCAGAACACTTCATTCGCGACCTCAATCATGCGAGACACCGCCTTCCCCATCGGTCTGCCCAAGTTCATGCTCACCACTATGGCCAGCGGCGACGTGAGCGAGTTCCTGGGCGAAAGCGATATATGCATCATGCCCTCGGTTGGCGACATCTCTGGCTCTCTCAACGCTATCACTTTGACCACACTTCGATCGGCTCTAGCAGCCATCTCCGGTATGGCACACGCGTGGCATGACTCCAAGCAACAAGATGCGTCAGCCTCGTCGTCGACCAACAAGCACAACGACAAGCCCATGATCGCGATCAGCATGTTTGGCGTCACAACAGCTGCCGTCAACCAGATCTCGGATCTGCTCAAACAGCAAGGCTACGAGCCGGTCGCTTTCCACGCCACAGGATCTGGAGGTCGAAGCATGGAACGGCTGATCCGGGAAGGCTACTTTGCGGCTGTCATCGACCTCACCACGACCGAAATTTGCGATCATGTTTACGACGGCGTCCTCTCCGCAGGTCCGGATCGTCTCACCGCCGCTGCTGAGAAAGGCGTGCCGCAAATTGTCTCGGTAGGCGCGCTCGATATGATAAACTTCGGCTCGCTGTCCTCCCTTCCGTCGCACTACGAGGTGAGGGAGGGAGGTGATAAGGGACCGATGCATCATACGAGAAACGGCACACCGGTGTACGAGCATAACAGCCAGGTGACGTTGGTTCGCACCTCTGCTGAGCAGTGCAAGGAGATAGGACGCCACCTCGTCAGCAACCTGTTCAAGGGGCTCGAGCGTCTTGCCGGAGATAGGAAGGCAGCGCCAATACGCATCCTCTTTCCGAAAGCTGGCATCTCGGCCATGGATGGAGCAGACGGCGTATGGGATGACGCCGAGGCTAGAGAGGCCCTCCTGGACAGCATCCAAAAGACGGTCGACGAGCATCAATCAAAGAAGGATGCCCAGAGGTGTAATGTCAGCATCGAAGTGTTCGAGCACCATATCAACAGTTCCGAGTTCGCTAAAGTCGTCGCTGATCAGATCGTCAAGCTGGTCTCCGAACGACAGAAGAGGTTATGTCTTTTTTAGCGCAATTTTGATACCCCAATTACTATGTTGCTTTTCCTTTTCCATTTGCCAAAAATCTGGTTGAGAAGAATTCGGATCTCGGTGAGCGTTGCGGATAATTTGGAAGGAGCGTGTGATGCTGCTCACGACCTTTCGTACTTTCACCACCACCAACCAGCGAGACAAACACGGTAGCAACGACTCAAGCATCTACCACCATGGAAGGAAGGTAGCGACCTGACCGCCCTTGTAGGCTGCCGGAATGAGAGGCACGTCATTGCGGACAGCCACCGTTGCTGTCTCGCAGGCGGTCAACCATGGCCTGGCAGCTCGGGCGAGACCTAGCTATTCCAGGCTCAGTCGAAACAGCTTCAGTGTCCGGCGCATATCGTCCTCGTCCCTTTCATACTCTGCGACATACGCTGGCTCTAGTAGCGTCCAGCTCGACGACCCACGCATTACGGACCCCGACCCCAAGCTCGTTTCTGACAATCTCGCTCAGTCGCGCAAGCCGCCCAAAGCACTCGGGTCCTTCGGCAAAATCAGCCTCCCCAAGCTTTTGCATCTGCTCGTCCCGGATGCGTACGAAGGAGATTACCTTGAAGCGCAAACGCTAGACGAGGCTCTAGCCGGCGTTCTCGACAGCGAAAATTTGACATCAGATGCCGCTGGTGAATCAATGTCGAGGGAAGACCTCCGCCTTTTGTTTCAAAAGCATATTCACGACCTTCACATCGACGTTCGGGAATTCCTCGATCTCCGCAATACCATGCTCGCCACCAGCTGGCCCGACGTTCGCAGACATATGATGAGCGTAGCCGACGGCCGATGGCCCGCTTTCATACTTCAGCGCACCATTCACATGGTCACGACGCCCTCCGAGATCTCGGACGCCTTGGCACTTCTCACCATGTCCATCAGCTCCATACAGACCGCCAACAAGCCAGCAGAGTATTACAAGGTACTTCGATATTGCCTCTCGAGCCTCAGTAAAAGCATAGTCCAGGAACACGGAGCAGCGCTGCATCTGATGCCCCGGTTGACCGAAGCGGTGTTGGCATTGGTCGAAGCGGTTCCCGCTCAAGCAGCCTCCAATGCGGAACTCATCGGCTCTCTGACGTCTGCATGTACATGGCTGCCGGACGAGAGAGCTCGCCGAGCTGTCATGCAGGTTCTCGACCGACTCGAAAGCCTCCAAGGTGCCAATGCGGTCGATGACATCCGCGGCAAGGTCATTCGGCAGTGCATCGCCAGCATCGAACGCTCGGTGACAACTACGTCGAACAAGTCCGCTTCGTCGAAGCAGTTTGTCAATATCGTCATGATGGACCGTCTGCTGCAGCACGACTACGGTACAGATGCAGATCTCAAACGGCGAGCGCTACGGGGCTCGATCATTGTTGCCGGAAATGCGGAAGACTTTCACCGGACGTGGCGATACTTCCGTGCGTACGAGCAATACAAGCAAGGACACGGACTGGCGATCACAGGGTTCGACCTTCAGCTGCTGTCCAAGGCCTTGGCGAGGTCCCAGCAGGGACGCAAAGATGCATGGCGGATCTTTCTGCAAGCTGAACGACTGCTGCATAGCGAAACGGACTCGAGAGGACTCCTCAACAGGCCGGTGTCGCGCAAGGACAAGGAGAGGGATCTAATGGGCATCTGCCTCGACCTACTCGGGGTGATGAGCAGGAGCGGGGACGTGCGTGTGAGCAAGATCTTCTCCATGCTCGGCATCACCGCCAATGATCGCGACGATCCGAACGTAAAAGCGTCTTCGAAGATGAACGACTTGTCAAAGGCGATGCTGCAGTCGAGGCGTCGTGTGCACGCATATTCGGTGGCGATGCAGGGCATGCTGCTGCGCAAGAAGTCCCATTGTGCTCTGGCGATTTGGCAGGCCATGTTGATGCGCGGGGTGCTGCCCAATGCCGCAGCTCTGTCACTTCTGCTGCAGAATCTCTTCGGATTGGGCGAGGTCAAGACGGCCATGCAGCAGCTCCACCTTTGGTGCGAGCAAGGCGTTGCCAAACCGGCCAAGACTTGCGACAACTTGAAGGAGATCGAAGTGCCGAGCCTCGTCCGACCAGCCCTGGCAGATCTCGAGACGTTCCAACCCGGCGCTCTTTCCGCTCCAACGAGCTCAGACGCGACGATTTACAAAGTGACACCGGACACCATTCTCGCGACGGTCGTCTTCAACGGCCTGCAAGCGTGTGGAGCTAAGGGCGTCGATGCGCTCTGGGAGGCGTACCAACAGACGATCCATCTCTTTCCCGACGCGCCGGTGCTCGCGATGCTACTCAAAGCGTCGTGTCGCGACGAGGGCGAATCAGGCATCGATGCGCGATTCGGACGCGAGGTGTTTCGGACGCTGCTGTTCAACAAGCACCCCGAGCTAGCCGAGTACGAGAACCCGTTGCGGGCGCAGCTCGAGGCGAATGGAGCCGCCGGGTGGATCTTGTCGGGCGAATCGGTGGGGGACAGGGTGGAGCAGTGGCTCGCTTCGGTCTTCCGGTCCAAGCACGCCGGGCCATCGACGATGACGGTGCCGACGGCCGACCTGAGCGCGCTGTCGTTCACCTCGGAATTGTTTGAACACTACCTCCGACTGCTGCTGCATCTGCAGCATTCAACTGGCTCGCTCACGGATGCGCGCACCTCTCGACGCCAACTGGTCGACCTACTGGGATGGATGAAGGAGCTCAACATCCAACCGTCGACGACGCATGTAGCATTGACGGTGCTCGAGATCGAGGAGCACCTGCCGCCGCCCGTGGCCGCGAGGCAGATGGCCGTGCTGGACGCATGGCTGATCGACTGGCTCGGTGAGCGCGGGTCGCCAGAGCAGCACGTAATGCAGCGGCACTGGCGATGGAAGATGAAGCGGAATGAGTCGACGAAGCGCAACGGGTCGAGGAAGAGCTGGTTCGATAAAGTGTCGGGGGGCAGGAAGCCGGAGTGGGAGAAGTGCTCGTAGCCATCCTTAGGCCTTCGATATCATACTTTAGAGCCATCGGGGTGTCGGCTGCGGCGCTCTCACATCGTCTTCATCGAGCTTATTATACTTCATACAACTCAGTCGTGCCCACGTTGTCTCTCATAGATTCTCCACACTCGGCACTGGTAAGCAATGTCGACCGCAGTGCAGCATACATGACTCTCTTCTCGGCCCTGCTTTGAGAAGCATCGGTACAGTATGTTCCCCCGCCTTGGCAAAAGCTTGGCTCTTGGAAACGACAGCAGAACTCTAGACCCTGAAATCGCGGCTTGCTGTGCAAAAAAAGTGGGGTTGACCCGGCTTCTGATGCGCGCGCTCTTTGAAATTCGAGGGATTTTCGAGCTTAACGAGCCGCCAGCTCATGATCGGCAGGCGATTTGTGGCTGCATGGCGCCGTACAGCTTCTTCGGCGCGGCAAGCAGGCAAGAAGGCCGAGTGGAAAGCATGCTCTGTGTGGTGGCGCAGAAGGGCGGCGTTGTTTGGACTCAGGCTGGAAATTTTGCTGGACAAGAGGAACCACAAAGCTGGTGAGAACCGACACCATCCCCTGCGTAAGACAACGTGCGCGTTGGACTTTGCACCGCCCTGTCGATGCAGCAAACGCATGGCTAAGTTAGCCGTGTGGAATGTGCCGCTTCATCGCCGAGGTCGATCATGACTCTGTGTCGGACACTCAGTCCTGCGCCATGTCTCGTTCGGTGAGCAAGCGACATGACCAAGTCATCACAAGCCGAAGCCCCGGCTTGCGCTCAAAGACTCTGTCTCGGCGCATGAGCCGGTGTTGTATGAGTGCGAGGTTTCGACAAGCGTCAGCAGACTCCATGGGCGACTTTCGGAAAGCGCTTCGATTTGGTGAGTCTCACGCTTCGCTTCGGCCTCTTCCCATTCGGCAGCCCGGGACTGCGCAGAGGCTGACTGAGTCTTCCTCAAACAATAGTCATGGACGGCAATGGTGTGATTCTTTTGCCCTAGCAGCAGCAGGCTGGATCGGCAGCGCCGAACCGCAGCTTCACTCGTTGACTTGCTTGAGGCATCGGTCTGAGCTTGAATTTTCCGCGCCGTGATTCGGTCACCGAGGCTGCACGCCTTCTTGGCCCTGAAAGTCAACCAGGTTTGTGCGCTTCGCTTGTGCCGCGGCAGGAAGAATGCCGTTTTGTGACGTCGCTGAG